AAAGACAGGCCAAGAACGCGTGGCGGAAGTCACCTTATTTACAAACAACAGTCAGACAAGTTTACCTCACGACCAGGAGAGCCTATCAGCGCATTTGGGGTAATAAATCTGCAACTCTCACTCAGGTGGTGCGTTGTCCCTCCTGCTCCATAATAAATATCTTGTGAACGTGAAAACTGACAGCACAATTTCTTCAACTCTAGGCCATGCAGGTCGTTCTTTCGCTCATTATCGGCTCGGTTTTCTTCGACACACCAAACACAACGGACGGGTTTTTCGCCAAAGGCTCTGTGCTCTTCCAGGCCGTTCTTCTCAACGCGCTGACAGCCATCTCGGAGATCAACAACCAATATGCTCAACGGCCGATTGTTGAGAAGCACAACTCATATGCATATTACCATCCAGCTGCGGAGGCCATGGCTGGGGTTGTGGCTGACATCCCCATCAAGTTCGTCACTGCAACCGTCTTCAACGTCATCCTCTACTTCATGGCAGGTCTTCGTCGCGAGGCTGGCAACTTCTTCCTCTACTTCCTCATCACGTACACGTCCATCTTCGTCATGAGCGGTATTTTCAGAACTCTCGCTGCAGTCACCAAGACCGTGTCTCAGGCCATGGCCCTTGCCGGTGTCATGGTTCTCGCGCTCGTCATCTACACAGGCTTCGTCATCCGCGTGCCCCAAATGCACCCTTGGTTCAGTTGGATTCGATGGATCAACCCCATCTACTATGCGTTTGAAATTCTTATCGCCAGCGAATTCCACGGCTCAAACTTTCCATGCTCCACTGTCGTGCCACCATACCAGCCTAGGATTGGTAGCTCTTGGATTTGTCCTGTTGTCGGGGCTGTCGCAGGTCAGGATACGGTGTCAGGCGACACGTTCATCGAGACCAATTACGAGTACTACTACTCCAACGTATGGCGAAACTTTGGCATTCTCATGGGGTTTTTGATTTTCTTCATGTTCCTGTACTTTATAGCTACTGAGCTGGTGTCGGAAGCAAGCAGCACCGCAGAAGTTCTAGTTTTCCGTCGCGGTCAGGCACCAGACCACCTGAAAAAGACAGACAGCACGCCACCCGTCACCACAGACCTGACCAAGAATGGGGGATCTTCTGAAGAGGCTACATCGGAACCTCAAGTCGCTGCCGCCATTGGCGCGCAGACTTCCATCTTCACCTGGCGTGATGTGGTTTACGACGTGCCCGTCAAGAGTGGCACTCGACGACTGCTCAACCACGTTTCAGGTTGGGTCAAGCCCGGCACCTTGACCGCGCTCATGGGCGTCAGTGGAGCTGGTAAGACTACGCTTCTGGATGCCCTTGCGCAGCGCACAACGATGGGCGTGCTTACCAAGGAAATGTTTATCGACGGGAAGCCGCTGGATGCCAGCTTCCAACGTAAGACCGGCTATGTCCAACAACAAGGTGCGTTTGCATGTTTCCTCCAGTCCGTCGTTGGTTAATTGAATCAATGCTAACTTACAGATAAATAGATCTTCACCTATCCACAGCAACAGTCCGTGAGAGTCTCGTGTTCAGCGCGATGCTGCGACAGCCGAAGACAGTCTCCAAGCAGGAAAAGCTCACCTATGTAGAGCAGGTCATCGACATGCTCGACATGCGCGATTTTGCCGACGCTGTCGTTGGTATCCCTGGCGAGGGACTCAACGTGGAGCAACGCAAATTGCTTACCATCGGGGTAGAGCTTGCCGCCAAGCCCAAGCTGCTTCTCTTCCTGGACGAGCCTACAAGCGGCCTGGACTCCCAAAGCTCATGGGCCATCTGTAACTTCTTGAGGAAACTTGCCGATGCCGGGCAAGCTATATTGTGCACGGTGCACCAGCCAAGTGCAGTGCTCTTTCAACAGTTCGACCGACTGCTGTTCCTTGCGGCCGGTGGCAGGACAGTATACTTTGGGGACATCGGGGCCAACTCGCGCACCTTGTTGAAGTACTTTGAGTCTCGTGGTGCGCGCAAATGCGGCGATCAGGAGAACCCTGCCGAGTACATGCTCGAGATTGTTAACAACGGAACAACTCCAGATGGAGAAGACTGGCATGAGGTGTGGAACAAGAGTCCACAATACAAGGTGGTGATGGAGGAGATTGAGAGGATACACACCGAACGAGGATCACATGCGGATATGGACGACGAGGCCGGCGCACATTCTGAATTCGCTATGCCATTTATTTCGCAGCTGTGGTTCGTGACGCGTCGAATCTTCCAGCAGTACTGGCGGATGCCTTCCTATGTACTTGCCAAGTTCTTTCTAGGAACGGCCGCGGGACTGTTCATCGGCTTCTCATTCTGGCAAGCGGACCCATCTCTTGCAGGAATGCAAAATGTCATCTTTGGCGTGTTCATGGTGATCACCATATTCTCTACTCTTGTCCAACAGGTAAGGCGCACTCGTTCACATCTCACCTTTTTACTGTGGTGTAAAGAAGCTAACGTGTCTCAAGATTCAACCGCACTTCCTCACTCAACGATCGTTGTATGAAGTTCGCGAGCGACCAAGCAAGGCATACTCTTGGAAGGCGTTCGTCATCTCCGCCGTTATTGTCGAGATTCCCTACCAAATCGTCACCGCCGTGCTTATCTATGCCTGTTTCTATTACCCCATCATCGGCATCCAGTCTTCCGCCCGCCAAGGTCTTGTCTTGCTTTTCTGTATCCAGTTGCTTCTATACGCCAGCTCGTTTGCGCAAATGACCATCGCAGCGCTACCCAATGCCCTGACCGCCTCATCCCTCGTGACGCTTCTCGTCCTCATGAGTCTTACTTTCTGCGGTGTTCTTCAGACACCCACGGCTCTCCCCGGATTCTGGATTTTCATGTGGCGCCTCAGTCCATTCACCTACTGGATTTCCGGCATTGTGTCCACCCAGCTCCACGGGCGCGCTATCGTATGCTCGGAAGACGAGACATCCATCTTCAACCCTCCATCTAGGACGACCTGTGAAGAGTACCTAAAGCCATTCCTTGAACAGGCGCCTGGTACGCTGCAGAACCCCTCGGCCAGGGAGGATTGTCGCTACTGCCCCCTCCGAGTGGCGGACCAGTACCTGGCAGGGAGCGAGATCTACTACAGTGAAAGATGGAGGAACTATGGGATCATGTGGGCGTACATTATATTCAACATTTTCATTGCTGTCGTGACATATTGGATGTTCAGAGTGAAGAAGTGGAATTTTGGAAGCGGTAAGAAGCCCAAAGGCGGCAAGACTGTTGACAAGCAGCAGGTGAATGAGAAGTCGAATGGCAATGCGTCGTGATGGAACCATGTTGCTTTTGGATGGGATACGGAGGGCATCCATTTGTATTCGTAGTATCATCTTCAAGATATCTTGACCGACTTCACGAAGCGGTCACATTGAGTCAATATATTTTGGGAATTCAATGAATTTGCACTTAAACTATTTATGATCGGATTATGTTAGAATTCAGATGAAGCTCAAGCGCCAGACGTCTCCCAGTCTAGTGTTATCATCGCTCAATCCTCCATGGACGACAATGTCATCTTGCCCACCCGCGCCCGTCGTCACATCCGCATCAAACCACCCCCGGGCCACCGGAGCATCACCTTCAGTCTCTACAATGTTCCATTTCCCCTGCTCAATGTCGTAGACCCAGACGTCCTTCAACATCTTTCCAGCACCGGCGTGACCAAGTGGGGACGGATCCCGCTCACCGAACATGGTGACCAGGTACGGCTTGCCCTGAACTTTGGCGGACAGCAGCGTGGCGACACTCCTCGCCTCCGGGCCGTCGACCTGGTCTGTCTTGTACTGCGTGCTCGACCACGCCTGCGCCTCGAGGTCGAAAACGTCTAGCGATCCCCCCTGCTCCGTCTTGCCGTCGAACCCGTGCACGCGATAGAGCTTTCCGCCGGCGAACGCGATCGACGCGCCGCCCCTCGCAGGCCCCGGCGCGGAGGGCAGCTCGGCCCATGTCCTGCTCACCAAATCGAACGCCCACAGGTCGGACAGGCGACCCGTCTCGGGGCAGCCCGAGTGGACGAAGATCCTGTCCGCGCCGTTGGAGGCGATGCAGTGGTAGCTGCGGCCGGCGGGGGAGGGCGCGTGCGGGTCGGACGGGGTGATGAGCGTCCATTCCGCGGCGAGGGGGTCGTAGGACCAGAGGGCGCCGGATTCCTCGAGGGGCGTCATCTCGAGGCCGCCGCGGCCGGAGAAGATGTAGGTCTTGCCATTGGCGGTGGTGCTGGGGCTTCCGACGCGAGGGCTGGGTGCTACTGAGGGAGTCTTGAGGCTTTGGGGTGTAGGGTCTAAGAGCTGTTAGATGGGGGGATGTGGATGAGGTGTCGAAGGAGCTTACCGTTGCCTTGGGCGAGATCAATCTGATGGATCTTGTTGTCGACGGGCTGGCGGGGTTGGAGCTCGCCACCGAAAATGTAGAGCTTGTTACTGACGATCGACGCAGCCTGGGATGATCGTTCAAGGCTTGCCGACGAGACAATGCGTGTCCAAGTTACTTTGTTGGGAGGCATTTTGATAACTTGGCGAATGGTCTTTGCTGGGAAGCGCATATAGGGTAGGTGGTGAGATCCGAGGTTGGTTTGCAATCAGAGCCTACGGCAAACGCGTGGTTTAAATGCATTTTACGGTTTATTACGAGGACAAATGTTCCAATTAAATTATCTGTTTCGCACTTATAGAAAGAGCCGGAGCGAGCTACAAGGCGGTTCCGCGTTTTCTTCTTCCTCCACTCCATTGCTGGAGCATGAGGGTGAAATCACGCATGACGAGGATCCGGGGATGCTCCATCGGAGGTTTCGGCGCCGATTACCTCATCAATTGGTGTATCCTGGCAAGCCTGGGAAGCAGAGGGTATTATGTAAGCGGATGTAAGTGGCTCCGTGCCCGTGATCGTCGCACTTGCCTCATTCCCCATTTTGATGACAAAGCGGACTTGGATTGCTCCGACCAGACGTGCGACTCTTCTACTGACCACCATTCATTGAATGCTGAGAATGTGCCATGCCGCCGAAGAAAGCATGCGACATCTGCTACAAGAGAAAGGTCAGTCTTGACTATCACGCGCTCTCAGACGCGCCTGTGTCGGACCATGGCCCCGGACAATTGCTGACGCCATCCAGATCCAATGTTCCATCCCTACCCCAAATTTGCCATGTAATTGGTGCAGCCATCATGACCTGCAGTGTACCTTTGATCGAGAGGTGCCAAGAGGCTCAAAATCTAGGTATTACGCCGAGCTGGCTATTTTGTTGAATCACATCAAGTTTAACCTGGAGATAGGGCAACGTCTGGCGAGATTAAGGCACTGTTGCGTCGTATTGACCAACTCGAGGGTGCCTTGTTAGCCACCCACGATGCGCGAAGAAGCGAGCCTTCCCTGGCCATGACGGTTCCAATCGCCGATGCTGGGAGCAGTAGACCGAATCTTCAACCAAGATCGCTTAGTCCAACGTCGCCGGGAGAGACAATCCGAAGACAAACCACTCCCTCGGGAAATGTGTTGGGGCATCATTGGTACTACCGGGGAATGCCTATTTTATCAGAAAGGGGCCGCGCATGGATAGCATCCAAAACAGACCAAGCGACGGCATTGGAGCGGCATCATCTGTTTGGATCTTCACCTGGACCGTTTCTTCCAAAGCCTTTCGGAAACTTGCGCGGACTCAATCAATTGCCCGACGAGGGTGTGACTCGACAAGTCTTGCAGTGCTTCCTCCAGTCGCACACTTGGTTGTTGTTCCCAGTAATAGACCGCATTCTGTTCGAGAAAACTATCTCGATGGCCTATCACGGTAACCAGGACCCAGTGACGTCGTGGGCGCCCGCAGCTGCTTGCATTCTATGTCTTCATTCCATATCCAGTCGATTGCGAGACGTGCGAGCTCTGGAAACCTCCGTAAATGATGCTCAATATGCGGATGTACTACAGATGTTCTTGCCTTACCTCACTAGCGAGGCAACCATAGAGAGCCTTCAAGCTCTGTTGATGCTGGTAAGACTTCCTCTATCCCAAGATATTTTGGATCTAACGCAGTGGCATATAGCAAGAATATAGAAGAGTTAGCGGACGATGGCAAAATGCAAATATGCTACATGCCCTTGCGTGTCGCATGGTTTGCGAACTCAAAGGTCACATTCAACATTCTGCCTCGTCTTTTGCGATGGGCGATACCGAAAATGAGCATCAGACTGACCACATTCGACGGCTTTTCTGGATTTGTTATGCTAGGGATAAAGACGTCTCACTTCGATCTGGGCAACTGCCGTCATTGGCTGGAATCTACTGCGACTTGGCACTACCGGAAGACTACAGTTCTTATTATGATCATTTCCTGCGATTGAGTAATGGCGAGGATACACAAGCTGACCAGGAATGCACTTTTGATTTTATTGTCCCAGGAGATGTCCGCCTAAGCATCATCGGAGAAGAAGCTTTCTATTTGCTCTACTCGCCAACGGCCTTGAAAGTGAACGATACCGAGCTTCTGTTGCGTATACGGCAACTAGATGATCAACTAGAGAACTGGAGATTAACTGTGCCCCCAAATTTTCGCCCTAGGCTGTCTATACCGCCAGATCGACCATTTCTTCCCAACAGAACCAAGGCAAACTTCCTGTCGAGTGTCTTTCGTCTGCAATTGCAACTGGACTACCATTATATGCTGACGGCAATACACACAACAGTGCGGAGATGTGGCTCTGAGTATTCGGAATCTGAGAGCCTGCCGGAGGATCTCCACCTGGTGCTTCATTCAAGCATCGACCTCCTCTTGGAAGCTAGCCGGTCAACGCTCATCCTGCTGAAGTTTGCGATTGATTTGCTAGAAGAGGAGGCGTTTTGGTAAGTATTCTCCTGAAATCCACCAGATGGAAAGATAAAATGTGTCGTACTAACTCTGTAAGGGATGTCGTGTTCTATTCTCCTGTGGCGGTCATGTCATTGTTCGTCGATGTCCTGATCCATCCAAACAGCGACCACGCACAGAGCGATATAGCAGCGTTAACCACAGCAATGAACATGATACAAACTATCCCCGCAGACAAAATTTCTCCAACTGAGGCTGAGCATGTTCAAGAAATTGCCGACTTCATCATGGAGACTGTAAGACTTGGCGGCAGGGCAATCTGGAAAGCAAAGCGGAATAAGCCTCCTACTCTGGAGTAGGCAGTTGATTCAAGGGCTAATATCATGAGTATCTCAAACCGTCGGCCACACAAACCTCCTCTACTTGCTCAAAACAAATGTATTGATATCCCACCCAAAATGCCTCTGGAGCCTCCCACCAATCGATCGAGCGATCTCGATGCTCATCTTGTTACTGGGATGTGGCTGGTGAAACAGCATCCTGCTCCTCCCCACGCTTGAACCTGGGTCGCCGTCTCGCGAAAACCCCCAGGCTGATCCGTACAATTGCTCTGCTGAAAAGAGGCCCGGGCCGGTCATTGCGTAGACAAAGTCTTTCCATGCCAACTCTCCACTTCCCGTCCCAAACTCGGGGTCAAAGAAGAGTTTGCGGAACACTTTCATCGCGCGTTGGCTTACTGGAATCTGTACGGGTGTCAGTGCATCTTCATCTGCTTCTGTGTCGGGAGGGCTTGGTGCCTTATCCGTCGGTTCCGCGGCCTGGCCTCTGGTCTTGATCTTGACTTTCTTTTCAAGTCGATAACCTGAGTTCTTTGTGGCATCATTATCATGATCAAGATATACATTCCTCGTGGGTTCCGGGGCTGATGCAGTCTCAGGAATGCATGGACTCGGCGCTTCGGAGACTGGCGCTGAGAGTTCGGTGGATGTCCATTCTGGGGTTCTGTGTATGGTGCTTGGCATCTGCTCAAGGCGCCGAAAGGGAGAGGCGTCGGATAAAGGGATGTAGTTGTCGGCGAGGCGGTCAAAACACTGCCAAATGGTGTCAACGGTCTTCTCCGCTCGGATCATAGCATTGACAGTCTCCTCGGACCTTCTTTTGGTGGACGGGTACTCAAACTGTTGATGAGTCGGGTCACAGAAGTGCGGTTGTTGCGTCACTAGTTCCTCGATCAGTGCCGCCCTCAATGCATTGGACATCATGGCTTCAACGGGACGGGGCTTCATCTTGGCCATCTCGGCATCGAAAATCCTAGACCACGGATAATACATCTGGAGCTGGTTGACACATTGAAATACGACGGATAAATCGCCCATGTACCTGTGCATGAGAGGTGAGAGGAGTCCATGAGCTCGTGGGTCGTTATGCAAGAGAAGTGCCACTTCATCCAGCCGTGCGGAAAGAGTAGGAAGTCCCACCACCTGGAGACAGCCGTCTCTCAGGTTACTGAGCGTCCTCACGAGTTTGTACTCGGCAGTTGTTTTATCTACCGACATCTTCAACTCGACATGATGAGATCCGCTATCGTTAGTGCTCGCCGTGAAAAATCGTCGGAGCGGCGGCGAGGCAGGCATGGCATCCCAGATCCTTGAGACGAAGGCGTAGGCCATTGCCCGAAGATGCTTGTGGAACTTGATGAGGGCTTCGAAAAGGGGCTGTGGCAGGTCTTTGAGCGCCGAGATGGACGGAGCATACTTCTTACGGAGCATACGTACCTCTTTGGCGCAGTCGTGGAGGAGTGCAAAGACCTCAAACTGCATGTAGGCGGCGACCATCATCTCTGCTAGCTGTGTGGCGTTCGGTAAGCATTTATTGGCAGTTTTGAGTGTGCCGGGGGCAGAATTCACTTTCCGTTTTGCCTCTCGAAGGCCTTGGAGAGATTGAGGATCATGGTCCATCTCCTCCCGCCACCACATCTTGAAGTACCCCGGGTCCTGCCGGAGTGCCCAGATGTGGTCCTCTGCAGAGGCAACGCATGCGCCAAGAATTGATTCGATGCGGTCCGTGTCGATATCGGAGGGAACAAGGTATGGCGACTCTTGAACCATGTGGCAGGGCGAGGCGAACCGATTTTTGTCCGGTTGGAGGTCGAGATTCGGCTCCTCGGGGACAGGCAGCTGGTCATTGATGAGACGCTCCCCGGGCACGTCGTGAAGAATTTCTCGGCAGCAGGCGACGAGAAATTTCATCATTCGGTCTTGCATCTTCAGAACGTGGGAAGCTTCCACCGGACCGAAGTGGATGTCGTTCCGCAGCTCGTTGAGCGGCGGCGGCACGGCGATGCTGTCGACGACGGTGCCGTATTTCTCCTCGTCAAGAAGAAGGACCAGCCTTCCGCTTTGCTCGCCGTCTGCCTTGTTGCGGCCAGTGTCGAAATTGCCGGCATCCAGACAGGCAAACTTGCAGGGATGGTTGCGGGCTCTCGCGTTGAGCAGGAGCAGGAGATTTCTGGGTTGAGCAAGATCTTCCTCGTTCAGAGAGGGCAGCATCACTGCGTCCCAGACCGGCTGGTGTTGAAGCAAAGCGGAGAAGCCACTCGCTCTGACGCCTCTGGACGGATTCATTGCTGCGGCGGCCAATTTGCGTTGTGCGAGCTCCATAGCTGGGATTTCAGGGCGGTGTCTCTTGGGCATGGTTGGGTATGCTCGCTGGAGGATCTCGACGCGTTGCCGGTTCTTCTTCCGGATCCAACGTCTCTGGATGGTGGCTTCGTGGCGTGTGACGATCGTCCGCAGGAGGCGGAAGCTTTCTAAAACGCTGCTGGATGATTCTTGAAGTCCGGCTTCAGTCGGGTCTGGCGTCGTTTTGGTGTCCATCTTGTGAGGGTTTGGGTCGCGCTCGTCAGTGGGATGTGTAGGCATGATGCTCTCTCGGCTAGATTCCGTATCAGCAGAGTTAGATATGTGGTTTCTCTTCTGCTGTGATGGGGTGGGAAGTGATGGGACAACAACAAACAACGTGGATGAAATGTGAGATGCGTGGATGAAGTCTGAGATGTGAGAAGAATCTGAGATGTGAAAAGAATCTGAGGGTGGAGGGTTGTTTTGAGGCACGGCAGGACGGTCTGTCCGGGCAGAACGCGCAGCTGCCAACAATTGTCCATTTGTCCATTGAAATCCGGTGGATGAATGGCCGCAGCCACTGGCTCTGACTTTAACGAACAATAGCGTGGGCAATGCTATTGAATTATTACAATATCAGCGAGGATCGGATTCGATTGACGCAGGATAATTCTTACTTTGTGTAGTCTTCAGCCTCCCAACAATAGCCGTACTTTTTTTACGAAGATCCGCCCTCGCTAAAGCCTGGTATGTACCTTGATTGAGCGGGAAAACGGGCATTGTATGTCCCTCAAGTCATAAGGTACACATACTCTCACCCTGCATACGACGGCACAATGAAGCATATCCCGGACCCCCTCCTGCCCGTCTGGCCATTTACATTTGTTTTTCGAAAGGGAGGATTAGAAAATGCAAATGGATGCCCCGATATGTTTTTGTTTCAAGTTTATTGCATCGCCATCTTCGACAATAACGAGGTTTGCACCTTGGTGCCAGCCTTGAATACAGTTGTACACTCTATTGAGCAAGAAGAACAATGGTGAGTAGGTAACCAAAGAAAGCTCACATGATTGTCACACGAGCGCAAAATCTTGCATCTTTATCAAGAAGAAATCCTCCTTGCTATTGAGATGTCTGCCATGTCCAGCTGTAGATAAGGAGTCTACCCCCAGAGCTTAGAGCGCGAAGGCGTTTTCAATTGACTGCGCCGCTGAAGCGAAGTTCACGGAGGAGTTCTATACTACCGGCTATCCCATACCCATTGGGATATCGCCCTTCATCACGATCTGATTGAAAACATGTATTAGGCTATTTTTCTATATGGGAATGGGTTTATGAATATGGAATTCCTATGCTTATGTTCTCTGTCAGTGTACGGCGTAGTGGCTCGTCAGCCTGGTATTTCCATTTCTACGTCAGGGCTGACGGTTGCATACACAGCCCTCCTCCTGCGCTCCGCTATGGCTTATGGGGGGCTGTTGAATAATGCCTTACTTAAGTATAATACTGCCATCTTACTGGGTTGAGATCGCTAAATATATCTATATCTCTGCTAGTGCAGCACTGCTGACGACAGGGGTTGTTCAGACGATTCTGATAAGTCTTTGCGATGCTTAATTTATAATCCCCTCACTCCAGGCTCAAATTCTCAAATTCTGTAGTTCTAATCAAGTCGCAACAGCATACTTCTGCCCAGTCAAGCCCTAACAGTCAGCAGCGTTGAGTCAATATGGCAGGCGACTCTACTGGATCCCAAATGCAATTCCCTCGCCTGGATCCAGAAAAGGCTGAAATTCGCGTCTTGGAGATCCAGTCTGGGGACAAGGATGCTCCGCTTGAGTGCAAATATCATATTGTCAACCTCGCCGACTTGAATTTGACTTATGAGGCCCTTTCCTACGCTTGGGGAACCCCTCATACAGATAATGATCGCCTATTAAAGATCGATAATGGTCATGTTCATATTACCTCAACTCTCTTGGATGCCATCCAGCATTTGCGGCTTCCAGATCGGAATCGGTATATGTGGATCGACGCGCTCTGTATCAACCAGGCCGATGATGAGGAGAAAACCGTGCAAGTCGATATGATGGATCAGATTTACTCGAAATGCGAACAATCAGTTGTCTGGTTAGGACATCTAGGTGACGTTCAGCCTTCAGATGCCGAGGCCGTCTTCGACTTGCTCTACTGGATGGCTGGCGAGAAAGAGGAGCCTGCATGGACAGGAGACAGCTCCAGATCTAAATTCATTGGGCAGACTTTGAAAGAGTTCATGCATTTGCCGTGGTGGTATCGCATCTGGACCGTCCAGGAAACGATTTTACCTTCCAAGGCCACCCTCCTCTGGGGTCACCTCTCGATCGATCGAACGACTCTCTACAAGGCTGCCGACATCGTCTTTGATGATGACTGCCCCAACATCCCAAGCGAACTATTCGCTGATAATGCTATGAACGATTTAACGTCATCTATGCGTGGATTGGCCTTCTCGCAGAACGAGGGGCTATTGCAGCTTTTCGTTCGATGGAGGTTCCGGCACGCCACGGACCCTCGCGATAAAGTCTACGGTCTCATGGGCTTCCGCGAGGATTTATCGCTGCCGACGGTGAAGTCATGCGACTACACGATCGACGTCAGGACACTGTTCAAACGTATTACCGCCGATATAATTCGTGCCGAAGGCACTCTTTTGCCGCTGATTGGCCGTCGCGGGGAGATATCCGATCTGGCGAGGCAACCTGAAGGCTTCCCGTCGTGGGTCTTTGATTGGGTTGAGCCGGTAGATCCAAGCCACAAACTGTCGGAGTATTGGATACATGAAGCATGCTGGGGCTGGTATGACTTTACCCCTGATGCGGGAATATTTGGAGTAGGAGATGGGCTGAAGATGATTGGGGAGGATATCCTGTGTCTATGCGGACTGTACGTGGACAAGGTGGCGGTAGTGGAGAGGCCCGACAACGACCGGTCTGAGGCAGATTCCGGGTCAGAAATGGCAAGGAGTCTCAGCGTGGTGGAAAGGTGGGAGGAAGTGGTTGAGAGGTTTCAGAAAGAACGGCCAGGAGTGCTTCGTCGTGGCTGGGTTCGAGAGCTCTGCAGCCTTGCAGCAGGGAGGTTTACACCTGATCAGGACGACACTGGCGTGATGCAAGATTTCATTTACGACATGGTGCAAGGCCAATCCCTGTTTATCACAGAGGGGGGTAAGTTTGGCATTGGGCCCAAGAACGCACAGCCAGGACATGAAGTATGGGTGGTTGGTGGTAGCAGGTTTCCCTTTCTCCTCAGCCCTGTCGACTCCACAGATGGGGCTTCCACAGATGGTCTGGATTTTACCCTTTTATCTGATTGCCTAGTCTATGGGATCATGTACGGGGAGGCTGTGGAAGGTAGAGGACATGAAGAAGTGGAATTCAGGCTTCATTGAAACGGCAAGCGTGATAAACGAGCTGTCTAGAGCGATATAGCGTCGGCATTTTGGAGAATGGAGCACAGATAGACATGTATATGGAGCCATCATGAATCATACAATCCTTTATTAGAAGGTTCATTCACGTTAGGCGACTAATCGAGGAGTCTTTCTATTTATTTACATACAAAGCGTTCAGTTCACCATCATCTTAATCGCTCTCATTGAACGAGCTGGTAAATTTATAGCAAGAAACTCACTCCATACATGATCATATTGCGCGTATTACACAGTTAATTCCAACCACAATTTGTCTTCGTAAAGAGATCTTCCGTCTGACCTGCTACAATGGCAGATTGTAGATGTGGCTCCTCTGGTAGTCCTCTGCGCGCTGGATTTCCATATCCATAATATACTCTCACCAGCCAAGATCCGCTCGACCCTGGTGTCTTCCTTTATAACTGTTTCAAAGGAATGCTTAACCAAATCAACCTTGTTCCACTCTATAAAATAAATCTGAGTATCCTGAGAACACAAACAGCTTCTATCACCAAAAGTCCATCCGTCTCCTAGTTATATAGTGAGCTTTTATTATATAATATAAACAGAAGATCATAAAGTACCATGAAATGAAGTGCTACCTAAATAAGAGAATCTGCATTTTAATAAGTTTCTGGCATCCCGAAAGCGTCCTAGGTTCAGATAAAAGGCAATAGTAGCCAGTAATGCTAAAGGCCATATGATGGCGAGTTGCCTTCCCATGCAGCCTTTCAACGCGTATTTTTCTACTGCAAACTCTTATCCATCATCACTGTCACCGTCATCGCTCCCACTGGCATTTTCCTGTCCATCAGACATTGATCCGCATGGGTGGGTCAGGCGCCGTGAAAGCAAGGCTTTGTTAGATTCGAACGGATACAGCTAATGAAAACTATTTATTCAGGTGATTAACATGTGTGTATTTAATCTCATGTGGTTGTGTGCTTGTGTTGTTGTTACCCAATAACCACAATAACCCTGACGTATCAAGCCGATTGCCCCTCCCTCGCTTATTCAAAACTCGGGAAGTATCGTCCTTACTTTTATACTACATGGCTAGGTAGCCCCCTGAAAGTCTCTACGATTACATGTCGATACTTCTTCCAGTGAGCCTGTGAATGGGGACGAGTGATCCCATCGCATGCTTTAACAAGACGGTAGCTAGATGTCCAAGCTTTTCAGACTCCTCTGTATGCATCGTGGTTATTGAGCCGCCCTCTTCATGTGCGATCACCCATCCGTATCGATTGAATGGCGTCGCCCAGCGAGTTTTAACGAATTCATAGCGTGACATCTCTACTATCTTCGCAGGCAACCACCCTGGAAGCGTACACTCAGCAGAGAGCAGGCGATGATTGATTTTTCCTGGATATCATGGAAGCTGTGCTTCAGCTAGTTTCATCATCCATAGGAAACCATCAACCTTTTGCCCTCTTTTCATATTTTCTGTTGAAAATACACTTCTTGAAAGATGCGTCTTTCTATGAATTTACGGCAGCTTCCATAGGTCAGGGAATTATTTTCATGGTATATGATGCTACGATCAATGGGCCTTTTGTCCTTTGCTGGGTTGATTCATGTGGCGGGTTGTTGGCGGGTACAGTGCTTATCGAGTCCATTCACTGATTGTGAAGGGCTGGAAACATGGCCCAAGCATGGATCATTGCCATTGAAGGGGTCACAAACAGCCCAACTCATGAGCATTAAAACGACGAAATACAGCTACTAGGGTCATATTTCCAAGTGTGGTGGGAGGGACTGATCTGGATCAAAGCTGTTGGTCATTCATCCCGTACCAAACAACATGGGTATCCGCATGGGCGAACTGTTAACTGGTAAAGAGAAACACTTAGGTACCCAAATTGTACTCTTCTCAGCCGGACTAGTAGCTCCGTCGATGGTAGTCAAAATCGCTCCCTGTTGTAGTTCTCACGACTAGGGATTGTGCAGGCTGAACGAAGAGGGCTGCGTTTGAGGTAATCTCCCATCAGGCTAAGTTGAGGATTTGGTATCTTATGCTAGGCTAATATGTTCACCCGGTTAGAAGGAATGAGATGAGTTGCCAGAGGCTTGGGGAATGGATGTGGTTGATGGCTTGCGCGTTCATACGGCCTCTAATTGTTTTAAATCAGCTTTTGTTATTATGACCTTCTAGAAACCCAAGAGATCTTTTTAAAATTCTTAGGACCATGATTTGAAGTTGCAAAACTGAATTACGCAGGGTCGGCTTGCCTATTCATTGAGGTTTGCACCTTGTAATTAGCCTATGGCCGGCTGCTGGCTCCATTGACGTCTTCGGCAAGGGGGTTTCTGCCTCCGTCCCGTTATGAGCCCAGGCGAATCATGTTTGGCGAATGACCTTTCTGTCTAGAGCCACTGCCTAGAATTAGAAGGGGCTTGCACTGGCAATTTCATGCACGTGGTGCATAATTTTGCCAAGCCGGTTCCTCTAGATCCGTCACTTCTTGCCTTGTGCGAATCTCAGCGTTGTAATTAGTAATGTAACTACCAATAACACGATAGCGTGACTGAGTTTGATCATGCTCTACTGAATGGGGCCCCCTTCTTAGATCCGCCAAGTAGCTATACGGGGTTTAGACCTGCTTAGGGCGATCAGCATTACGAGAAAGGAAGCAAGATGCAGTTTCATCTGGCGCCGAGGTAGCATTTTAACGGAGGAGTAGGAGAAAGCTTCATCTGGTAGTTTACGGGTCCCAGGGTTCATATAAATGAGTTTCTCTTTGTCTACGAAGCGAACTTGAAGGCGTTGGAACCCAAGCTTTCACTGCGCTTCCTTCACCAAGACAAATCATCTTGCCGAAGGAGAGTTTCCGTTACTTTTCTCTCACCATGAAGCCATTTCTTGTCTTCCTCTTCGGAACCCTTGCGGCAGCCTTTCCTGTCGACTCGATTGAGCTAGATCCTGAACTGGCCCTCCGCCGTGTTAACATCACTGAGCGCATGCCGGATCTGGAGGAACGTCAGGCATCAGCAAGCATCAATCAGTTGTTTAAAAATCGTGGCAAGGGCTACTTTGGTACTGCTACTGACCGTGGCCTGCTTCAGAGAGACAAGAATGCAGCGATCATCAACGCAAACTTTGGCCAGGTCACGCCTGAGAACAGCATGAAATGGCAGTCTTTGAACCCATCTCAAGGCTCATACAACTGGGGCGATGCCGACTACCTGGTGAATTTCGCGCAGCAGAATGGGAAGTCCATCCGGGGACATGTGAGTTCTACGGACCTATGCAGACTGAGCACCATTGACAGATCTTACAGACTCTCGTTTGGCATTCGCAACTCCCTCAATGGGTGGCTAATATCAACAATGCGGATACTCTACGCCAAGTTATCCGCACCTACGTTAGTACCGTGGTTGGAAGGTATAAAGGGAAGATCCGCGCATGGGTTAGTTCTCGGCCTCGGCTCTTGGATGCGCCACATCAGAAATATGCTGACACTTCCTAGGACGTGGTGAATGAGATTTTCAACGAGGATGGGACACTCCGAAGCTCCGTTTTCTCCAGATTATTAGGGGAAGAGTTTGTTTCCATTGCATTTCGTGCGGCCAGGGAAGCCGACCCCTCCTGCCGGCTCTACATTAATGACTACAACCTGGATCGTGCCGGGGTCAGCAAGGTCAACTTGATGCGGTATTACGTTGACAAATGGATCTCCGAAGGGGTTCCCATTGACGGAATAGGTCAGCATCTTTGAACCAGACCACTGAAAGTTCCATGAAGAATATGCGTGACTGACCAAAGCTGAACCAGGAACTCAAACACACCTTGGTGCTGGTGGAGGTGCTGCTGTCCAGGGTGCACTTCAGCAACTTGCCACTGCAGCGGTGACAGAAGTAGCGATTACAGAGCTTGATATCGCCAATGCGCCGACCAGTGACTACAATGCAGTTGTGCAGGGATGCTTGAATACGCCAAAGTGCTACGGTATTACTGTATGGGGCATCAGCGACAAGGTAAGTTCGTCCTGATATCTGCTTAATGGAGGCGAGGAAGCGAGCCAACAATTCTGAGAAAAAGGGCACATAAACCGCGAAAGTGGCCTGATGAATCCGAGGGGGCCAGGGTGTTTATAGGCGGAGCAGCCAGCCGGGAGGGAGAAATCGGGTCGCAAGTGGGTATTGGCAAGGTTTCGGTTTTTGCCTTCTCCTACTCTTACCATTTGTTGGGTCCGAGACTGAGCCAGGCCACCGCGGCATCTCTATTCGTAACGGGAGAATCGTACCACTGGAAAGACTAAAAAAAAGTCTTTCGGTAATCTCTCTGCCAGCCGATGTGTTTCTGTGGAGATTGGGGGAGGACTGGGAAGAGCCAGCCATCGAGGCCCTGACCATCTTGGCTGACCGGACATCCGCAGCCGTCGCTCGCCGATTGGCCCAGAACATTGTTGGGGATGTCAAAAGAGGATCAGCCCAACGGACCGGGAAACCTGTTACGGGCCAGCGGCGTAATCATAGGCAATGAGTGCAGTGGCAGTGGTCAACAGTTTTGCCATATAATAACATGAGGCATGAGGTTCAGACCAAATCCCAATCTGCTTTCAATCATCTACCTAATTCTCTACAAGAGTTTCTGGGTCTGCAGCGCGACCCTTTCCATTATCCCTCGATAGTAGGAGCGGCGGCACTTACAAAGATTCTGGTTACGACAACCCCTCGTTTGTGTTATCAACAAGGCAGCATTCACCATGTCGTCGCAGGCCTCAGCTGCCCAGCAGGCTGCAGCCTTCCCTGATGGCACCGTCGACTACGTCCCCCTCCGAGAGAATGGCAAAGCCAAAGCGGCAACTCACAAGAATAACATCCACATCTCCGAAACGCCCATGACGTTATCCAACTGGTACAAACACGTCAACTGGCTCAATACCACGCTTGTCGTCTTCATTCCCTTGATTGGGCTCCTCGCCTCCTACTGGGTTCCCCTCCACCTATACACAGCAATCTGGGCCTTTGTCTACTACTTCAACACTGGTCTAGGCATCACTGCTGGTAAGCATCCACCCGAAAGCCATGCGCTTTCCCCGTAAATACTAACCTGTGATAGGTTATCATCGCATGTGGTCGCATTCCGCCTACAAAGGAAACACCCTCTTGAAGCTCTACCTCGCAGCAGTTGGCGCCGGCGCCGTCGAGGGATCTATCCGATGGTGGTCCTACGGACACCGAGTCCATCACCGATACACCGATACCGACAAGGATCCCTACTCGGTCCGCAAGGGTTTCTTCTACTCCCACATTGGCTGGATCATCTTCAAGCAGAATCCCAAGCGCCAGGGCCGAACCGACATCACCGACCTCAACGAAGACCCCATTGTCGTTTGGCAGCACAAGAACTACATTAAGTCTGCCGTCACCATGGCTTTCATCTTTCCCGCTGTCGTTGCCGGCCTTGGCTGGGGTGACTGGGTCGGAGGTCTGGTCTACGCTGGTCTTCTTCGGGTCGGGTTCGTGCAGCAGGCTACCTTCTGCATCAACTCGCTTGCTCACTGGATCGGCGAGCAGCCCTTTGATGACCGAAACTCACCTCGCGACCATGTGATCACTGCGCTGGTCACTCTGGGTGAGGGCTATCATAACTTCCATCACGAGTTCCCATCCGACTACCGCAATGCCATCATCTGGTACCAGTATGACCCGACAAAATGGTTCATCTGGGTTTGGAAGCAGCTCGGGCTCGCGTACGACCTCAAGCAGTTCCGCCAGAACGAGATCGAGATGGGCCGTGTCCAGCAGTTGCAGAAGAAGCTCGACCAGAAGCGTGCTACTCTTGACTGGGGAATCCCCTTGGAACAACTCCCCGTCATCGATTGGGACGAGTTCGTCGAAGGCAGCACCAAGAATGGCAAGGCCCTGGTTGTCATTGCTGGCGTCATCCATGACGTGTCAAGCTTCATTGCTGAGCATCCTGGCGGTAAGGCCCTAATTAAGTCCGCCATCGGTAAGGATGCCACGGCCATCTTCAACGGAGGAGTTTACTATCACTCCAACGCTGCCCACAACCTCCTCTCGACAATGCGCGTCGGTGTCTTGCGAGGCGGCTGCGAGGTCGAAGTATGGAAGCGGGCACAGTATGAGAATAAGAATGTCACCTATGTGAATGATTCGGAAGGTCACCGTATCATTCGAGCAGGAAACCAAGTGACGAAGATTGATCAGCTTGTGGGAAGCGCTGATGCAGCTTGAGATTGATAATGAACTAAAGAAACAAAAACGAATGTATACATGAACGATTAGCAAGGATATAGCAAACGAGAACCTGAGTGTAGCGTATTAAATCATTTCCCAGCCCGATTGATCGGAGCTTCGACTTTAATTATTTTTCAAAAGCCAGCTCACGACCCTCACGTGTCTTTTTAAACTTACCCTCCAATCCCTCTTAACAAAGTTTCAAAGTTCATGTAAGAAGAATCCGGATCAAGATCCTTTCCATCCAAACCGGCAATGCTACAATTCTCCATGGTTGTCTCCTGCGTTAAGGCATCACTTGTCCATGTCTATGAGGGCGGTCTCGTTAATTGATTCGCTAAATTCTTCAGACACAACATTGGTGATAACCCTCAAACCAAAAAAAAAAAAACCGGGTTGTTTTCGGCAGGGAAGCTAATGCTAACACAAGGCAAAAACGGAACTACTAGCATTGTGTCATTGTCGTTCACTTTTGAACCATCTTGCACCTCTGCCATAGGGTAGCTCAGGGTTCTTGATGGTCGACCTTGCAGGCCCCTGCTCGATGAAACGCACAGCTCAAGCCCCTTGCTCCCCACGTCAGAAGCCAATCACCAATGAAAACTAGATCATTTATTAAGCGGGATTACATATGCATACAGGATCTTCAACCCCGTTTATCTCCGTGCATAAGCACTAGACTTGGTGCGTGTCTTGCTCTGTAGTTGTACTTATTTAATAAGGGGTTCAATCCATCTCTCTGCCCTTTGAATAAATACTTGTAATCATTCTTTATGGTACCCCTTGGTTACTCTCACATCAGAGCCCTTGCAACATAAGATACTGATTGCGCCGGCTGATCTAAAATGACCAACTACTGTCTCCCCGTCGTCCCTCGGATCATACTGGGCATTCTTGATCCACTGGCTATGTATGTCAATTCTCCTTTTTGTTCTTTACGGTGCCTTGATTAAAGTAACTAACACGCGGATCAGAGTCCTGACGTCTGTTGCTGCAATTTCCGACTCGGCGGGTTTCTACGTGAGTCAAGTACCAAAACCAGTAGACCATCCTGGCGAGATAGAGGTGTACACGCGCGTGATTTCTCTGAACATAGCTGCTTTCCTGTTGAGCATTGCGGCGACTCAGGTAATCGGCGTGTGGGTCAACAAGAGCGCATCCGTGATCAAATGGCTCCTAATTTCCTATCTCCTCGCCGATATTCTCTTCCTTTACTCTGCGTACGAGGCAGTTGGGAAAGACTACTTCTGGAACCCGAGCCAATGGACCTCTAGTATGTGGGGGTTGATTTTCACGGAAAATTTCTTCAATATCACAAGGATATTGAGCGTGTTGGGAGTGTTTGGGCCTTTAGGTAGCACGAAGCTCAAGGACTCTTAGGCCTTTGGTTGGTTATTTCTATGAAGAGGGTGGAGAGAGACAGTATCGTACGTTGCTGCTGGCAAGAGTATGTCGATATTTGGAGGTGAAGTATCTCGTTACGTTTTATTCATGTAACCAGGGATAAAGAGTCGTGTGAATGGAAGTTTTAATTCTTAGAACGAGCCTAGCGGGCATCAGATTCCACATGCTATTGACACGTATATCATGTGGCCTATTTCCCTATTCGTTTATTTCGGGGATCCGACACCACCTCTCTCGTATATGGTATATACCATCTCTCGGACAGTTATTCTAGAACTGAAATGCTCCAGCGCCATCAACGAGGACAGCGGCACAAGAAGCCACATACCAACGGGCATCCCATGATTGGAGGCACACCTGCCCCGCAATCCTCAGGCTGCACAATCCAGAGCCATTATGCCCCTTGGCAATTTCTGCGCTCCCATTCTAGTGATCATGAGGCGGCGGTGGTCCTCCAGCTTTGAGAGGGTCATCAGCCTTGGGGTGGCCACCAGGCTCGCCGAACTGACCAGACTCGGGGGGCCCAGCTTTGTGCATGCCTCCTAATTCTCCCGGGCCACTGCCTCTCTCTCGGCCACCGCATCTCCCTCGGCCACCGCATCTCCCTCGGCCACCGCACCTCCCTCGGCCACCGCACCTCCCTCGGCCATAGCCTCTCCCTCGACCATAGCCTCGTGATGCGCCACGGCCTCGTCGAGGACAATCAAATGGTGGGGGGCCACCGCGTTGAGCATCGCCCCGTTGTCCGAAACCTGTGAATGGATCGGCTGCGTTGAGCTTGGCACGCGGCGCGAGAAGAACATCATGAACATCGAGCTCGAAGTCCCGCCCATCCAGTTCGTCGACGCGGTTATGGTCGTCCAGTTCATGGTCAATATCGCGGCCAGCAACAGGCTCGCTCAAGTCTCCATGTGAGAGCTTATTCTCGTCGAGTCCGCGGGCAGCGTCAGGAAATGCAAGGACGCTGCTTGTTACGGATAACACAAGAGCTGCCGCAGCTCCGACTCGGTGGGTGACAACCATGGTCAGGAATCAACGAAAAAGGGTAGATGAAGTTGTAGGAAGGAAAATAGTGAGAGGAGAAGAGAAAGATGAAAATAGTAAAAGACACTGCAGCAGTGGAAGGCGTCTTATTAGTTCTGGATGTTTTGGATTGACTGATTAGAATGGATATAATTTCTTGCAGACAAGAACACATCTTATATACGTGTTATTACGGGTGTGAGAGTTCGAGTAGCTGGACTCACTTACCAAAACTAGCAATAGAAGATGCTATGACGCGGCATTTCAGCATCATGAATACGAAGGCATAAATAAGCCCTGCTAGCCTAAGCCTACAGTCATACAGAAGGAATTCTGTGAATCTTAATACTGATTCCATTGCCATGGGGATGAGCCGCTCGTCAGATCATTATTGATCCCACCCTCTTTCATCTACCGAGCTGGAGTTCTGCCTCTCTCACACAACTTCCTTCGTACACTCACCTTCTATCTAATCTGAGAATGAGCTCAAATCAGCCCAGTGAGTACCAGTATATATACGTATTCATCTCATCAGGATGTCTCCATGTCCTCGCTCGAACGACTGAGGCCAGAGTATGTCCATGCACTAATGTCGGCCACTATTGATCTGTGAGGCTGACCAACGACTTTAATCCAATCGCCAATTTCCATCTAATCCGTGTTTGAATCTTATTCAGAAAACCAGAACGCAAAGGATCACCTTACCAACGTGTCCTTGGTGCGGGATCTGAGCCAACACGTACCTAAAATAGCAAATCACCCTTCCGTTGAAGAACCAAGCTGGTCTAGACTTACCAGTCAAGGTATTTTCGGCCAACAACAGAGCAGCTCCTATGCCTGAATGAATGTTTTCTTTTGGGGAAAAAAATGAATGCCTTTTCTCGGTCTAGCTTATAGTTGCTCGTTGAAAATTCAAAATCCGTCCGACGAGCAGCAAGAAAGGTTTCAGCTACCTAACTGCCCCCGGCTTGAAGCAGACTCAATTAAGTAAGGCTGGTTCTAGACGGGGAAAGTGTCATAATATTTGGTCCATCGGGATTCAATAACTTAGTGCGCGGCAGGCACATCGCGGCCTAGTAACTGAACGACCCAGTAAAAGGGTTTGACTTAAAGCAGAAAGGCATAGTCTGGCTCTGTCATGGCAAGTATATTGATATGCTAAGCGTAATGTTGGGAGCATATTGTTATTTTGTTGTCTTGCTCGATCCTGTTTCCCTCTCATCCCAACAGGGCCAATCTATCCCAGCCCTTTTCGTAAGACGCATATTAATTACCAAGACCAGGTCATTCAGTAGCAGACTTTGTCAATTTCACAGCTAAACACAGTAGAGTCTGAACAGAAAGCTCACTCTCTCGGTATTTGGAAAGAAAAATAGTATTGAATGAAATAGATGCTCCCACCGCTTACATGAGTTAGCAAAATAATTCTCCTAGGTTTTGTCGCGTGTAGATTCATGGCTTTGAGCAATAGACGATGAATTTGTAATTCAGTGAGACTAACACGGGACGAGAATATCTATTCTGAGAGCGGTCGGCCGCCCAGAGTGGCGCTGCCATATTTCTAAATATTTCCACGGTGGCTGTGCAGTGGTGCTGACTGGGGGTAAATGCATCGGCAGTCGCTGTGGCCGGTCATCGTCAGCAACCGAGTTAAGCCACAGCAAGTCTAGCTTGCGCTAAATGGTGACTTGCTTGACCTGATACGGTACTCCGAATGGCAAGAATGAGTAAGAGCATTCGCGGGATTGACTCCGCCGCCGCCGCCATCTTATCGGAACCAGACTCATCCGGGAGGCGGTGTTTTAGTGCAGCAAGATGGCTATTTTGAGATTGGAGATTGGAAATGCTTCTCAGTCTAACGGATGGTGAGAATGTATTTAAGAAGCTGGGCATGATCGAGATCAAATGTTGCATTCACACCATCATCCGCATCAACATTCAACAGCACTTCATCAATACCTCATTCTAATTCCAATTTCTACCTTCGCCTATACGATCCATCAGGACCTTTACTTCTTCAAATCATATAACCATATCTTCATAATCGCACACCAAAATGGCCTTCACTACGCTATTCGCAACCGTTCTCCTTGTCAGCGGATTAGCCACGGCCGTCCCGACACCAACCATCCGGGCAGTCCCCTCCACCACAGTGAAGCTGACTGGAGTTACTCATTCTGTTACGGCCGGTCTTGGTGGTCTTAATTTCTCCCCGGACAATGTCGTTGCCGATATCGGCGATGTTGTCGAGTGGCACTTCCTCCCGCTTAATCACGCCGTCGCGCAGTCTTCCTTCGCTGAGCCTTGCAAGCCACTCAACAACGGCACCGGCTTTTACTCTGGCTTTCAATTCGCCACCAAAGAGAACCAGGCCCCTAAGGTTTTCCAGATTGTGGTGGAGGATAAGAAGCCCATCTGGTACTACTGCCCTCAGACCAACGGCAACCACTGCCAGAAGGGCATGGTCGGCGTTATCAACCAGAACTTTGATAACCAGCTTTTCAGTCTTGCTAAGCACCGACAGCTTGCTGCTGGCACTGGCGTTTCCATCGTCCCTCCTATAGTTCAGGGCGGTGCAGTCATCCCTAACCCTAATCCCAACGGGGGCTTTTGAACGGAGCTTGTCAATCATGATCACGGAAACTGCCGACGAGGCTTGATATAATGGGCGGCATAAGATTTGCATTTTATAGACGGTGTACAATTCATTGTAAATATTTTGGCATGGATTTTACCTTCTTTCTTGGGCTTGGAGTTTTAGATCTTCATTAGACACTTAGAGTTGATTATCATACATTTGCATAATTCTGACTCAGTTCCCAGAAATATGCTTTTCCGTGTTTTCTTTCTGGATCTCAGCTTTCTCAATCAGATTTAGGTTTGCCCTCATTCCGCATTTACTTCAAGTCGAGCAAGTGCGTCATGTGCTTCATGGCGAACATGATAGTCAAGCTCATGGTTGTGGTTTCAGTGCAGCGTAGACGCTAGCGATACTTGGGTTGAGGGATATTTTTCTACTGCCATGCTGACGACAAAACTAACAGAGTACAACCTCAGCCGGCCATTAAAGCTCGTATGTCCATTTCGATGTGATCATCTCAAGCCGATGAGACTAAAGCGAGACTATTCAAACGGGATGCGATCCCGAAAGGAACTGGATTAGACTTCCTCTAAATAGCCAAGACTCTCTTAAAAGAGGTCTAGTCGAAGATTCAATTTCAGTACCCTAGGAAAGGGCCATTGACCCTCTCAAAGTACACTGATAAGGTATGTAGTGAAAGAACTGAGCCTAGAAGCGGTATTTGAGTAGCCAAACTACTGCAAGCCATAGCATCTTAAGAAAAATTTAAATTCCCGGAATCTCAACAGGACTTGAGGTTGACAAGACGAACAATGTTTTTAGGTTCAAACTTTGAAAACCAAAAGTAGTAATTACTACCATTCAAAGATGATGCCTTAACTACCGTTTCCTCTACTCATCTGCAAAAAATCCTCCCACCAGTCTCCCACCCTACCTTTCTTAGAAACTTCAAGACATGACGTTTATTGACAGAGGTAAGAGGATTTTGTGGGCTTAATATGTGTGTTTGGAGCAGTCATAGGGTAAGAAACCCCTGCCATCATATCAAGGGGGTTGATAAGCGGCTTGGCATATTGACGAGGCGGGGTTTATGGACGACCACTGGACACGTCACAATAACCACTTTCGTGGATTTGGCTGTTCTTCATACTGTCATAAGGAATCTATCCGCACCGCCGAGAGTATAACCATCCGAACATTTATCAATCGATACAATGGCCGACTATAGCCTCTACGATGCCACAGTGCCTCATGCCATTTCAGCTCTTAATGCCATTCTCAGCCTTCTCGATATGCTTCAAGCTCATGCTTCGACCGCCAATGTCCCCGTCGAGAACTATATCAACGCCAGACTGATTTCAAACATGTATCCCTTTAATTTCCAAGTCTTTATGGTCTGTCGAATGGCAAAAGACATTATTGGCCATTGCCAAGGCGCTGAAGATGTTGCAAAGAACTTCGGCTCTGAGGAGGAGAAGCAACTAGCAGAATTGACGACCCTGGAAAGAATGAATACACTGGTCAGGGCAGCATTGGATGTCGTCAATAACTCGGATAGAAATAAATTCACTGGGAGGGCGGGAGCGACGATCACATTCAACTTTGGTCCGGACAAGTACATCACGTCTACGGTTTCGCAATTCATCGGAGGTTATGGATTACCCAACATGTATTTTCATCTTGTAACAGCCTACGACATTGTTCGTTCTAAAGGAGTACCTGTTGGGAAGCAGGACCTATTGACGCCTTTTTTCAATCAGCAACAGATTTCTCCCTAAAATGTCGTTTCTGCGGTGCAACGCACTATAGGAACGCAGATAAAGACAAACATCTGGGGTTCTTAGTACACAGAAATAGCTTGGATTTGATAGAAATTTAAAGAATCTTTCTGCGGTTTGATTCGGGCCATAATAGGCGAGACCTGAATTCGGGCATAAATCAGAAGTATTAGCGTAGATAATGCGCTTGTTCTCCCCTGACTTTGCTTGTACAAAGCCTCGACAACGAGGGCGCCTCTTAATCCTACTAGGTAGTCCCAAGGTACTATTCACCGAGTCCCCTGAGCCGTTGAGCCTTTGAACAATTTTGGCATGCTGATCCCTTGAGACATCTCCAACTAAACAGCCAAAACAACAAATTTCATCACACACAGAACTAACTTCACTCAAAATATGCCGATACATCACTGCAAGTGTGTCAATGATCTATCGTTAGTGAGTCACGCGAGTTGGAATGCATCTCTACTTAAATGCTAAATTCTACCTAATTCGAGGAACCAAAATCGCGAAGCAACCTCCGTAGCCGCCGTAACTATGTCCAGTTTGACTTTTTTCTCTGATGGCACATATATCCCTATTGCGAAAGCATGATACCTGTAGAATATTCCGTTTAGAGAAACGAAAACCAAGTCCCTTTATAAACATACACTAGTAGCCAACAAACTCTACTTAGATCACTAAACGAACCCTCGAGCGGCCAGCAATCAATCTGTTCCCTAGGAAGCATTGCACAGCTCACACGATTCGCTTTGTCTGGACTTTGGGGCCGCACTGGACTATATCCTTTCCATCCGTACTGGTCATCCACCCGCATGCTGTCCCATGGAGGCTACACTTTGGGGATATTAATCTTTATTCTGGTTTTGTTATAGGTAACAAGGTGTACTTACCGGGTATTCCTTGTGACAAGGTCTGTCTTTAGCAGACCTACGGGTTCCTTTGGGATCTTTGAGCTCTTTGCACTTTCCATTACCCATCATTCCTGCTGAGCATGTCTGGGAGTATCTTATCAGTATCTGTACATCTGGAGATATAGGTACAATGGACTTACCGGCTGCTTTTTCTCCTTCCCTGGCTTAGAAATGCCTCCGTTCCCGGAAATGCGCCCCGTCTCCTTCTTAGCAGGGCCAGCCTTCTTGGCAGGGCCAGCCCTCTTGGACAAACGATCTGCCCTGTTTGAAGTCTTCTCAGGGTGAGCTCGAAATGGGGCTCTAAAAGCTCGGTCCGGGCCTGCGTGGAACTTTCTGGATGGGGTATTTGAATGACGCCCATCACGCTGCCTGACAGCCAAAGATCCTGAGATCAGGAGAAGAAAGGTGGTGATGAAAAAAGAAAACCGCATTTTGAATATGGTCGAAGATGGGGGTCTCAATGGTGGAAATCAACAGCAGACTGGTGTATGAATCGGATGGGTGTTTCTCTGCTGAACAGACTCTGCAAGAACGACGGAGCTGGTCTTAAGTAGTAAAAACATTTCCAATTGAGGATTCAATTGTTGGTCGCGGTGCAATATTATCTAAATTGAGAGGGTAGGATTAAGTCCCTGGCGATATTAAAATAGGTCCTCAATGCGACAGTATGCAGTCATTTTTTAGAGCCAACGAGCAGTAACAGGCAGCCACCTAAGAACACAAAATATCTCGTTGGTACCATCCCCTAGCCATACACAGAGCTTCGAAGAAAACAGGAATCGAAACAAAGCTCAATGGCTAGCAAACAGAACTAGCTATAGAACTGGGAAATGGCCCTAAAACGTTTCCGAAGCCGATAAAAGCCAGTGTAGTCTGTTGGAGCGCGGGAAGGCGCAGCAAGATTAACAATCACCGTTCACAACCAACACAACCAACCAACACAACCAATCCATTGGCTGAAACGAAATAAATGTAACATTGGAACGGGACAGGGATCTTATGTCCTGATTTTTCACCCGCTGCATCACGCTAAATAAAACGAAGGTCAGTTATTGGCTGATTCTGTACATCGGTTAGCGTTCCAAGGCATTTTTGTTGGTTATCACAAGATACCAGAAGGCATGCTGACAGATTGGATGCCCATTCTCCGTGTAATACCACGTCCAGGTGGTCTGATAGAATTTGCAAGTAAAGGGGATGCTGGTAGACATTGGTCTTGACATGTGGCCATGTCCCTTGAAATTAATTGAAGCAGCCACGTCCTAACCTCACCTACCATATCACTAATAAAATGATATAACGTATTTAGGGATCGTCGCTGAGGACATTTGTGAGCCTCGGAGGGCTGGTTAATGCTGAAATCATCTCTTTCCTTTACGTGTTGAAGCCAAGGGTCAACATTAAGACTAGCCTTTTCGATTTTTCCCTCTGCAAAACTCGGACAACGCTGTCCCTCATCTCCCGCTTCCTTCAACCTTGGTCCCAGACCCACAGCGAAGCTAGAAATTCTACCTGTTTTCGTCCCTCCTACAAGGCGGATGAATCTTCCTACGCAATAATAGTAGTCTTAGTGTAAATATTTTTATAGTCAAAGTTGGATAACAAAGATCGTCTCACGTTCTCTAGATTAGCGGCCGATGATAGCCTCTACCCGACCAACATCCTCCTACTGTTGATATTGATCCTTGGAAGGTGATAACATCCGTCTTAATGCCCTTGTGCTTCGGGATGAATTAATTATCTAGGTGATTTCAACGGTACTGTGGTCTCGAAGACTTGGTTGTTGATGATCGTGATACATGATTAGTGCAGACTGGGTTGGTCAATCTAGTAAGTCTAATGAGGTTAGGGATGACAGCTGTGGGATTAGATGATCGAGAGGAGCCAGAGTTCATTCTGGAGTCACCTCAGCGGAAGAATTGTGATGAGGAACACCACTTTTGTTCACCCGGAACCATGTGTATAGCTCACTCCAACTGCCCTTTCTCAGGCTTCTTCACCGGAGTCGAGCGCTAACCCTCCATTACCGTTGCAACCTTTTTTAGCCCAAATATGTGAGCTTGAGTGTCTGGCTTGGCCCAATGATACTCGTGCTCGGGGCGAATGCTATGCTTATCTGTGTCCCTTTTGTGTAAGGCAGAACCGTCTCCCTATCGTTTCACTACGATATCTCGCCAAGTTCAAAGACGTGGTTGAACTACTTATATATTACAGATCTCACGGGGAGAAAGAAAAACTGCTGTAACGCTATTATAGCAAAATAGGTTCAATTTCATGCTTCCGATTGTTCTGCGACTCTTTTAGACTTTGCTCCGGACAATAGATCAAACAAAATAGGCCACATAAAGGATATCAATCCACTGGAGAGTGCGAAAGCCTGGTCCAGATCCGTTATTGATAAATTTGTCCGGGGTAAAAACAGGTAGGAAAGCTTCAGTTCAAGTATCATCTCATACCAAGTACGACACATATACCAAGGTCCATAAGCACTCATGGTGATAACGAGGATCACAAATGGTATACAAACCCACTTGATCCACGTGATATTTGGACTAGAGAAGTATGTCAATCTCGACCTGAGGGCAAGCAAGAATGGGAAAGAGATTGGAGAATGAGTATTCCAAATAAAGTCAACAGCTGTGGAGAAAAAGACGAGCGTCAGGTATAAGTTGAACAACATGAGCGCTAGAACTGACAGGGCGAAAATAGGCGAAATAAGTGCCGCGTATATTCTGGTCAGAGGCAGACAGCCGTGTAAAATGAGGCCAACCAAGACCTCGATGGGAGATCCCACAGTGCCGCTGCTGTCACCATGGCGGTTGAGCTTAACCATCAAGGCGATTTTCACAGCGCAGCACCACGCAAGTCCAGCCGTGAACAAAACATTTTTCATAACAGGGCTGGGCTTGGTCGGTGTTAATAAGCCAAAAAACAGTGCCGTGGCGCAGATATAGAAGAATGAATCCTGAATTCTCAGGGCCGGGTTCATTGCCAGAATTCGGGGGTACAATTCCGCGTGGGTAGCAAGATGTGAGCCGTCGGGGGAATCGTATGGCAGAGGTATCCCTTTGTCACAGCTCTCGCGGCAGGATAGCAAGTTCTCGGTAAGGTATTTCTCGTAGCCCACAGGAAATCCATTGATCTGGATGAGGAGATGGCCGATCGCGATGATGGGGTATGCCATCAGTGCGAGAAATTCGATTGAAAGCCCAAAGAGATGGGACTTTCCCTCTCGCTTCGCAGTGAGGGAATTAAATATATAAGCCGCTATGCTCAAGTACCAGCAGGCTAGAGCGCCAGGGCCATAAAACCCAGACACAAGGGTGTAATAGTCTGATGCTTCATTTTGCGCCATGTCAGCGGGCGGCGCTCATGACAATGAGGTGTAAAGACTTCGATCTCGCAAGTGGGTGGGCAGCTTGTGTCGAAAGAATACTACATCCAGATGCCAGTCAGCCTTGCCGTTGGAACTTATGTTGGTTACATAAGATTCTGCCTTGAGCGCTACAATTGGGAGACATCTCTCGCCGCAGCTGATGAATATTACCTGGACTAAGGGGGATTTTCTAAGAAGCAAAATAACTCAATTTTTAAGTAAGAACCAATTAATCGTCTCTCATGTTATTTCTTGGATTCCCATCTCGAACAGCATGGCCCAGAATCAAGCAGAAGAACCACAGCAAGGACGGAAAATAAAAATGGGTGCTCTTATTACGTGTCAGAGAACTACGGATAATTACTTTCCCATAAAGAATCCAGGATACATCGGGTTCACAGTCACGATGAAACCCAAGTAAAACCATCCAGAGGCATCGGTTGCACATATGGAGCCCACGGAACGGCAGCCATGCTCCAGATCGTTCAGCTGGTTCTAATGAGACGAAGCCCATTTAGCAAGATCTATCCAGTCTTCCACTTTTCGAGCCTGTACATAAATCGTTCCGGGGCCCTGGACCTCAACGAAACTCGGCTTCTTCCCGCCGAGTTTGACTGGCGATAGCGAGCAGTTGGTCCAGGCCGCTAGGTGGCCAGTCTCAACAATTTGGGCCTCGCCTGCTCCGAGCTATTGATTTTATTAAAATATGCATTTACACTGGCCTTCAATGTTCCCGTGCTGAAGAGGAAGAGGGGGGATGCGTGCATGCAGCCTAGAAGAAGTATGTGGAAGTGGGAATGGAATAGCTAGACTTACATCAACTCGATCAACAACACCGTAGGTCCTTAACCAAAAAACACCTTTGCCAGAAAGCGTATAATGGTTGAATTCCTGTTCGTGAAACATCCCGAGACTGAACTCTTTCTTGACCAGATTGCCGTTTACCCCTGCAGTGGAGGCTAGAGTTAACGATGTACGGACTGACCACTGTTGCTTGTCCGTCGCACTGTCGATGGGAAGAGCGATGATATCTCCAAGGATATCAGGGCCTAGCGTCACGGTGCCGGGACCAGAGAAGGTCATATATTTTGTCCACGTATCGCGCCCCTCCGGCGTGAGTGAGTATTTGTCTGCAGAGTCCACCTTGACGCCTTTGGACATATGAATCAATGACTCTATCCGAGAAGTCAAGCGACTGTTTCCATGAAGGGAAATGGTCAAGGTGGAACTAGCGTCGCGGTGGTTGATGGTGTAGCTGCCGCCATCAAAGTGCCCAGCACGTCCATATTGCCCGGCACCCTGAGATGGCCCGCCAACTTGATACGGCGGCGGTTGGGTCTTTTCCGAGTACGACATGATTGATGGACAGCTTTGTTCTTTGTCTGATGTGTGGAGGGAGCATGGGCTATTGCCTAGGTAAGTGAAGAAAAGGGAATGGCCGTCTTGTTTTCAAATGAGACGAAATCCATGGTGGATACAGGTGGCCACGCCATCAACATTGGCGAAGGGTTGGCATGGCTCGTTGTCGGCTTGGCGTCAGCGCTATGATGTGTCCTTCTCGAGTGTTTTTTTGTATTCATGCTTGGCAGAAGAAGAACTCCACCGTCCATTGACAAGGAACGCAGGTACTGAGTAGCGTGAGCCGATGGAGGAGTTCAGTTCGCATAAAACCCTGTGCCTGTGCTTGTGAATCCTTCTTCTCCATGCCGGTAAATGAAGGGTGGAGCTCTATCCCTTCCCGCGTGAAACCTTCTAGCCGGTTTTTGCATGGTGCACCGTCCGGCTGTCGATGGCCCCCAACTCACCTTGATTTTGTTTTCCGTCGGTAATATTCAGCTTCGCTAGCATGGGATAACCTTCTCTTTACGCCATACGCAGATATAAAGGTATGTTTTGGCAGGTAAGATAATGTACCAAAGCCGTCCGATGAGTCCACAATTCACCCCATGTTATGTATGTATGCTCCATGAAATCCAAATATTAATAAAGAAACTAAAGGCTCCGCCCAAAGTAGCAATAAAAATAGAGTCGACGCTAAATCCGGTGGCATTATCGCACATTTCCTTGTTTCTTCCCATGTTGGCCGCTGCTTGGCCCTTTTTTACCAAGACCAATCGTATGCAGTTGCAGAGATGCCTGAGCTAGCCGTCTGATAATCCAAGTCATTCAGAATCCAGGCAACAGGAAGCAAAGGGAGAAATTGGCTGACTGGTGATCACAGTAAAGGCTGCAAGGGAAGGGAAATGAACTCACAGACAGGTGACTTTGATAGACCATTTCGAACCCATGTTGGATGCAACAAAGCCCTTGTAAGACACCCCTGTGTCCTCAGATAGACTTGCCTCGTACTCCCACCACTTGTGTCTCGGCAGGAACTAACATGGGGTGAGAGATATGGTGTGAAGGGCATCCTTTGTTAGGCTTGACTCTGTGAGTAGGTGTCCAGAAAACCAGGGTGCTTATAATCACTTCACGCTATTCATGCTGGTTGAAGAAAAATTATCTCTATTCGAATAAAAAACTTCTAATCGCTAACCCTTAATAGTACAGCTCCCGGACAAGGTCCTCAAAGGCACGCCTGTCGAGCTCCTCCACAGCGCGCTTGCCCTCGCCTCCACCCATGGCGGACTTGACCACGTTCTTGATGGTGCCGTATGTGGTCGCGATGGTATAAGCGGCATCTAATCCATTACCAATGTTCTCGCCGATGTTAGGGCTAAATCGGCCCTTGGCGCGCTCCTCCAGGTCACGCTCCTCGAGATAGTCCTCGAAATCACGCTCCTCAAGGTAATCCTCAAAGTCGCGCTCCTCGAGGTCTTCCTCGAAATCACGGGCCTCGAGGTCTTCCTCGTAATCACGGGCCTCGAGGTCTTCCTCGAAGTCACGCTCCTCAAGTTCCTCGTCGAAATCACGCTCCTCAAGTTCCTCATCGAAGTCACGCTCCTCGAGGTCATCCTCAAAATCGCGCACTTCGACATCCTCCTCCACTGCACGCTCCTCATTGTCACGTTCGGACATGACAAGGCCGGCGATTGCGTTGCCCAGGTTGAGAGCCTTGAATGAGTTGTTGAACATGTTCTTGTGGAAGGCTCGTGCCTTAAGATCTCGCTCCTCGGACTCAGTCCCGCGCGCGGCAAGATCAGCATCGTTGACATTGCCGCGGATGGGAAGAGCGACTGCGGTCTCAGCAATGCTGAGGGCGACAGCGGCGGTCAGAGAGAGTTGCTTGATGGAGACCATTTTGAAGAATTGGTAAGATTATTAATGGAAAGAGGTATAAAATAAAGGATTAGAGAATTGAAGATGTTCGGAAAGATAAAAGATTCAACAAAAAAGAGCTATTGGCCAGCAATAAAAAAATTATTTAATAAAAAGGTGGAAAGAAGCGAAAGAGACCAGCTCTAGGTGTTGAATATTGTTTTTATGGTTTTTGTGATGAATGAGAAGAAGGAAAGGGGACTTGGGCAGAGGAATGGTCTCCCTTTATACACATTTCCAATGCCTCCTCTGGAGAGCCCAGTGTCTGCAATTATTCTTATCGTTCTATTTCGAGATTCTGTCCGGTCTCTTGAGCCAAGGATGAGCTTCCCTCGCCGTCGGGACCGTGAGAAGTTCAGGGGATGTGGGCGAACCACCCCGTCGGACCCTGTAAATAGAAGTTAACTAAGTGGAAATCTCTTTTCGTGAATGTTTATGCACAAAACAGAATGGTCTTGCATGATTTCACACAACCCCAGGGATCCCACGATTACCTCCCCCCTCCCCCGCGAACTCATAAATTATAATTATCTTCCCTTGTATGTACATAGACATAGGCCGGTCGTCATGTTTATGGTTGACGAGGACATGGTCACTAGTCTGGTCGGGTCCTGGCTAGTAGGGGTAACGATGACTGCCAAGATTTAGGAACTTCGACGAAGGAAGTCTGGATGTGAGCATCGGGGCATCCCTCCTCTAAAGGCCATGACCGAGCCATGTCGGACCCTACGTATTAGAGTTTTTAGAGTCATAGATGCCTGTGCCCGGTCTAAACAATATTGATGGTTATCCTCTGTGTTTGGTAGGTTTAGTTTTAGATATTGACCACTATCGCGTGGAAGAAAATCCCGTGGTGCCGTCACGCGAGCAGCCTCATCCAGGGGTTACGGTTTTCGCTTGCTGACGGACGGCCAAAAAAGCATAAACAAGTGCATGCCGGTAGTGCCATTTAGTGGAGATGCTCACGGTTGCCCACGTGCTTACGTGCTGATTTTGCCCGTAGCTGAGCGGTCTAATGAGGTCATCTTGGCACTGCTGGGATTTTGGAACTGCCGGCATCTCGGAACTGCCGGTGGTGTCCTGAAACGCTTGGCCAATAACTAAGTGGACCTCTAGGAGATTGTGAACCGCCACATCCGGGACAAGCTTGACAAGGTTGAGATCCTTATCCAAGCACACTCACTTTGTTTGAACCGTCGGGTTGGCGCCTTCTGTCTTCCATCAAGACTGGTGAGCGCTGTGGACCTGATCAGCTGTTGCGATGAGGCCCTGTAGCCCGGATCCAGTAGTCGGCGGATACTCCAACCATGATAACCTGGCCTGCATACATTAGATTGGTAGGTATACGTAACTCCCTGACTGCTCATTACCTAGCGGAGACACCAATACCGGGGTGTTCAACCAATTGAACGCCTCGAAGGTTAAGAATACATGGAATTTAGCGGATGAGCCTCCTAAGATAGAAGTACCAATAATCCGACCGAGTGCAAATTGCGACTTGGCATCAATCCGCTGGCCTGTCTGACTGATGTTGAGGCGAGCGATCAGTGTAGATCTCGAGATAAGCCCTCGCTGTAGACCTGAACCAACTGTCTTCTGTTGCTATGAGCGATGTATCTATCTCCTTGGTGTAGCCAAGGTGCTAGTATTCATTGTGTTGAGATGTCGGGTCTGGCATCTTCCGTTGTTGTTTAACTTTATACCCGAACTCTCTTCCGTAGCCAAGGTGCTACTTAGTATGTAAATTAGGTATTAGAACATACCTATTAATAGTTACAAGTTGATAACTAAGAGCAGTACTTTATTTTTTGGGCTTTGTGCTGGGTGATGACATTGTTTCTTGTTACTACACAGAAATAATCAATCTCTAACTTAATTCAACTACTGCTAATTAAATACCTGAAAGATTAGCATAGGATTCTTAAACCAGGAGGGAAGATACCGGCCTAACACATTAGCTACACCGAGGAGATGTAGAGTCTTCTTGTTATTCTAGGGTAGGCGTAGTTATCGTTCCCTCAGCTTATTCAGGGGCAATGTCACCTCCCGTGCCCGCCCACTCGGGAATGAGCAGTCAAGGAGATCTGTCTTCGGTTAAGAAACTTAAGATGAGGGATCACTTTGGGCCTGGGTGAGCACTGAGCTGTCTACGATGTACTGTGTAGGCGGCTTAGATGCGATCCCTTGAACTTAATCCGTAGCAGCATAACGCCTCGTCACGTCCACAGCGATCGCTCATTTGAACAGCACACAGCTAGGTCAGGACCAGAAGCTACAATTAGTATTGACGCAGATTTGGCTTGATTTCGTTCAGTCTTCGCGTATTGAATCGACCGTGCATGTGCTAAATGTAGGTGTCAAAAGTACGTTGTGATCCATGTAGACTGGGGGCTTTTCTTCTAGCTCAGTGCTTACTGTATTAGGCAAATGTGCAAAAATGTTTATTCTAGCTGCTTGGGTTATCCCAGCTTTTCCCTTTCATAACGCTATCCACTTCGCAATTCAACCAATCCAAGTCATTTGCATTGATGCCAACGCTGCTAGTCGTTACCTAGGCATTCATGGACCCTGAAAAGGAATTCAAAATTTCCAGCTCTCCTAACGAATCCTCTGGTCACTCACAGACTCTTCTGACTATGCTCAACATGTGCATTTCTGAAAAAGGCCTAGTATAGAGAACAGTTCGGTCCGTTAGATTCAACAGACTAATGCACTCAAATTTACTCTCTAATTGGCGATACTATATTACATTTAATCCATCCTTTCTGAGATAAACAGCCCTTCTTGGTCCAAGTATGACTCGTATTTTGAATAATAGCATTATGGGATCTCCCTGTACCGTTCTTGGGCCATGTCATATCTCTCCTGAGATCCATGAACATACAACGATTTTGGGTGGTACCAAGCGAAGATCGCCGACACAAGGAGCATTAGGAAGGCATCGAGAGTGTAAACATAAATCTCCTTTTGGAGCAGTGCCCCGCTGTAGCCTTGGGCATACTCAATCAGCCGAAAAACTGAGCGCACCATGATGAGCATGCTTGCAGCATAGAGGATATACAGAAACGTCTTCCATGGAAGGAGTGTCCCACGTGATTTTACCGTCGGGCGTCTGTTCATACGAATGTGGAACAGTACTGTGACGATCATGAACCCGCCGAAAAACACGAGCTGAATACCCAGGCCTAGCATGATAATGGTATTTCCCGTATCTTGACTAGATTGGGAGCTGGAGGCCGCAAGCAACCCACCACCTAAAAGAGTTGGCTGTTAGTATAGGTCGCGCATATGAACTGCCGTGGAGAAAGAAATGATACAAACCTCCACCTTGTCCAAAAATCGACAAAACATCTCCCAGCAGAAAGAGCTTTGTAAGCCACCTGGTTGAAATCAAACAATTCTGCTCCCCATCAATCAGCACCACAAGTCGCCCTAAAAGCATATAGATGGATGCTGCATAAAACGCCGGGCCCAGGAGAATCAGCATGCTCTGGATGATATAAGGCATCAAAGTCCAATCCGGAGTCTGTTTCGATGAGTAGGCTCTCGCGGCGTAACCTATCGTCTCAACTGGACCAATTATCAGCTCCCTTGCCTGGGGTGAGAGATATATGAGAGTAGATTTACGTACACAGGCAACCCACAATGAAAGGTATAAAAAACCAAGTCCTCTTCTTAAACAATAGCTGAATATGGCGGCCTGACGCGATGCCAAAGAACGCAGCGAAAGCTACGGCGCCACCGAAAGTAGGGGTATAGTGGTACAACTTGAAGCCTCCATCATCGTCAGCTCGAAGTTGAGTATGCATAGCTGAAACTTTCTAGAAATATTCTTAATATGCACTGTAAAAAGGAGGAATAAAGGGAGGTGCAAAGAGAATGGGAAACTAATGCCGAATTGAAACGCTCAAGGGGTGGTTGATGAAGAGAAAGGCACGCCTGTAAAGATTTGTCTAAAATCTTCAAGTAGATCAACCAGCTGCATTATATGTTACGGTCCGAGAAAAAATATTTGTTACTATCTACGTTTTGGTTTTGGTCCGTGTTGCTGTTCCACATCGGATTCAGCCACCGAAGCCGAGATACCAAATTGCGCAGCTTGAACACAGCCTCAAAGTGACGACTGCAAAGGCTGGGAGGAAACCATGGCTGTTTCATCAACTGTGGAAAACATGCGAAAAGTCTATTACACCGAGACGTGATGAGGCAAGACACAAAAGACAGCCCCAAACACATAATTAAGGGTAGCCGGCCTGAGCGACCCGAGCGATGGATCGGGTTCGCATGAGGTGGGCCAGTCTCTTGGGGTAATGCGAGCTCGGCAAGCTCGGGTTGAGATGATCACGAGGATTGAGATGCAGTACAGTGGGTCGTAACCGAGAGCCAGAACTTACGTATCATACTGAAGCGGGATAGCTTCTCCTGTAGCCACATGGATCTTCGGCTCAGACATCGAAACGCTTGCGCCGAGCCAGGATAATGCTTGCCTCCGCCTCGTCGTTGCATCAATAGAGAGATCCGTATCGTATCTCGATGGAAATTCCACTCCAATGGAACCCGCTCTATCGTCACTTATTTCCCGCCTAAGCCTTGATGTTAGCGGACCGTGTTGATTGTTTGAAGTATAATAGGGTGCTGGCTTCTTGCCATACTGTGGTCCCGAGTACATTTATACGTAATCCCTTGCTCCGTCTACGGGTATCTGTCACTTGGTTTACTCGAAATCATGCGGATTAGCCACGTTTGTCTCGCGGCGGCCGCCGTATGTGCTGCGAAGGGAGCCTCGAGCCCGAAGTTAACGTCGGCTTCCGGTATGTTTTCCCCCAACTACCCCGGATTCCTACTTTTCTGATCATATTAGACTGGGCTGAAGCAGCTCAACGGGCGGAGGAATTTGTGTCTCAACTTACTGTCGACGAGAAGATAGGCATCGTGTCCGGTGGCTATAGACAGCCAAGTCCTGCATGCGTAGGCTCCATTGGCGGCATTCCTCGACTCGATTTTGAGGGAATATGCTTCTCTGACGGACCAGCTGGCTGCTCTCGATCCGACCTAGTCAGTGTATTCGCGTCTGGTATCACCGTAGCGGCGAGCTGGGACGTTGATCTGATGTTCAACCGCGGTGTGGCCCTGGGGGAGGAGTTCAGAGGAAAGGGTGCCCATGTTCACTTGGGGTATGTGTCCACGAAATTTGCGAGGCGCGACCTAGCTGATGAATTATCTATGATTCAGGCCGTCTTCAGGTCCCATAGGCCGCCATGCTACTGGCGGGCGAAACTGGGAGAGTTTCGGACCCGATCCATACTTGGCTGGCGTAGCCATGAATGCCTCTGTCCTGGGCATCCAGTCCACGGGCGTCCAAGCATGCTCTAAGCACTATATTGGAAACGAACAAGAGCTACAGCGCACCTCGACGGTGAGCCATGATGGCACCGTTACTGAAGCTATCTCTTCAAACATTGACAACCGGACCTTGCACGAGCTATATGTCTGGCCTTTTGCCAACGCTATCTATGCTGGGACCGCCGGTATTATGTGCTCCTATAATCGAGTCAATGGGCTTTACGCCTGTGAGAATTCTGCCACCTTGTCCATTCTCAAGGAAGAGCTCGACTTTCGTGGATATGTCGTGTCAGATTGGTATGCCACCCATGGTACGGCCAGCTTCGCCAACGCAGGGCTGGATATCGAGATGCCAGGAAATACGAGTGCTGCGGCTGGACCTCACTATTTCGGGGACGCACTCCTCAGAATGGTGCAGAACGGTACGGTGACCCCAGATCGCCTCACTGACATGGCGGAGCGAGTTCTACGACCATATTTCTTGTTGAACCAGGACGAGGGCTTTCCAACTTTAGATCCCTCGAGCGGTGCTGTGTTTCTAGCCTACCAACTCGGTCACAAGGCTCAGCCTCATCTTGGTGGCTACCCCATGCTTCCAGCTCGCAATGTACGCGGGAACCATAAGGAGCTGATTCGTGAGCTCGGGGCTGCCGCCACCGTCTTGCTTAAAAACGTCAACAACACCCTGCCGTTGAAAAATAGCAGTGAGGTAGGCATGTTTGGCAATGCTATTTCGTACCCAACCGTTGGATCCACATTCCGAGATGCAGATAAATATCCGGAAGGGTACGAATACGGTACAGTCGATATAGGAGGCGGTTCCGGCACCGTGCGGCATACACATCTTGTAACTCCTCTGCAAGCAGTGCAGCGACACGTCGAATCCTACGGTGGCCGGTTGCAAGTGGTGATGGACAATGATGACATCGCCGATGGGCGCCTCCGGACTATATACCCTGTGCCGGACGTTTGCCTTGTTTTTCTCAAGTCCTACGCGAGCGAGGGCTTTGACAGGCCGAATATCGAGCTCTCATGGAATTCCACGGCTGTGGTGGAGAGCACTGCCGCGATTTGCCCCAACACGGTTGTCATCATACACAGCCCTGGAGTAGTCACTCTGCCCTGGGCTGACAATGAGAACGTGACCGCGATCCTCTCAGCTCACTACCCTGGCGAGGAGATTGGCAACTCCATTGTGGACGTTCTTTGGGGAGTTACTCCCCCTTCCGGTCATCTTCCCTACACTATCCCCAAGACTCTGGAGGATTACGGGCCGCCCATATTCAACCTCACGACGCGTAGCGTGAGCGCTGATGAGTGGCAGACGAATTTTACTGAGGGCCTTATGATTGATTACCGTCACTTCGATGCCAATGACATTGAGCCTCAGTATGAGTTTGGTTTTGGTCTTACTTATGCCAAATTTAAGCTGGAGGGAGAGGTTGACTTACAAGTACGCGGCACTCTCTCCAAGACTGCAGAAAAGTCAAAGGGTACTGCCCCTGGTGGTCTCAAAGACTTATGGACTGAGGTCCTCACTGTAGATGCGCAGGTGAAGAACTCAGGAGAAGTTGATGGGCATGCTGTGCCCCAACTTTATGTTGCGTTCCCCCAGAACACCACGCCCGCCCAAACACCCGCCCAAGTACTCCGGGGCTTTCATAAGATTTTTATCAAAGCAGGGGAAACCTCGACGGTGAGATTTTCCTTGCTGAGGAGGGATGTTAGTTTCTGGGATGAGAAAAGCGATCAGTGGGTGATTCCAGAAGGCGGCTTCACTTTCAAGGTCGGTTTCAGCTCTCGAGATAAGGCTGCGCTGCAGACTACGGCTAGTCTGCTTTGACGGATGGAGGAATGGTCATAGGTGCTAGACACAGTTATTTCTGTATTGAGTAGGTAAAGCCGTCGATGCATGTTATCCCGTCGGCATCTAAATGAGAGCACGCGCGAACTGATTGCATCAAAGAAGCTTAACCTCTTCTCGCGGCCCTGAGAAAAAGGACTCCAGTCATATCTACACCACAACGATAGCCTACTTCTTCATCATGTGGCCTCTATTTAGAGAAATCTTTCTAATATTTATGCAAGTTTGCCTTGAATTCAACTGTAGAATGCGAACTGGCGGTTTAGCTTCTTGATACTTGGCAAGAAAAAACAACTATGACTTCTCCTTCAATGGTAACACTGGCCAGGTTTTACTCCTCTTGAAGCTTGCGTGGAAGCACCAAGTGCCTGGGCCAACATTCTCCCTCCTTTCTCCGCTACCCTGTGGAAAAACGACCTCCGCCGTTGAGCCGTAAGGAACGGTGACTGTGATTGAGATAGAACTCTGCTCCTTATCCCCGTGTGTAGTCTCCCAACTGCAAGACACAATGCCTTCTGGAGTAATGTGCTGTGCTGATGCATGTGAGAAGGCGGTGCTAATGAGAGGCGCCACCAAGATCGTTTTCCATCCCGGATCGACGCGTTTCAGTCCCGCAACTCTTTCATAAAAGAATCTGGCAATAGATCCAAATGCGTAATGATTGAATGAAGTCATCTCGCCAGGGTTGATAGTCCCGTCTGGAAGCATACTATCCCACCTTTCCCACACCGTAGTTGCACCCATAGTCACCGGATATAGCCAGGAGGGACACTCACGGCATAGTAGCATAGCATAGGCGACCTCGTAATGTCCGGTACGGGCGAGCGCTTCACAAACGAATGGTGTTCCGGCAAACCCCGTGGCAATTTTGAATTGATTCTTGCGGACCAATTCAGATAATCGCTCGCCCGCACGGATCATCTGTCTGTCATTGAGGAGGTCGAAGCAAATAGCAAGGGCATACGCTGTCTGAGTATCAGAGGCGATTCTGCCCCCTGGTGTAACATGGTCGTTTTGGAACTCAGCTCGTGCTAAGCTGAATTCCGTCTGAAACCTCGCCTGCTCCGTTGTCTTCTTCAGTATGGAAGAAACAGAAACCATGATCCCAAGGCTCTGGATCAGGAACATGTTGGCAACCATTTTGGAATCGGTAGTGGATTTCCATGGTTTGTCTGGTGGCGCAGCAGGGTCTAGCCAGTCCTATTATAAAGGAAAATCAGTATGTCTTATAAAGGACAAACTGCTTTGTTAGACGAAACAATTAGAGATTGTGCATTAGTACTCACACCGAGTTGATACACTGCGGGATCCCATAGGTGTGTAGGCCCTGACTTGGACCTGGGCACTGAATCAAGCCAAGTCACCATGCTGTCAAAGCTCTCCGCTAGAATTTGCGGATCTCCAGTCTCTTCATAAAGCACCCAGGGCACCAAAACCACAACATCGTGCCAAATAGCACACGGAGTCCGACGCAACCACTTTGGATCATTGATCATTGAATTCGGTGTGACCATGGATGGGACTCCACCAAGGACCTTTTGGTCATACCTGGCATCTACCAGCCAGTTTTTCAGAAATCCAAAACAGTCATAAAGGAGAACCGCGGTGGGGGCAAACATGGAGAGATCTCCTGACCACCCGAGTCTCTCATCCCTCTGGGGGCAATCTGTGGGTACGGAAAGGAAGTTATCCCTCATTCCCCAGCAGACGTTTTGGTATAATCTGTTTAACAAACTGTCGGAGCACACAAAGTTGCCTGCAGACTTCATATCACTATGACACACAACAGCTTCAATATTGTCCAAGTTTACAGTCCACCCTTCCAACTGGCAGTACCGGAAGCCGTGGGAAGTAAATCGAGGTTCATATCTCTCTCCATCTTCAGCGCCCTTGAGAATGTATTCGTCTCTAGCCTTGCAAATACGCAGTGGCCTCGTACCGAGCTCGCCATGATCGAGCACCTCGGCATGTGATAGAATAATCTTATGCCCACGGGGCCCCTTGATGTTTGAAAGCCTGACATACCCAACAAGGTTCTGGCCAAAATCAACAATGGGTTGACCAGATGGTGAGTAAACGACTTCCACAGGCTGGATAGTCTCAATGCGGCGGACAGGCTCAGAAAAGCCGGTTACCAGTTCGACAGTGGTGGGAAGAGGCCCAAGGACAGACACAGCAGACCATTCATTTGTAAGTACAGAGTTGCCAGTCATGACCTGGTCCACCGGCTGCGACCACTGAGGATCTTCGAGTGTAGCATCGTATTTCTCACCGTCGTAGATCTCGGCGAGTTGTATGGGCCCCTTTCTAGCGCTCCAGGAGCCATCTGATAAAATGGTAGTAATCCGGCCACTTGGATGAAATATTTCGAGCTGGGCAAGCAAAGATACTTGCGAACCCCAGATATTCCGTTTGCCACCATCAAAACCCAAACGCCCGGAGAACCATCCTTCGGCGACGCGAGCCCCCAGGCAGTTGGCGCCATCTCTAATAAGCCCCGTTACCTCGTAGGTTTGGTACTGGAGACGGTTGTCATATGTCGTCCAGCCTGGAGCCATGAAGTGGTCCCCTATGCGCAAGCCGTTGAGTTCTGCCTCGTAGACTCCCTGTGTGGTGATATAGAGTCGCGCATGCTGCACAGGCTCACTGACATGGAAAGTCTTGCGGAAGAGGTGCTCGGGGCCAGGCGTAGTTTGATCTTGACTCCATGATGCCGCGATACGGTTGCACTGCCAGTCTTCGCGTCTGAGCAGACCGACTTCGATACGCACTGGCTTGCTCCAAGGGCCAGGGTCTCCAGACGAACCGAAGACGCGAAGTCGGGCTGCCACTCTTTGACGCGAGAGTAGTGGTTCATCAATGGGCCAGGGGACCAGCCTAGAGGAACTTGATGAACAAGTAACTACCTTTTTTTGAGGGTGGAGACCGGGCGCTTGCTCTGTCAACTCGACCTCGTAGGCACATTGGGTGTAGCCCGATGGAGCGTTCTCAACTTGCCAAGAGAGTCTAGGCTTTGATTCGTGAATCCCTCTGACTAAAGGCTCACGGTAATGCTCAAACCAGACAGAGGAAACGGTCGCCATAGTAGCGGCGTTCTGGAGTGATGATAGTTGTGATGGTGGCCTGACACGGTCTAGAAGTTATTGGTCGCCTCCAAGCGTGTCGGAAAGGTCGGCCTTGCTTTGATTATACAAATACAAAAAGAAGGGGCCATCTGACTTATGCTCGCTATTGTTTAGCCCGATTTCTCGGCTCACTTTATTACGAGGACTTCTGAGCTGACCCGAGTGAGCGATAATGCATCCTGAAAGTGAGCCGGTTGAGATTGGGACCGATGGTCACGAAGAAACTATTAACAACTGACTAGTATTGCCACTTCATGGTGGAGCTAATTCTATTGTTTGCGGAAAACCCTGGATAATCCGCCTCCTGAGCTCCACATGGCGTGGGGACTATGGGGTTGAGAACGAGGGCGGGGAGCGAGCTGGGGTATCTCCTTAGTCTCTTCACGTGGAGGTCTTGTGGGGTGGTGATGGTTGGTACGATGGCATGTTCTCGTCTAGGCTGCCTTTTCCACGCCGTTGGTCGTGGCATCGGCATCAAGGCGTTGTCAATACAAAAGGAGCCCATGTTCGGTCAGTTCCTCTCAAGTTCGTGTCTATCATCTCTCCTGACACCAGCAAAACAAGCAGACGGACTGACAAACATTATACATATCAACATGTCGCAACCGAAGCCCTCCTCGAGTGAAGAGGTGAAAGCTCCCACCCTGGATCACATTGAAGCCAGAGGGGTCGATGAGCTGCAGCCGAGCGAGAAGATCGACGATGCCCGAGGCCAGGCCATCACCGGCTATGAAAGCCTGAGCGTTTTTGAAACCGTCAAAACCTTCAAGATGGCTACTTTCATTTGCTTCCTGGCCGCTTTCAGCGCTGCAACTGATGGATACCAGATTGGGTAGATCAACTTCTGCCCCCTTTCATCCAATAACTCTCTAAATTGCGGACACTAACCGTCGAGCGATAGCATGAACGGTAGTATAGTTGCCAACAAGGGCTTCATACAGCAATTCGCGACCGAGGTCAACGCCAAGGGCGACCTTTATCTTGCATCACCCGTTCTCGTTGGCTGGAGTTCCATCATGTCTGTTGGCCAGATCATTGGGATGACGACCTTGCCTTTCCTCGCCGGTCGGTATGGACGCAAAGTGTCCATGTATACGTATTGGTTGATCATCACCGCCAGTGTTATTACCGAGTCGCTCGCGCGTAGTTGGCCTCACTGGCTGGTTGCTAAACTTTTAGCTGGTGTTGGCGTTGGCTGCCTGCAGTTCACAATCCCATCCTATATCTCAGAGGTTGCTCCCAATCGTATCCGGGGCAGTCTTCTCATGTGCTACAGTCTCTGGTGGACGGCTGGTTCTTTTTTTGCCTACATTGCACTGCAGACTATGGCACGAAAGGATCCCTATAACTGGCTTAGGCCAGTGCTCACTCAATGGGCCCAAGTCGGACTTATGCTTATTATCTATATCTTTCTTCCCGAGTCACCTGCATGGTGTGCCACCAAGGGTGACACTGAAAGGGGCAAGAGAGCTCTCAGACGGATTCATTCCGGCGTAAATGGATATGACGTCGATTATCAGTACCAGATTCTTTGCCTCGCCGTTGAGCACGAACAAACCATTGCTGCTGAACAGAATCACCAGAGTTGGACGTCTATTTTCAAGGGGGTCAACGGTTTTCGAACGGTTGTCTCGCTTTGGACCAACATGTCGACCCAGTTTGTCGGCCTGACGCTTTTCGGTACCTTTGGCACTTACTTTTTCCAACAAGCCGGCCTCGACAATCCCTTTATGATCAAATGTATTGTGTCCGGTATCAACATTGGCACTATTTTTGTTATCATATATTGTGCGGATCTGATTGGCCGCCGCTTGATCGCCTGTTGTGCAACGACTCTCGCCTGGTTATCTTGCGTTGCGATAGGTATATTGGGGGTTTCGCCACAGGTCAAAGCAACAAACTATATATTCGTTCTCTTTGCGGTACTTTGGAGTGAGTTTTGAACACTTGTTTGGATACTGAGTGAAGTAGCTGACATATCCATCTTCTACTCTCACTAGATATTGGTATGACCGGCAACGGAGCGGCAGGATGGGGCTTCATTGGCGAGATTTCGTCTCAACGCCTTCGACCGTACACAGCAGGATTTGGTGCAGCATCCACCTGTGTCGTAGGCGTTCTGATGAGTACGCTGGTCCCTTACATGGTAAATGCCAACCAATGGGCCTGGGGCTTCAAGACTGGCTGGTTCTATGCCGGTGTCGGTTTGCCTTTTACAGTTGGCATGTGGCTCCTCATCCCGGAAACCCGAGGGTACGTGCTCATATTTAATCTGCTCGAGATATAAAAGTACCAACATTGCTAATTTTGATTCCAGCCGAAGCGCTGCGGAGCTTGACGAGCTCTTCGGGCGCAGGATTAAGCCATGGAGGTTCCACAAGACACAGACTGCTACGCAACGATTGGTGGAGCTTGAGCAGCACAAGTAAGCCTTAGAATCAGGCATGAAGGACTCCGTAATTGCCAGAGTCATGCTGTACCAACTATAGGCGGCTTAAGGGCAGGACTGACTGTAGCGGCTAGTCTTTGGCGGCTGGGTTGTGTGGGTTGATCAGATTGTGTAGCTGTTAGTTGTATAATAAACCAAGTGAGAAATGTCGACAATTTGATAGTGGCACAAGCATGAAAGTGCCCCAATTCTGAATTGCTCCTTTTGTTTTAAAATAGCGTTACTTACTAGAATGATTATGTGAGCGAAGAAACGAAAAGTCACACAAACAGCTGAGGAAACATGCCGTATAATCACGTTGACGCAGGTGAGGGACAAAACCCAAGGACCATCTTTAAACTGAGTCGAAAATGAAGCTTTTTATTGAGAGATCCTATATTATTCATCTATTGAGTATACCTGAGCCTCTACAATCCGAGTACCTGCCGGAGTGAGCAGGGGAATAAAGCCATCACCATAATCTGGATTCTCGCTCGGCATGTTAACCCACTTTCCACTTCTGGTCTCATCTCCATTGAGCACTCGTTCCGTGCGTAAAGCACCAGTAACAGTATTTTGGACACTTTTTTCTTCAGCCCGCAAGATTCCCGTGAACGTCGATGTAGCTGACCTTGACTTGAACTCCACTTTGAATCCATCCCCTATAATAAGATATCGCCCAACATGGATCTCAATGATCATGCCACAGCCTGGACTGGGTCTCCCGAAAACGAATGCTCGCGATATGAGAAGATCGAACTCTTTGAAAGAGACGCCAATTGGTGGGCCTTTATCCGCCTGTTGACCCTCGAATTCGTCAAAATAAAACCCAAAGGTGCGCTTGGAGTCTTGCCGGGAACGAAGGATCAGAGTCTCAAGTGAGCCGAGCAGTTTATATTGTGCCGTGTACGCGAACGATTCAGGCTCCAAACTATCAACCCCGAAAGGGCATGCGCCTAGGGCTAGGTGAGAGCCTATAGCTTCCCATAACCGCCTCGCCCCATGGGCATCACGGCGTTGCTCTGGGATGAATAGAGGCCTGCCTCCACGCTTATACGTATCACACGTTGCGGTGTAGTCAGCATCATAGATGTCGGGTGCTACAAAGTCCAGGCTGGGTGCCAGCCAATGCCAGATGTCTATGACGTTGGATATAGGTCCGCCAGAAGGATAGGAACCGGGAAGAGCGCCGCCCGCTGCGATGAGATTACCTAGTCCTCCACCAACTGCGGGTTTTGGAAGCCAGGCATTTGTAAAAAGGGGGATATCATACGCTCGCTTTCCTGCCGCTGCTATACTTTCAACGTAGGTGGCGTAGTGATAGGCCATGAAAAGCTCATCAGTATAAACACTTGAGCCAAACCAGTCCTCCCAGGAGCGCTGGTCGCTGGGGTGACATAGTGATAGTGTGTCTTGGAACCTCCCCAGCTTCTCTTTAGCATCTTCCTGCAGATTATTGAATTGAGAGGATAAAAACCTGACCAGGTCGTTTGGAACAGCGGAGTTGAACTGCTTTTTGGCTTGGAGACTTCTGTCACGGGAGTCACCGAGAAGGCCGACCTCGTTTTGTACTTGGACCATAAGCACTGTTCTCTGGCGGTCGAAATTTGCGAGATGTCTTTGAAGCTCTGTAAATGCCTTGATGTCCGCCATGACGCACTCGCTATGGAAGATTGATATACTGTCGGACAACGTGAGACTGCCATGTTCATCTCGAATCTGCGCGCGTGGAAAGCGGCGTGTATTCGTCTTGACCCATCCGGGGACGTAACTTGAGGAGCCTAAAAGGGGACAAACAAATTAACCAATCAGTATTCTTTCTATCGCCCGCGGGAGGCCGTCACTTACCGTTCTTGAACGAACCAAACCAGAGCAATATCATGCGCAATCCAGATGAGCGGGCAGCCACTAGAACTCTGTCCAGCTCCGTGAAATCAAATACGCCTTCGTCCCGTTCAATATCTTCCCAAGTCACGTTCCCGAGGACAGTATTGATGTTCATTGCTCGGAGCTTTCCCCATACTGACTCCATGTGTCGAGCGGAGCTCATGGATGAATTATGTAGTTCGGCTCCGAGGATGAGGTATGGTTTGTTGTCGACGATCAGCTCCCAAGCACCTCCGGTCTTCCTGAGGAAGGGGAGGTGATTTTCTAACTGTGGTGAAGTCATGTTGACGTATGTTATGACAATTTTAGGAGTGAAAATGAGAAATTCTGAAGTAGATGCTTCGAATTATCAAAGGACGAAGCAACACAGAATTAGCAAAGAGCCTTGATAAGTGCTAGAATTGCGGACTACTACACTGGCAATCGACAATTTCATCCTGATAATCGCTCCCTCGGGGGATCATAGCCATGCTATGCCATGTCCATGACTCAACTTAGCGGCCTGGGCGTGCCTTGTCCATGAACCATCCTACACCGGATCCAGAAGTAGCTGACCACGATCACCCGAACCAATCACGGCTGGTCAATCCCGACGTTGTTGCCAATATTTGCGGGTTTCTCGGGATATAAATCCACCCTGGAGCGCCCTGACTAACCCCATGGTCTCCTTGCACATTGCACATCGTTACATCGTCGACACATCACCGCGCGGCCGAAAAGATACTGCCGTGTCGAGACCCCTTTCTGGCACACGCTACGGAGGATCTTCAAGGGCGAGAATCTCAGTAGACTGAGCTCCTCGGGCAAGAAATCCCGAGTCTTCTCAGCAACCCCACACCCGAGTCCAGCTGTCAATCTCAGATGAAGCCACCCACAGCATGCGAGTGGTGTCGGGTTCGCAAACGGAAATGCTGGCAGGACAGACTTGGGCAGGGTTGTGCGCAATGTCGACGTAACCGGGTGTCATGCACTCTCCGATCTGTACCCTCTCCTGTTATGCCGACGTTTCATGCGACAGACAATCGCTTACTAGAACACGGAGGTACTACTGATATAGATCCCTTGGTTATCTCTAACCAAATGGCTGAATCGATTATCGAAGGCTATATTCTACATATCCTCGACCGGCCCCATAGTATCTTCCATTTACCGACGCTGAGGGCATCAACCCGTGCAGGAACACTGCCGCCTGCATTACGGTATTCCTTACTCAGCTACGGGGCTCGGTTCCACCGTGATCATAAGATATCATGCCTTGCCAAGCGATTTCTGGAGGAGGCGAAGGCGCAGCTGCATGCTGACCTTGAGCATGTCTCCCTGGAAAACGTACAGGCATGCATCCTCCTTGCCAGTCTTTCAGCAGCCTCCCAGCAACCCTCTTCAGAAACGCTGTACCTCGGCATTGCTATCCACATGGCAGAGGTCCTACAATTGGGCGAGTGTCAGGAGGGGGATCCGAGACAAATCCGGGAGTTGAAACGGCGCATATGGTGCTCACTTTATATGGCTGACTTTTGGTGTTCCACCGGGAATGGTTTGAGGCGCAAAATGGCAGGCTTTGGTCGTCTTACCGATCTCCCAATGGACGAGGCTGCCTTTCATGGGTCTACTACACTCGGATATGTGGAGGACAATACATCACGGCCAGGTCTATGGGCGTATATGATCACGCTCGTGGAGATATTTGGCGAAATTCAGGAGTTGAGCCTGAGGGTTGCTCCAAGTTTGCCGGATAATCAATCCATGCATGTCGATGAGCAAGTTGCCCTTCTGGGCCAAGCTCTAACATCCTGGGAGGCAAAGCTCCCCGAACATGTTCGGTATAGCAAGGCAAACCTTCTCGCTTTCCGAGCCCATGGATTGGGTGGCCCCTTCGTGGCGCTGCATCAGGGGTATTATCACTACTGCATGCTGCTGTATTACCAATATTTGGATACTAAACGGACAACTACAGAAAAGACTGCAAGATTTTCAAAATTCTGTCAGCATAGCGCTCTTGCTCATAGTAATCTGCTGGCTTTCGCGCGAGATGCTGGGGAATGCGACGTTCTGTATGCAGGGGTAGGACACAGCACGGTAATTTCCTCGTCTGTCCTGCTTCACACTGCCATGTTTGGTGAACCAGATGAGATTATGCCTGCGCAGCAAGCTCTCCAAGCCAATTTCGAAATGCTTCAAGAGCTTTCGCGATATTGGCCTTCCCTAGACCTCACTATACGTCGTCTCAGCCAGTTCCAGCTGCGATGTACCGAGGGCGATGCGATCAGGGCATACGACTTCGATGAGTGGATGGTTACATTTCTTTTGAGGTATCACTTAACACTAGACGAGAAACGGTCTCCCGGGGTAGCCAGGAATGACATCGCTCTACTTTCAGGGCGCTGATCCGAACTTCTCGTATTGGAAGGCTCCTCTCTTATTTCCACCGACGGGTGGAACCAGCATTGTATATAAGTAACCCTCGCTGCCACATTGGCACGTTATGTTTTTCAACAAGGTAGTCGGCTGTTTAGTTCCAAATTATGCTCTTCTCTAGCTTTCCCCTCGTTTTCACAGTCGGCCTCGCAAGTCAGGTCGTCTTTGCCGCCGATCCATCACCACCAGCACCTGAACCCATCAGTATCACTGAATTGCCATTGCCACCGGTGGCAATCGACAAATGTACCATAGAGCTGAGTCCTAATGGCACCGGTTGCATCGCTCAAGGCAAATATGGTGCTGGCTTTCAGGCCGGAAGCTTCTTACTAGATAGTAGGCATATTGTTGCCCACGTCACTTATACCGGTGCCCCAGACGCACCCGACCCAGCCAGTATCTTCACAGGGGAACAAATCATTATGATCAAGACAGATGGCAGCTCGTTCTCCACTGGTGTGCCTTGGAAGTGTCTCACCTGCGGCGTTCCCGCAGAGAATGCTCAGGGGCTTTCGAACACCTTTGATTATCCCAACTCATTCATGGACAGCCGTCGCATACTCTTTGGCACCAACATCCTGGATTGTGGTGAGAATGACCTTACAAGCGATGATTGCACCCCGGAGACTACCTACATCTATCCTATCCGGTGGAACACTTCGCCGGATGGATCGGGGGCAGGTGGGAGCATTCGGGAATTGCGACTGCATCCAGATGATGTTCATCTCGGCTTCAGCTCATTCCGCGTCGACGGGCGCTCTTTGGGCCAGGATAGCTACTTCTCTCGTCTTACCTTCAATCCTAGTCCAACAACAGGAGAACCTTTAGTCCCGCGCTACGACCTGGAAAGCGTCACGAGGCTGTCCAACCCCAATAACCCTCCACCGTTTGTGGCAGACGGCGACAAATTGTCTTGGAATCCGCTGACCAACTACGTCGGCGAGTTACGTGGCTTCAGCGGCCGCGGGGACGAGGTCACATATATCGGAACCTCGGTCGAGTCGTGCAATGTGGATGTTTTTGCCGTCAAGCTAGATAGTGGCGAGGTGCGCCGTCTGACTTCCGACCCAGAGTACGTCGATCCGGTCGATATCTCCCCAGACAACGAGTGGACGGTCGTTATGGACACCCGTCGCACCGATCGACAGATGTTCATGGCCGCTATGCGTGGTGTTCCGCCACTGATTGATTTGATTGCAACCTCCGTCGCCTCTACCACACGCAACAACTACCAGCGACGATTTTTTCAGCCCTGGCTTATCGACCGCTATGGCGACCGGGGAGATTACTATGGTCAGAAGATCAATGACAAAGGCTCTGGCGTCCCAGGGAGCGCTGATATTAACGACCCTGAGTGGAACGGGCGAGCAGACCCAAAGTGGTCACCCGACGGAACTAAGATTGTATACTGGCAAGATCTAACTGCGTCACCCGCCTGTGGCGGGGAGAACCCCCTGCCCTGCTATGACTCGCCGTATCAGGGAGGTCGTTACGTCCGCTTCATGCTCGCGGAACTCACCAGCCGTGAGCCCAAAGAGCTTGCTAGGGTAGACCCTGTCTCGGATACGGTAGCATGGGGTACACCTTATGTTCCTGGCGAAGATGCCCCCTCGATTCCACGTCCGCCTCAGGGGAAATATACCCTGTACGGTGCTGAGAGCGGCCATGCCAACGTCACCATCATTGACAATGCCGATGTGGACACAATCAAGAGCGTGGCGGTCAATTATAAAGACTATTCTGATGACGGCTTGGCGTTCTTGAACGGGTATGAGAATTTCACTCGTATAAACCCTTCTGTGACTGTCGAGAATGCCATCTGGTTCTCGGATCTAGTACAGACTGGTGACGTCAATGCTACTAAAAAGACGAGCGATGATGGTTTCCGGCTCACTATTGACGTCCTAGTAAACGTGTTGGAGGCAGAGGGAACGCTGACTACAACAATTGGCGGAAAGGTGTACGAGCAACCGGCGAATCGCACATGAAACAAGAGCCTGTCTGAAAGGGCTCTTTAAGAAAGTTCATCCATTCGGAATAGTGCATAGGTAGTAAAGAAGGAATGTATGATGCGTTTTCTAGCTATGTGGTCTTTAGCTTTGCTTCGCAATGGCAGTCTACATTCAACATTCTGCAAACTTGTAGCATATCAGTAACCAAATGCTCGTAGCATTGAAGACAGAACAGGTACTACAACTACTAGCGCAATACATACTCAGCTAAATCTGTTCTGGAGGGAATTAAATAACGAGCTTGATTCAAATAGACATCGGGGCAGTCAATTTTAGTGGATTCGACAAGGGTAGAAGTTCGCAAATCTCGTGAACTTCCTCGGAAACTTTGCGAACCCGAGCTCGGTCGGCTCGCTCGCATTCAATCCGAGGCGAGTACAAGGGGAACGGTGATCGACAGGAAACATGCACCTTAGAGCAAGTCGCAATTTTTGACACACTAATGAGGATCTGCAGGCATTGAATACAGCCAGCAGCGTTGTGGAAGATGACGTATGGCTTGGCTTCGGGGGTTTTACAGATGCTTTGCACCAGATGCCGGCGCCTCCTATAGCGATCTTTTGATATACAATATTCCAAGATAGACTAGTTAATTAGTGAAGATTCATATGATACGCCCCTCCCTTACTAACGAAGTGCACTGGGAGCCACCGAACGTTGTAGGTATACCGAATCAAATACATCTACACCAACATGAAGATAGCTAGTAGTATACCGTCATATCATGGTGATCGTGTGGTACCAACGAGAGAATTTGGGACCCTAATGAGCAATTGCGGTATTGGCCTTGGTTCGAGAAATACAAGAGGCAAAGAAAACTATCACTGAAGTCAGAACAACATAGATTAGAGTTAAACAAGTGACAAACTATCTGATAGCTATGAGTCCCAACTTCCCAGCTCTCCCTCGCCCTCTACATCGACCCAACTTTGCAACACTCACGAGCCGATTTCGCAGGTTTTCTGGATTTTCTTCATATCTAGGTCTAAAATTGCTTTAAGGTGTTCGACAACCTTGTAGCTTCAAAGCCGGACAATACTACTTCCGACAAAGCTTGCCATCTTGCAAGTTATACTCCCAGTCTTGGCTCCCCACACCAGATTGGACGTATAATATAGACCGAGGGTCGTATTTCTCCTTAATACTTAGCAGCCGACCGTAGTGGTCTCCATAGAAGTCGCGTTGAAAGTTTGGATTAAAAGGGTTCGCTTCGTTGTTATAAGAGCCTGAATCTGGAGCCCATTCAGCCCAGACGGTTTCCTTGTGGGCGTTAGTCCAGTCGGCAGCCGCCTGTAGAGCAGATCGAGGACTGGTATTCTCAGTCTCGATACTAGACCCCGTCACCAGGACGTGAAGGTACGCATCCCGCCATGCAGATGTCAGTCCGCCACGCATACTGTCTTCGACATTGCGAGGCCCCTGTCCGCCCTGTAGGCCGATAACCAGACGGGTACTTTGGCCTTCAACTTGGGCGGTTGTAATTCTTCTGAGATAACCCTTTACCGCATCATGGCTAATATCATTAAGCTCTCGGCGACCTAGAAGACGGCTGCTTGACAGTGAAATATCTCCGCAACTGCTCGCTCTAGGATTAAGGATATCGAACAAATCGAGATAGTGCGGGAGTATCTTAGGTTTAGACAAAGTAATTTGAATAGAGTGATTATTCGAGACAGCCGCCATTTGTTGCTGGAGAGGACTTAGCAAGCTCGTCCACTCAGCTGTTGTCGAGTTGAATAAGTAGAAAAGCATGCTGATATCTACTTGACGTCCGACGGCTAAAGTGTTGGAGGATTTAGTCTGTGAGATTGTTCCAATACCGAACCCAGTGAGTCCAGAGTCCATGAGGTCGGGCAAGGCTCGCATCAGAGTGGAGAGCCCATCCCAGGAAGCCTCCTGCGTATCGTCATCCTGCGATGACATGGATAGACTGCCAACGACGACATTGGAAGGCAGGGGGAAGGTTCGCATGACGTATTCAATGACAACACCGTATGAGCCAGGGCCACCACCACGGATAGCCCACAGGAGATCTTGGTTCTGTTCATCATTGGCGATAAGGATTGAGCCATCGGTAGTCACAACGGTGGCCTGCAGAATCTGGTCGGCAGACAGACCGTAAGAACTTGACAGAGGCCCATGTCCGCCACCGCCAATGAATCCGCCGAGACCAACTGTGCCATCCTGGCCACTAACGACAGTTCTTTTCACCTCGCTGGCAGCCTTGAGAACTCTGCCCCATGTATTGCCGGTCTGGGCAATGACGACGTTTTCGGTACTGTTGAACGCGGGGCGAATCCAACGAGGGTTGAATCTAATCTCTTGTAAATGATGCGTCCAAATAGAGAGTGCGTATGCGCCACTGGATCTGAACAAAGGATTAGCTGAGACTGTAGACCGGAAACTCCAGAACAAAAAGGCAACTCACCTTCCATTAAGATCGTGACCAGTGCCCTTGATAACAACACGAATGTCACGTGAGTTGGCCCATGCCATGGCTGTCGCGACCTGAGCGGCATCGGTCGCGTTCAAGACGTAGTGCGGCAGACCGCCGAGCTGGCACGGTTTGTGATCGTCGTAGGCATAGTCGTTCGGTGCCACACAAGAGCTATTGGCCCAGTAGGAGTAACCAATCGAAGCCGGCTGTTCGGCATGGAACTGGGAAAGGAACCAATTTTTCTGAACTGTATCACAGTCGATATCAGAGCCTAGGGGGTTCCCTTCGTAACAGCTCGATGCTGGGGCCACTCCGGCCAGCAGGGCTCCTTGAGTCGATTGGTTCAATGAATGCCACTCGCTTTCGGTTGGCCAATGGGGGCTGGAAGGGTGGTTCTTGCACAAAGCGCTTGCAAGACTGTTTGCGGCTAGAGAAGCCAGGAGAGCAAGATGGCTAATGAGTGACCGCATACTTCGAGCCATTCGATCAACGATATACCTTCAGGTTAAGGTGAAATGGGCAGAAAAGAGTTGAAGAAGACCAACCCACGGGGAAGTATCTCTATTAATACTTACCAGGTCGCTTCTTGACATCTCTAGGGCAAGGATACCTCCCGGGGCCAACGAAGCGCTTCAGCCCAGAAAGGCCCGATATGCCGCGCAATCATTTCCACAACACCTAAGCCGGCGCTCTTGAATACCCAAAAGTCACGACATCTATGAAGAGCCGCAGCGTAGTATGCAAGGACCGCGAAGGCCTCGGGTCTATGTTGATACACCGCCTCGATATAGTCATCTGAGATTACCACGGGCCATGCGACGATGGCTTGGATGGCTATGTCACGTCGGGTTGGGTCGAGTTTGATAATGTCAAGCATCCACTGAACCGAGTTCAAAGCCTCCACACAAGCATCGGTGGAAGTCGAAGCGGAACTAGATCCGGACTTTAGGAAGTTGGCGAGGGGGGCCGTCTCCTCCCCAGGCGGCAGCTTCTCCACCTCGAGAGCCAGTTCTGAGACATAAAGCAGCGGCTGGAGCTGGGACTCCAGGATCTGCTTCCAGTGGCTGCCGGTTACGGCGCGGACCCCTCGATGGAGACGCATGTATTCGACAAACTTCTCGATGAAAGTACTCAGATTGTCCTCCAGGAAAGCCAGTGAGTCGTAGAATACGTGGATGGCGAGCATACTGGCAAATAGAAAAGCTGTGAGGTAATTCGTGTCCGAGACCCCACAACGGGCTCGGTTAAAGGCACTCAGAGCACGAGTCTGGAGCTCTGTAGCCTGTCGAGAGTACACCAGCATATCCTGGTGTTTACTTGAGAGGTGCAAGGCCGACAGGGCCAAGAGCTGGTCAAGGGCGTAGGGTTCGTGGTCGGCTTTGTCCATAATGACGTCGATTATAGCCTTCGTATCACCTTGGATGCCTAAGAGCTCGGCAAGGTGGTCGTGTGCATGGTGCAGCAGCCTCATGTGGATCAGGTCGAATGTTGCGGCGTGCTCAGCCGGACTCGCAACCATTAGGTTAGCACTCCAAGAAGGGCCACTGGCAGCGCTATCAGCGGTACTAGAGGCACCAGGTGTCACCGTTGCTGTTGTTGTCGTTTGTGGTATGGGGGAGGCGGAGGTTGGAGTGGCGGCTCGCTTGCTTGACGTTGTCTCGACCTCTCGGATGTCAAGCTGGTACGAGCACGGCCGATCGCCATATTCGCACCGGCGGCACCGAGGCCGAGTCTCGTCGCATTTGACTTTTCGTTGCTTACAGATGATGCATCCTCTCCTTGACTTCGTGTGGGAGCGGCGGATGGATAGACTCGGATCTTCCGGCTCCGACCTACGTGCCACGGATCGAACCATCGCGTTCGAGCCAAAGATGAATGTAGGAGTGTTCGGAAGGCTTGATGGAAAAGCGAGCGCCTCGGGTTGGGTTAGATTTAAGCAAATCGGATGGCTCGTTACCCCACAGTTTCGGCCTCGGGATCCTCGGTTTCATCATCAGCCTCGCATACACGTAACACAGAAATAAAGGTGCAAAGGCATTAGGCACTGCGCCAAGTGGATCCTTAAGTAGGGTCCTAGCGATTCAGTCCTTATTGCTACATTCTACGTGGACTAGGGCTAATATCATGATCCCTTGATACTTTGCAAGCAGAGATATAGCGTACACAAATGTAATCTAATGGGATCTCTATTAGCAAATGGATCATGGTTCGATCCATATTCCGAGTCGTAGAGTACATCATGGGGCACGATGGCTCTGTGCTCGCCAATGAGTGGCTGTTGTACATATTCAACGCAGTTTTAATGTTCTTTGTCGTCGTTCTCTTTGGCTGGAGATTCCCGGGCTACCTAGCAAACGGCAACACATAAGACACGCCGGATGCCGAGTCTTCTCCTAGCGAGCAATATATAATGGATATGCGAGGCAACAAATAGAGCCAACTGTCAATATCAGAGCTCTTCAGTCAAAGAGTTAATATATCTGTTCGCTGTACTTCACTACTAGCGATCTTTTACTCTAGTCGGATATTTGAAATCTAGATTTGAGATTGACACCGAAACATTAATTTAGCTTTGCTTGAGAAGATTGCGAATCATCATAAATATTACCCATGGACTCCCTCGCCCAAATATATACGACAATTATCAATCTCTCATGAATACCTATTCCACCAAGCACTACTACACTAGACTTAAGAAGACTCCTTCGATTTCCCACCGCAGTCAGAGCTTCGGCTACTGCTTCTCTCATTCTTATGCTTGAAACCGAAACCAGGATTCCCAACAAGAAGCGATATGACGGCCAAGTAAATAAGTCTAAGGGCGTTCACCACAAAGTTAGATCCATGTTCTGGATAGACATGCCCCTCGGAATATCTGATAACTTACACTCCCTCTAAGCCAATAAACATCCCCTGGTTAGTGACCTTGTCGGAGTTGCGGTATCCTTCACTGAGTTCATTCACACGATAACAGCATCGGATGAGGATCAGAATGATGGCAGACGCAAGTCCGCCAAAAAAGAGACGTTGCCTCAATGCAATAGCGCTTTCACCCGGCTGCAGCCTCGATTTCTGTCTTTTGACATATCGGATCATGTAGTCGGCGAAGAAGGCGCAAAAGACAACGAGGACTACCACTTGCAGGCTGAGACCGGCCATGGCAACGTGGAGGCCCGTCTCTGAGGCTCCGCTGGAAGTAGAGGATAGAGCTCCGCCGATGGATTGGAGCACAAGACAAATGATGTCGGAGCTGATGAAGATCCAATAAAAAGCTCGTGGGGGCAGACGACTCATCTCAGGTGAGAAAAATTGAATTCTAGAATGATCGGTCAATATCTGCCATTATTTCTCCAGGTAACGTATGGGAGCCTGACTCACGCTCGGGAAAGTGTTATGTAAATAGCAGCGGTGAAGAACACCGGACAGCCAGTAATGCATATCATCTGGGTCAGAAACCCAGTAAATGACCATGGGTTTATCCAAAGCATTACACGGCCGCCGTAGCCAACCATGGACCATATACAGCCGATAATAACGAAGGTCATGAAGCCCCAGATCCTCCAGCGTATTCCGAGGTAAATATGCAAAAGCAGAGCGACCCCGTAGAGAGCTATGAAGAGCGCGTTGGCAGCCAGGCTGGGGCGGTACTTGTACACAGTCCATTCAATGGGACAGAGCTGTGTATGACGGTTAGCAAGATAGCCGAATCGGCCATTTCACGAGGGCCAATCTTATCTAGAGTGCAGTTGGTGGCATGCCCAAAGGTCTTGAACATGCCACGGTCGACATAAGATCCATTGGGCAGCTCGTAGAGATTCTCTGGCGCGATACCAGACAACTTGGCGGTTCGTGAGTCCATGGTGAGCGGAGAGGGTGCGATAAAAGATTGATCGGTCAAATTATCGTCACCTAAGAAATGTATAAGGCCAGTCGAAACAAGTTTAGAGCATATACGTGAGCTTCTGAACTTGGATACAGTAAGATGTTGTTAAGGTCAACATCAAGGCCACACAGCTCACGTGCCCGTGGAACGATGCTTGATGGAGGAGTTCTCTCTTGACACTTTCAAATCACGTAGCACCTAGCCCAAATATATCTATCTTATCATAGTAGGGCTTGAGTAGTCGACGGATTGGGCGCGTACGCCATAAGCCATTGGGAATGTAAATCATAATTGTCAGTCTTCGGTGGGCCCTCTTTCGTGCCAGCGATTCGAGGAATTGACGCGATTATAGCTACGGTCTAGCAAGGGAATGTAAGGGGCCTAATGGTCCAATCACAACCATGAGGCAGAGATTAAAATCGAGGTTAAGATCTGGGCCCTTCTTAATGGTTGGTGGGGTCGTCAAGTGCTTGTTCGACTGGTGATAATTCGCAATGATGGCGGTCAGCGTACTCTTATTCCTTATCCTTCGAGGAATAAGGTCAGAAAACCCTACGGACATATTGAGCCGGTGCTTGGCCGCCTGTAGAGGACATCTAATAAGCACCGAACTAAACCTTCCCTGGGGTGCAACTATCAAGATAGGACGAGGCTATAAACAAAGCATATTCACTCTGCTCTTAGCAGTCATGCTTATGGCAGCTAGTTATCCTTTTGAATCATGTAACGACAGTCTTGATTGAAGATCTACGCATACCTTTCGTGTTAGGCTTCTTCTTTCGACAATGGTGCGGCTGATCGGCAGTAGATGACGCTTGTTAGTGGAGGGGCTTGGCCAGTTCCGGGTCGAGACTGGCCGAGCCTGACTGCATCGGCTTCGATATCGATCCATTAGAAGACGACGCCGGAGCGCAATCGGCACTAATCGATTTGTTCCGTTTCCTTAGCCAATCAACCAATCGAGCAATACGACCCCGCCCTCTTCAACAAGCTCATGTTTCATTGTTGAGATTTAACAACAACGTGAACTCCTTCCCCAAGTTTGTGTTATCGGAGCTTGCTGGACTCATGGTGGGACATCGCCAGAAGCCCAACTTAAATGCCGTTCTGCATGACGTATCATAGCAGTGGAATGATTCATTTGAAGCCTTTTCGAGTATAATTGCTTTTTAAACCCAGACGAGAATCATGTCGTGGGTTCCATGGATTCATCGGGGAATTTATGCATAGTTTATGAGGAAGATCTCTACCATACTAGGAAAGGTCTGCTTTTTATGAAAGTTATACGTTTTGGGCAAAATTTTGGGCGGAATTTCCCGATCTCCCTGAATCATGATTTGTACCAAATTAGATTAGCCCTGCATTCGTCAGTATATTGACTACCCTAGAGCCGCATGTTCTCAAACTCTCAACCAAAATGTTGCCCCCAAATTGTGATGTACAATCAAATAAAAGTTGAATATTATAATGGGACATAGCTAGCTCATAAAGCCGAATGGTTTAGTCTACGTATCTGAACAACATCACTTGCGTGCATATGTGGTGTGGTAATCGTTCATGTTTGTTTGACGTCCAACTTCCACGCCGGATAATATATGAAGCAAAGTTCAACTCCTTTATCCAGCCTTCGTTAAAGACGTGTTGGCCAATAATGACGTAATTGTGGATTGAATACTGCTAACCAATTATAGATTAGCCTGATCTTGATTTGTTTTCACCTTGCCCCAACAATTAGGCCACAGTATCTATGATTCCGATGCCAGCTCGACTGGATGTGAGACATCGCGCTGATGCATGCATCTGTCCGTCACCATCATCGTCACGACTCGCATCTCCCTACATGTAGCATTCGCATCTCACGGCACACGCCCTGCACATCCACCATCACGCTCGGTCTTTGTTGATCTGTAGTGGAGCTGTGGCTCGTGGATATAGCCATTTTGGTGTATTTTACAGTGACTCAACCTTTTCCTAGAGATTTGAGTAGCTAGCATTTTTACAGCTTTGAGCCCCTTGCTTTCGCGTGCTTCATCTCTTGGCGAACCGCGAGATCTGTGATAATCTCCTCGCTCCCTCCACCGACGATGGACATTCTTAAATCCCGGCTGATCTGCTCTACACGTCCACCGATCCCACCACGCTGATATCCGTTTCCGCCTAATATCTGTTGGGCTTCTCGATTCGCTAGCTCGAGCAGCCTTCCACCTTGCACCTTGCAAAGGGCGATTCTCGAGGATAACTCCGGACCGATGCCTCCCGTGGCTTTGATATGATATGCAATCTGTTCAATCCACGCCCAGTGGGATTCGATATACCGTGCCATCGTAGCGAGCTTATGCCGGATGACTTGATGCCCGAACAACGGCTGCCCAAAGGTGTGACGGTCTACAGCGTAAGCCCACGCATCTTCTAGGCAAACCCTGGCGTAGGAATTCATGTTTACGCACATGAGGAAGCGCTCTTTGTTAAAGTCTACGTGCACTGTAAGCTCTTCACCCCCGTCGTCAATGTCTAGCATCAGATCTTACTCGTCATGAGGTATGCGAAACCATGATTCTCTCTGCCGATTAGATTCTCCACAGGCACCTTGACATTATCCAAGGTCACCCAAGCACTTCCGGCAGCATTGGCTCCGCTGTTTTTAATCTTGCGGCGTGAGATTCCTGGCAGGTCCAGTGGTATGACAAGGACAGACACCCCCTTGGCTCCAGGGCCACCTGTTCGCACTGCTGTGGTCATATGGGTTGAAACTAGGGCTCCGGAAATCCATTTCTATTCCTAGATCTTAGCTTTCTTAAAGACCCTAGTGCACAGAGTGAGGTCGATCCGGGTTACCTTGTGGCCGTTTACAATATAGAACTTTCCGTCGGGTGATTTCTTGGCAGTCGTTTTTAGATTCGCTAGGTCCGAGCCACCTAAGACTTGTCAGAGTACATTCATTACCTGCGCAAAGGCATAGGAAAAGCAACCTGATGGCTCGGTGGCACCAAGACAAAACCTCGTCTCTCCTGTGAAGATGCCTGGAAGCCAGCGCTCGCGTTGCTCCTCATTCCCATGATTGACGACAGGAGGAGCTCCAATGACTGAACCACCTCCTAGACACCCGACATATCCAACGCGTGCGGTCTCGTGATGCAGAATTATGAAGTGGAAGATGTCCCACTCTAGCAATGAATCAGCCTCATTCTACTTTATCGACTTGTCTCGTCATACCCTTTTCGGGGATGCCAGCTGGGAGGCCGATGCCAGGCCTGTATTTCTCTGGCATGTCCTGGAAAGCGAGACCAGACCGGGCCCAACGGACAATTTCCTCCAGAGGTACCTCGCCAGTCTCCTCCCACTCCTCAACAGCAGGAATTACATGCTTCTCGAGGTAGTCGCGCACGAAGGCTCGAAGCTTGCGATGACTGTCATTGTAGTACGGCGACTCAAGCACATTGTACCAGGCTGGCTCGGCGAATGGTGCCGGGTTGCCAAACGGGTGGGATACAGCGGGTTTGCCTGTCATTGTGAGGTGTGCGGCTGTGCATAGATTCGTTGTTGAAGTTATAGCTAGGAGTCTTATCTTGTCTGTTGATTGAACTGGGGAATACATATATCAAATAACACCAATTTGGCTTGCAGAGGGATCGGTTGTATTACTCCGGGATAGGCACACGCAACCGGGATTTGTTAAAGAAGTCACTTTTACCCCGCCAATTTCGGATCGAGAGGCGGGAAACGCGAACCTCTAGCAACATTCATTATGCTTAATTTAGCCGTGGTTAATTCAGGCGTGATCACTCGCTTGGTCTATATATGTTGTCGCATATGATAGTGCACTGGTAGATTTCACCAGTTACCGAGGTGTCAACCATGCATGTCATTCGCTTTTGATTCGTAGAGGTGAAGATGCTCAGTAGCTAATAAAAACAGTAATGCTATGCACGGAGCTAAAAATCAAAAAGATCCCCCAAGCAACACGTGGACTCTAGATTCCATTACTAGCACAAGAGAAGGGACTTGACACCGTTCCCGCCGCGTATTCGTCCATGATGCCCCTGACGCTGGCATAAGTGCCGACTGTGAGCAGCAGGATTCCCACGCCAATCAGAACGATGTTGACCACGATACCGACCCAGTCGATAATGGCGTTGTGCTTTCGGCCTACACCTCTGTCTGCGGATCGCATTCTGAAGTACGCAACTGCCCAGAAGATGAAGCCAAACCAGGGGTTGAATAATGAAGACATGACATTCAGCACTGCGGCAATGTGTGAGACGAATAATCACTCGAGACTAGAGAAGGCCATATGAAAGCAAGGGGAAAGGGAAACTCACAAGAATTGAAGAATGGAATGACTGAGGCGATAATAAATGAAAATATCCAGATAACAATAATTATTCCGGTCCAGGACGCCCAGCCCACGACGGTGTGGCTGTTGAGATGTCTGGAGTTGCGGAATAGCCGGAAGAAAACGAAGCGCACCGTCACTGAAGCGTATAGGCATCCGAGAAAGATAATGGTCGGGATCATGAACGAAAAAGCGATCTTCTTGTACTTGTCTTGAAGGGAACCAAAGGCCGGAGAGGTGATGTACTGGTTTCCAGAGTAGGCATAGGTCACACCGCCAACAATACTGAAGACGAACATCTCGGCCACGGTGCAAAGCCAGAGAGCCTTGGGGAATTCACTAGACCATTTTTCACGTAAGTAAATTATTTACGTTTGGGCTGGCCGAATTGTCCCTACCGAGGATCACGCATCTCAGCAATGAAGCTGGGGAGGGTGATTTGTCCGCTGAAAGTGAACACAATGTTCAAGAAAGCAGAGATCCCATTCACCCAGGACGCACCTTTGACGGGAAAGGCCGTCACAAGTGGCTCGCCAAGTTTTACAGGGTCATAAAGAGCCGGCTTGCCCTGCGCTCCGGAGAAGGCTGCGGCGAGAACGACAGAGACGAATGTGAAGAGGGCAGATGCGGTGCCAAGCTTAGACATCATATCAAAGGTGCGAGGCAGAGTAAACACGCAACAAATGATAGCAGTCACGGCCGAGAATAAGACAGTGCGGCAGTGGCCAATATCGTCAGCCTCGGTCATCGTATTGAGATACTTGGCTCCTACGAGCACATGCAGACCCTAGCACAACGACAAAAATATAAGCTCAGTCGATCATCGCACGCAAAACAAGAGGAATGGAAGGGGAATCAAGATGGATCAGCAAATTCACAAGTCATGGTACCTGAAGGAAAGAGTTATTGAGGATGAAGCAGATAGCAGTACCCCACCAAGCCCATTCCTTGCCCCAGAAGAGCATCTGGCCCAAGTCGCAGACATCACGGATTTCAGGGTGGCGCAGGCAAAACTTCCACAGAATCAGACTGGTGTATTGCACAACGGCGGCGATGGCAACAGTGACGATGATGCCCGGTACGAGACCCAGGACAGAGTAGCTCCACGGAAAGGACATGATGGCGAGGCAGATGTACTCGCTGAAGAGCAAGGCCGCTGTTTTCTGCCACGAGCAAGTACGAAACTGGATGTCGGACTCCTTGTCTCTGGCCATCTGCTGGTCCAAGATGGCGGTGTTCGCATTCTCGGTGTCTGATGGGACGTCCTTGGCGGCGTAGTCAGGCAGCTCGGCGATGCGAGGACCGACCCAGACACCCGGTCCTCCGAATATGGAGGCCCATCTCGTGTCCACGACCTGCGTGGATGCGGGCTCAACATCCGCGTCGCCAGTAGCCTTGGGAATGGACTTCTCGGACATGGCGGTAACTTCGTTGATGTCGTAGGCGAAACGTGGTAAATCCTCCTGGCTAGGCTGGCGAGATTGTTGATTTTACGAAGCGCAGGTTGTAGAGCCAAGACACAATTCACCAAAGCAGCGGCAAGGACACATGGATAAATAGAAAACGTGAGAGTCAAAATAAGCAAGGGAAAGAGAAACAAAGAAAAGGGGGTTTGCTTTCAACGTGTGTCTGAGATTGTTCTCCATTCGGAGACTCGACATGAACAGCGAATATATGGATCCTGATTGTCCGACCGCAAACGTAGGATCTAGCAGCAGCTTCCTAGATGGGTCCATGTCGTCACTGTGTGGATTATCATGATATATTTTTGGTCCGCTCAGATGCAGAAAACGCTCACGAGTGAATGTCTGGCATGTGGTGGAGCAAGGCGGGAGGCCTACACCAGCCACGCATCAACTGTAGGGACACTCTCAAGTAGCCATCACTCCCATAAATAAATGCATCTAACTCATCCTAATTACCTGAAGAGAAATTCTGGTGTATGATCGCCGAAATCTCTGTAAATTGATCCCGAAAATAATACATTGCCTGAACGCTAAGTGTTCCTCCAAGTGCCGAGCTTCCGGCGGCCACCCCGAGTAGTCCCACAAGACGAGATCCCAGCGATCAAACCCTCGTCATGGTCCACATGGTGAAACAAGCAGAAGATTTCTATGAGTGATGTTGGTTTTATATCCGTAGATAATTGTGAGCTTGGGGTGATGGGTTTGTAGTAACTAACATTCTTGCTGGCGTCGAGTGTAGCAACTCATCGGAGGTTTCTCTTTGAAGTGGTTTTGATCGATCTTGCTGGATGTTGACCAGGGTTCTTAGCTCTGTTGATCATCACTTCCTCCCCAACAGGCCATGGGCTGATTACTCCTTTTGTCGATCTTGTTTGTTTGCAGCGTGGTCTTACATATGTGGGGGGACGGGAAGCGGCAACGGCAACGGAAGCGGAAGTCGGGATAGGGAATGGGGAAATTCCCTACCCTATCTCTCCTGCCGGATGGGATTTTTGCATACATTCAAGACAATTGAATTAATACATACCTATTACATATCTATATGTACTTTTAGTCTTTGTAACTGCATCGAAGCTGAGAATAAACATCCATTAGATGATAAGAGGTCCATTTCCTCCCACCGAGCAGAGCAAACAAAATTATCTTCTGGCTAATCGATGTGAAGTTTCCACCCAAATCCTGGATCTCGGATCAGCCTTCCTTCAGAGGCCCCGTGAACTCTCGTCTTAATTCCCTTGTACTGAAACCTCTCGCCCAGTGAATTCTCCCTATTGAGTGTAGGGACCCTTTCCATCCCTTGCCCTTGAAGGGCGAATAGTTCGGCCGTGTTTGAACTTTTGACGATATCCATATCCAGAATTGCCGTCTGAATCATCACCGCAGCGAGGAAAATGATGGTGAGTGCAATTTGGACAACCAAGAAAGACAACCACTCCCATCTGACGCGTACGAAGGTCTCTTCTTTGTAAGCAGTCCCATTAACCATTTCGTGGTCATCTCCATTTCGCATACTGGAGTCGTGTAAATCTCTGTTAGTTTCGCTTTTTTCTTTCATTCGCAGGGGAAAAGGGGGTTCAACGTTTGGAAGACACTCACAATGCCGTCATTCCGTCTGCAACATTGCTGGTCAGTTTCTGGACATTACGCCATGTTTTTTCGTCCACGTCAGCATCCGAAGAAGACCTCGACATATCGTTGAAGAACTTGCGTCCAAGGTTCTCGCCGTAGACCCCGCTGCCGCCAGTGAAGTCTCCCAGCGTATAAGCGCCGCTGAAGCCGAGGCTGAGCGCAAGCAGAGAGTGTGCGTAAGTGACAGTAACGTTGAACGCGGCATTGCCATCCGCATCCTTCATCTGAAAAGACGTGTAGTTTTGTCCATATTTGTAGCCGGGGAAGTTCATTTGGTCGATCTGCACTGTTGAAGAGAGTGTTTTCGTAGTAGACGTGCCATTTATGAACTCGGATTCATAGCTGTACACGCAAAAGTGGTAGAGTATTTCGATAGCGCGAAACCTTCGGGAACGGTCAGGGTTGGTGTTACTGTAGATGAAGAAAGATTGGGCCACTGTGGCGTGAAGAATATCTGTATTGTTCCAGTCGCCGAGAGAGGTCCATCTGTTCTCCAGGGGAGAACCCTGGTCTGTGACAATACCGTATGGATCTTTCCTGGGAGTGGTCATGTTGAGTTGGATACTATCGTCGGCGTCTTTCCAACGAAGATATCCTAAGTTCTTCGGCAAGGTGACATTGTATACCGTTATGTTGACTGAGGGGTCATCTGAGGATGGATGGGTCCATATTGTCGTGATGTTGAGCTGGTCAGTGACGTTCCTGATACTGGCACACATACCCAATGAACTATAGCTGAACCAATTGCATTTCACCTCGGAGCAATTTGGCTGAGGAACAGGCCAGGATTCATTTACTGTATAGATGGCAGCTTTGTATGCGCTTCGAGTCATGCCGTACCCAATTTGGTTCGCTTTACTCGCCAATCAGTGACATTTCTTGAGAGAATTGAAGCGGCTTTGGGAAATGTCTCACCTTTAACCTGAAAGTCGTCGAAATCTGAAGCTGGGTTCGGGTAAGACTGCGCAATTGGAGCTGAGACAATGCCGTTCTTAAAATATAAAGTTATTAACCAACTCTTTACTTTGCTTGATTATATTTAGTACCTGCTATAGAGAGGAGAGTAGAAGGAAAAAGAGGTAGTTAGGAATAAACAAGCAGGCGATGAAAAGGGGTAGGCGACTGACTTATATCCTCCCCGGTATAGTCCTCGTAACTAGACCTATGTATCTTCCCTTGACACGAAAAGCCGGCATCATGGCATATCTTGTATATCATAAAATCTCCGGCGTCGCGTATTCCGCAAATTAAATGGGGAGCCGACTTTGGATATTGTACTCTGCAAACATCGCACGACATGGATTTGTCCGCGGAATCCTCGCTCCCGTTGCCAGAGCTGCAAATCGACAATCGCTCATTATCGTCTTCACTCTCTTTATCGTGAATGAAGCCTGGCAAGCTTAGCTACCAATCTTAGAGTATAAGCCCGCTTAATTGCCCTGGTTTGAATCTAGGCTAGAGTAGCCCTCTTTAGAGGGCCAACCCTTTAGTTACTAACTATTGAATTAAATATGTCTCATTAGCCTAGCTTAATTAGGTAGGTACTATAATTAATATATAGAAGTAACTATATATACTACCTAAGCTCCTACAAGGTGTTTTTACTTAAGGATTCTTACTTTCTAGCAATTAGGGTTTTAGTTCTAACTTATAGGTATTATATATAAGTAAGGCTCTTCTCTAGGTAATAACTATATTCTAATATATTCAGGATACCCCGTATGATAGATGGGCAATTGGCTTCATTAATTGATTGATTGAACCGAGGCGTGAAGCATACTGAAGAGGCATCGAAAGCCCATCATCTTCTCCGCACAACTCGTTCCACTTTTCAAAATAGTATTTGAGAACGTTGAAGCGGCCGGAAGAAGCAGCTCCATGCAGCTGCGTCCATCCGGGAACGATTTTTGCATGTGGGCTTGCCCCCTGCTCAACAAAAAACTTGACGAGATCAAGATAGCCCTCAAAGGCAGCCCCAAACAGCGGCGTACATCCAGCATTGTCTTTCACATCTACATTTGCTCCACTTGATACAAGAACTTGAGCCGCACCGAGGTGGCCTCTGCTCGCTGCCATCAAGAGCGGTGTCTGGCCGTCGCTATCCCTGAGTGAAACATCTGCGCCATTGTCTATAAGGAACTGAACCATATCCGTATGTCCATTTCTTGCAGCAATGTGAAGAGGTGCCCACCCCCTCACATGAGAACGAGGCATATCGGCTCCCCAGTCACACAAAGACAACAGAATATTGCCATGTCTGCTGTGATCAGCCGCATTAAGGGAGGGCCAGACTGTTGCGGTAGCGTTGTTGATATCCGCTCCATTTTCGGCGAGCAGCTTGAGGATATCAAGATGGCCAGCACTCGCAGCAGCAAATGCCGGCGTCCATCCATCCTTGTTCACCAAATCCAAGTCTGCACCCTTCCCAAGAAGAAATCTAACATTGTCAATCTGACCTGAGTTTGCGGCTAACAGAATGGGGGTCCAACCATCTCCGCCTGCAGCGTTCAAGTCTGCGCCATTTTCAAGCATCATCCTGGCCAACTCTATGTCACCACGTTCAAACGCAACAATAAGCGGCGTCCAGCCATCCTCGTTTTGTACGTTGCAATCTGCGCCTTTCTCAAGCAGCATGTGAACGATATCCCTGTGGCCATATTGTACTGCACTGTACAACGGCGTTTGTTTCATGAGATCTGTGGTTGTCATGCTGGCCCCTGCGTCTAGTAAGATGCGCGCGATTCCAGTAAGACCAAACCTGCAACTGATCGCAAGAGGGCTCCTATGGAGCTGGTCGCATCCATCTATGTCATGATCCTCACTCTCTACCATATGAATGGCACTGAACTGTAGACCCAGCCAAGTAGCGTAGCAGAGACGGTTGGTTTTTGATCTTCTACGTGTGCGGAATTTCTGAGCCCATTTGTCGAATACATCTTGCTTCACCATTTCTCGATCAAGCCACAAGCGCCATCTACGCGAAGAAGCTGATTTAAATTCGAGGAACCCATTGACTGTGTGAGCGAGTATCTCCTGGGATCCTGAATTCACGTGCCTAAACCAAGAATCAGACGCGTATTCTCGAAACTGCTTTCCTAGGGTCCCCGTCGAGTCTTTTTCCAGGCCTAACCACACCCCAGAAAACTGGATATACTGGAGACATCTCTTTGCAAGTAACGTGTTCTCCAAGACTTCATTGGAAGCTTGGAGCCGGCCGTTTGCCCCCAAAACTTGTGCAGTACCTGAGACCTTCTGAAGAAGATATTGCCTAACTGAGAAATGTGTAACATGCACAGTCACATATTTCTTTAAGATATGTAACTGTGATGGACGCACCTCAATCAGAGAGCCGCATAGATCGAGAATCTCACTGTTGATGTAATCCTCGTCAAACTTGTCCGGAAGCTCTTCGATTGGAAATTCACTAGAGTCATCTTCTATCAACACTGCTTCGGTAATCTCGCCGACTGTGAGAGGACGGAGGGAAAATGCAGCCCATCTGAGAAGATTGTATGCCCTTTTCATGTCCGGCGGTTCATAGCTTGATATCGATTCCCAGTTGCGCTCATAGATTTGCGTCAAGCCGGAGGGAGTGTTATTGATAGCTTGCTCGAGCTGTTTTTTACTCATGCCGCGCCGCAGGCTATCACCTTGCATCTTTAGCCAGAGAAACTGGCCGTCACACCGGGCGGCCATTCTCTGTGACACATCGTTCTTGATGTCTTCAGCCTTGTTGGAAAGCCTTTTCCTCACGATACTGCGAGAATATGACTCGGTGTCCTGGCGGACATCGTGGGTGGTTATTTTGTACTCGTTGAAGCGTTGAACACCACCGTCGTCCTCAAGAGCATGTCGGATATCCGGTTCGTTTCGGCTGACAATCAATATTTGGACGCCGTAGTTGGTTGCGACTCTTTTCATCACTTCGAATGGGGTGTGCTCAAGTTCATGCAAAGATTTGCATTCATCAATTCCGTCCAATACCAGCACGCAGTTCGGTGCGCTACTCACAATATCCTCAAAGAGCTTTTCGATGACGTGGTTGGCTGCTTGTCTATCGACCAGTTCAAGCCATGCGTCGTAGACCAGATCAAAAATATCCGCATCTTGGAGAATCAACTGGTATATCCATGAGCGAATAACAACAAACGGATCCGCCTGACTCTCGAAATCCGAGGAGAAAAAGAAATGAGCTACCGGTGTCGTTAGGGTCTCAGTTAGATATTGCACCGCTCTAGCGCAGAGGACTGTTTTGCCAAACCCAGCCGGACCGTTTATCCAAAGTAAGCTGAATTTGTCTTTCTTTGACATCCATGATTGAAACTTGGGTCGGTCCGTGATCCAGTTGCAAGTACCATCCAGCCGTTTCTTAATAGCCTCGTGGTATATATTGTTTGTGCAATAGGAGCCCATGAGCCAAGATTGCAGATGTTGCTTTAGTTCCACTAAAATATTATTAGATATATTCCACTAAGAAAATATTGTTTTCAGAGGTATCTGTCTGTATGCGCAGCTGGGCTACTCACCTTTTCTCTCCGAATCTCGTCGTGTGATAAACTGCCTCACTTCGTCGAGTAGATGTGTCTTGTTTAGATGGTCGGCTAAAATACGTACGGGAGGTTAGCATGGCCGAACCGCTTCAAAACTGGAGCAGTGATTGCCGAATACCTAGTATAGCCTTTGATGCCTGCTCAGCAGTGGTATCACGGTCCGGCGACCCAGGAGGAACAAGGTTGTACAAGTTCTGAACAAGATCCTTGAACAACTTCACCTCCCCTTCTCGCTTTCCCTTTCCCCACAAGGCCCAGGCGACTCTCTGTTTCCGCGATGACGAGGATACCTGGTGCCCCGGCGAGAGGTTGAGCCGGTGTGAGCCTCCATCTCCAGGCTGGCATAAGGCGTATATGATCTGCAGTATCTCTTGGATCGTCTTTCTTGTATTCTCCTCCTCGAGTGCTTTGTGGTGGCTTTCCTTGAGGGTTTCCCCACGTTCGAGCCCAATATCGCGACCCCACTGTTGGAAACGCAGCTTCTCCGCCTGGAACTGCGTCTCAAGGTGGTGCATGTCCGTGGCAGAGTTGCGGTACTCCTGAGTCTTGTCTAGGGCGTCTAGGCAGGTTGAAAACAGGCCGGCCAAGCCAGCGACACCGACGACTAGCCCTGCGATCTCCATGATGTGCGGGCTGAGATGACTCGTGAATGATGGATGGAAGGCTGAGAGCGCGTCTCCTCCTGATGCGAAGTATTATTTCTCTGGCTGCATGATGCATGATTATTCACCCTGGGAGGTGCTCCATCTACGATGAAACCGAAGGGTGCGAAAATATCACAAGATCGCAGGCAGCCAGTCCTCTAGATAGATGACACGTAGTGAGAAAAGGTCACTGATTTGACATGAAAAATCATTACTGCGATGCCAACACGCACTTACCTTTCGCTATTTAGACCGTGTTGAGGCATAGGTGGACTAACTGTTAATCCCGCATTTGAAAGAGCTTTTGCTGCACATATGTGTGTCCTTCCACCTCACTCATGTTGGTCGCGGTGGCTGTGTAACAGTGACTCATATGCGTTATTCTTGGCAATAGAGTGCTTCTGCAACAGGCACAATGTAAGGCAGTTTGGTATGATTAATCACATGTACATTATCTCGTGATTAATTATCATTGGCTCGTAATAAAATACGGATGTCGCGCATAGATTCATAAATCCTGCGGATCTCATTGAAATAGTACTTCATCACATATTGTTCAGCAATGATGCCATACGCTACTGGACAACATCACAGAAATTGGTTTATTTGACATTGGTCACAATCTGTCTTGAAACTTCAACCTCAAGCCCGAAATACAAATCATGAAAGTGGAAACTACAGCTAGGCGTGCAAGTCAAAGCGGTCGAGGTTCATCACCTTGGCCCACGCAGCCACAAAGTCCTTGACAAACTTGGCATTGCCATCCGAGCTCCCGTACACCTCGGAGATGGCACGCAGCTCGGCGTGTGATCCTAGAACCAGGTCCACGCGGCTCGCAACCCATTTCTTGGCGCCAGACTCACGATCAACACCATCATAGCGTTCACCATCTACCGCCTTCCACTCGGTGCCCATGTCGAGCAAGTTCACGAAGAAATCATTCGTCAACACTCCTGGACGGTTGGTGAGGACACCGTACGACGAGCCATCGTAGTTAGTGTTGAGGACTCGGAGGCCACCCACAAGGACGACCAGCTCGGGTGGTGACAGCGTGAGTAGGTTGGCCCGGTCAACCAGAAGATGCTCTGTCTTGACCTTGTCCTCGGACTTTCCGTAGTTTCGGAACCCATCAGCGTATGGCCGAAGGTGAGCAATGGACTGGGCGTCAGTCTGCTCCTCCGTAGCATCGCCACGACCAGGGCTGAACGGAACCTTGATCTGGACGCCAGCGTCACTCGCCGCCTTCTCCACCGCTGCCGAGCCACCGAGAACGATGAGATCGGCAATGGAGACCTTGTTAGCTCCGAATCTTTGCTGCACACCCTCTAAAGCATGGAGAACTTCGCCCAGCTGCTTGGGATTGTTGACCTCCCAATCCTTCATGGGGGAGAGGCGGATACGTGCGCCGTTGGCACCGCCGCGCTTGTCACTGCCTCGGAACGTGGAAGCAGAAGCCCAAGCGACGGATACGAGCTTCGACACGTCGGGGACTGCAGAAAGGATCTCGTTCTTAAGTGCGGAAATTTCACTCTCGCTTAGGGAGGAGGAGCCTTTAGGAATGGGGTCTTGCCAGATAAAGTCCTCTGAGGGGGTCTCTGGTCCGATGTAGCGGGCTCGAGGACCCATATCACGGTGGGTGAGCTTGAACCAAGCCCGGGCGAAGGCATCGGCAAACTCATCAGGCTTCTCGAGGAACCGACGTGCGATCTTCTCATATGCCGGGTCATAGCGCAGAGATAGATCAGTGGTGAGCATAGTTGGCTTCTGCTTCTTCTTAGGGTCAAATGCATGAGGGATGATGTCGTCCGCATCCTTGGCCACCCACTGGTTAGCGCCAGCCGGGCTCTTGGTGAGCTCCCACTCAAACTTGAAGAGGTACTCGAGATAGTTGTGGCTCCATTTGACGGGCGTCTTTGTCCAAGTGACCTCGAGGCCACTAGTAATAGCGTCCGGTCCCTTGCCTGAGTTGAATGAATTGGTCCATCCAAATCCTTGCTGCTCCGGGCCCGAAGCCTCGGGCTCTGCGCCAACGTGAGAAGAAGGCGCGGCACCATGTGTCTTGCCAAAGGTGTGGCCTCCGGCGATGAGAGCCACTGTCTCTTCATCATTCATTGCCATGCGACCAAAGGTGACACGGATATCATGTGCGGCCAGGACTGGGTCAGGGTTTCCATCCGGGCCTTCTGGGTTCACATAAATCAATCCCATATCTGTAGTTCAATTAGTAAGACGTCAAGAGAATGATGCCACAAGAAAAACCTACGCGCTGCCGCAAGAGGCGACTGCAGATCACCCTTGTGGTTACTCGGTCGCTTTGGCTCATCGCCATCAACAACACCATGTTCGCTGAGACCTTTGAAGCCAACGTCATAGCGGACATCATTTCCGAGCCAGGTCTTCTCTCCGCCCCAGTACGTCGACTGGTCCGCCTCCCAGGTATCAGGTCGGCCGCCAGCAAAGCCGAGGGTCTTGAAGCCCATGGTCTCGAGGGCCACATTGCCAGTCAGGATCATCAGGTCAGCCCACGAGAGCTTGTTGCCGTACTTCTGCTTGACAGGCCACAGCAGGCGACGAGCTTTATCCAAGGAGACATTGTCAGGCCAGCTGTTGAGGGGGGCAAAGCGCTGCTGGCCGCCGCCACCGCCGCCTCGGCCGTCCAAGACCCTGTAGGTGCCGGCCGAGTGCCATGCCATTCGAATGAAGAGGCCGCCGTAGTGACCAAAGTCGGCGGGCCACCAGCTCTTCGAGTCCGTCATGACGGCGGCGATGTCCTTCTTGAGGGCATCGTAGTCGATAGACTGGAAAGCGGCACGGTAGTCGAACGACTCATCGAGAGGGTTGGAGACATTTGTATTCTGGCGGAGGATGTCGAGCTTGAGCGAGTCGGGCCACCAGTCCCGGTTGGTGGTACCACCTCCGCCGGTGTTTCTGAGGTGGACGGGACACTCGCCTTGACCTTGACCCATTGTCTATGCTCGCGAGGGGTATCAATTGTTTTGTTTTGGATTGCTACGGCGTTACCCTCGAGTTACCTACACGAGGACGGCGAAAGATCAACGAAGACAACTGTGTATACGAGAAGGAGAGAGCCAATATGCGATATCGCAGATCGTTCCACTCCCAGAGACAAATAAACAGTTGAGGATTACGAAGCGAAGAGGCGGGCGACATGAATGCGGGGTCTCGTACTTATACCTGACAGCTCTGGTTAATTCTGATGTCATGGAGGCCGGTATTGACGGAAGGAAACTCTATGTAGCAGCGGAACTTGCCAATGGGAATGTGGTATTCCTGGAGCGAGACCGAAGTGGTGTGCTACCCCTCACAAACGCCATGTAAGTCGACCAGGACTATTTCAAACTCTGCCGCTCCCATTCGCCGGAGCTAGCATGAACCCCTCTTTTCCCCGGGAATGAGTACCCAGGGGCTTCCACCGCCATGTTCCATCTTCTTTCTTTGTCGAGGATCGTTTCCGAAGCTGCTTCAAGCTTCCAGGTACAGGACGGAACGCGCCCTGAACCTACCCTACACGCGCCGGATCATTCGTTGCGGCGCCGGTTTAGTTCTTGCACCCGATTTGCTTTAGTCTTTCACTATCTTCTTTTGCTTATTCTTTACTGTTAATGGCATTGAGAGCCAGAGAATCCTGGGATTTTGTGTGTAATGCGGGGAACACAACCATGCGTTTGACATCCATCGGTGGTCACTGGAGGTGACGTCAGCGACTCATAATTCCAAGTCATGTGTGACCGATAATTCCAAATCATCGTGAAGAGTGACACGGCTAGTGCGATTCACTGCACCAACCTCGTCTCTGAGGTAGCATTGTCCAAACTAGTAGGCACAGGAATGTAGATAGGCTATTTTATACTAAACAGCCAGCGTGATTAGCAGGCCCGCAAAGGCACAGAGTCGAGAGTTGAAACCCGCAGCGACGTTCAAAGTGGAGGATTAGGCCCACCTCCAACTTGCTGATAATTACATGATTTTTACAGGCCCGCTGTTGTTCCCACGGCCCCAGTTAGAAATGGTGGATAATTTCAAAATTGATTAAACAAGAATTAGTGCCACTGAACGCGCTCCATACTCTCGCGATATCCTGACAACATCAATGCACTGGCACAAGAAACATAATTTGAGGATAGTTAGGGAGATATCAACCGCCCTTGTAACATTTTTATTAATCAATAGATCCCGACATAAATAACCTGAAAAGTGCTAGATGTGCAATAAATCCAAATCGAAAACCCGACTCCGCTGAACTGCCTATGAATGTATAGAGCCCTCTTTGTCGGCAATCTTCTTTTGCTGGTTGGACCGACGTCGGCGCTGGTAGAGGAAAAAGGCAAGGTATAAGAGCAGAATAAATGCGATTGCACCAAGGACGATCCCCACGATGACCCCGGGCTTCAACTTGGTTTTTCTCCCGTCTCCCGAACTGCCTCCACCTCCGCCACCGTAGGTTCCTTTCGAACTACTCTTGCCAGAACTGCCGCCTCTCCCTCCACCACCGCTGGTCCCGCTACCTTTAGGGGCCGCATCGACGAGCGTCGTGAGAGATTGGATTGCGAAAGCGAAAATAGTGTAAAATATTGGACTAGGAGGGGACAGTGTGTTGGCAGGCATTTTGATTAGGCGCGGCAGTCAATGGCTGAGAGGTTGGTAGTTCTTTGATGGCGTTGGTTGGGCACGGTTGTATATAGAAAATAGAGTGAATTTATATCAGGCGTTTCGATTACATTTAGAAGAAGCTCGTTTGGTTTTTCGTTGAGACATGATTGTTAAATAAATAATGAATGCAACGCAGCTACACAAGGAAGCTGGTGATCACCGACGTCATTACATAATATTCTGGCATGTTTTGGGGAAATATGTAGCAGTGAAGGACAAGTATGACGTCGGACCTGTTGCTCGCAAATGATGCACTGGCATATCGCTGATCAGTAGTAGAAGATAATTCATGAAAGTTGAGAGTAGCACTCATACCGCGTCATTGCGCATATCACACACACCACTGCATGATCGAAGTTCCAAACAAAACTCGTTTTTTGCATGTGTTCGAGGAGGCTCTCGCCCTCTGCCAAGTCATGAAGTAATTTGCTGCAGCTTCCCATCAATGCTGAAATAAAAACCAATTTTCAGCTCTCCTTGGGCCTGTAGTCATTGGCGTTTGAATAGTAGTAAATAGGCTTAATGATGCAACATGGTACTGATTATAACATAAATCAAATGAGCGGCGCTCAGATCATCACAACAAAAAGAGTAACACACCGGAAGCGATTTAAGTACCTTTATTAATCCCGCTACTGGAGCCTTTGCTTTACCCTTCGGAAGGGCGATGATCTAATTGTACGCTGATGCTTTCAGCCTCTAATTGACTAACAACATGTAGGCATCGACTGCAAGCAATTTGGTGGGCTACTTCTTAGTGACAGGGACAACTCCTTCATCCTCAATGAATTTAGAGTGGATGATGGTTCCGTCACGTTCTGCTTTGTAAAGCTCGTAGGCCTTCATCTTTTGGGTCGCCAATCCCTTCCCCCCAAACAGGACATCCATGTCTTCCAAGGCCACTCCATTAGTCTCTGGGATGAGGAAGTAGACGTATATACCACCGAGGACAGTCATGGCACCGAAAAATAGGAAGGTACCGTATGTGATGGATTTGAACATATATGTCACCGCGTACGAGACATAGAATTCTCCGAGCCAGTGGGAGCAAGTTGTCATGACTAGGCAGAATGCTCGGATCCGCGTGGGGAAGATTTCAGCGGCGATGATCCATGGGAGATTCCACCCAATGGCCTGCGATTGGGTGATTAGCGACTTTCCATTGCAGGTAAACATTGAAGGGAGGACAGAATGGAAATGTTCAACTGCTTACATATCCAGCTCCAAAAATATATATGAAGGCTACGGCGCTGTTGGACGCGGCCGTAGGGTCTTGAGACGTGTGAAATGAATCGGTGATGGCGGCAAATGCCCCCACGTAAAACATGGAAAATGCGCACATGACGGAGCCAGCGAACAGCAAAGTTCGTCTTCCAAGTCTATCGACAAGGAAAAGGAAGCCGATTGTGGCAACGATACCCTTTACAATGCCGTAAATTCCGGTCGAGAACAGCTTGGCCGACTGAGGCACCGAGCTAGAGTCAGCTGGGTATCATCTAAAGGTCAAAGGGACAACTCACAGCTCCATGATAGCCTAGCACCTGGAAGAAGGTGACAGAAAAATTATTCATAGCGTTGATCCCTGTGCTATTTTGGAAGATCATGAGTAGGCAGCCATGGATGAGGCGAGGAGCCATTTTCTTGGTAAAGGTTTCAGACACAATTGCTTTGAATCCAGAAGCTGATGTGATAGAAAGCTCATGTTCCATTTGGCGTTCATAGTCAGAGAGCTCATTGGCCACGTACTCGTGTTCAACTGGAAGTTGACGGAGCCTGGTGAGAGCATTCGTGGCCTCTTCCCGGCGGCCTTTGGAAAAGTACCATCTCGGGCTTTCACAGAGAGGGATTAGGCCAAGCGCCATTAGAGTAGCCGGAATGAACTGGAAGGCAATAGGAATAAACCACTGGGTGTCTCCGACAGATGAAACCTTGCGTCTGTCAGTCATATTGGTTGCGTTATCGGCATTATATAACTCACATTTTGCTGGACCCCATAGTTGATCCAAAACCCAACAACTGTACCAACTTGGACTCCAATCTCAAACTGAAAACATCACGCAATTAGCAAGCTGACAAAGGATTGTTTTGGTGGAGTCGAAACTTACACAACCGATAATGCCACCTCGAGCTGCCGATGGCGCACATTCTGACAGGTATTGAGGCACAACAAATGTGGTGCCACCCACTCCAAGCCCACTGATGAAACGGCCCACGTAAAAGACGGGAATGTTGCCTTGGCAAACCATCTGCAAAACCACGCCAATATTGAATACCCAAGCTGCACCCATGAGTGCTCGGCGACGGCCAAACCGTTCATTTGACCAGTACGCTAATATCACGCCAAAGAAGGCACCCCCCTGGACTAAGTTAAGAGAGAGGTAAGCCTGCCTTGTCCTGGTGAAGCGTGACCCAGTGGACAGTTCAACTTACAGGTGTTTACCATATGAGCCTGTATAGCACTGGCATCCTTGTTGGCAAGTTTGAAGCGACGAATGAAGGACTCCAATGAGAAAACACCTCCGATAAATGCCAGGTCATAGCCAAAGATGACGGAGCCTCCGGCGGCGACCAAGATCACCCAGAAAAGTTGCCAGTTGTATACTTCCCGAGGCGCGGAACTGTCTTTGGCGTTGAAACTGAACCCCATCTTTGCAATTAGAATATATGGTTTCAGGAAATTGGGGATAAGAAGCTGGATGAAGGAGGTGAGGATGAGTCCCTCGAGCAGCGACGCGTTTATAACAAGAAAGCCGGCTGGAGCTACGACAACCCCTCTTATCTTTATTGGATCCGAGAATAGACCAAGGATATGTGAGGGAGGGTGTGAGCGGTAGCTGGTAATTGGAAAGATAAGCTGATCAGTCCATGCCCCTCTTCCCCGCAAAATCCTAGGAAACCCCGGATTTTGAAACGCAATCAGCGTCCAGGAACTCAGACCTGGTGGAGTTTAGACGATGATAGCGGCTGGTGGCCGAGTCATGGTCACCTCCGAAGCTATAAATTGGGTCTGGATCCCACCATCGTCACAATCTGTGGAACACTTCGGATGTTAAGCTGTTAAGAGAATAGCCTCCGAGCTTGGTATCTCGGAGCGATCTTCCGAACTTCCCCTCCGAACCGTATTCCCACTTGGAACTCGCGCATATCATGACACTGATGGGAATAAGGGACAATTCCCCTGTTAGTTAGTGTCGAAAGCAGTTACATCTACCTATTTCACATCACTTTACCCTTATGCAGAGTGAGGCCGCTCATAAATGAAGCCGAAGATCACTTGCCAGCACCTCGGAGGAGCCTCCGAAGTTTTCACCATCAGGGAATTGTTTGCCATCTGCGTAGTAGCTCAGTCGTAGACATTCCCCAGCCTCGATACCTCCACATCTCACCTCCACATGAACACTGAGACCTCCACATGCACATTGAGCATTGCAGCTGCTGTGACCAAGTTAAAAAGCATCCCAAATCCATCTCAAGAGAAGATCCCTTTCACCACCATCCCTACATTCGACCATCTGCTACTTCGGAGGCTATCAAGCGAATCCTCACATTGAAAATGCCACACTCAACCTCTCAGCCAGATGTCGCAGGTCCCGTGAGGGTGGCAATCGGTACGCTACCTGCTACATTAACCACCGTTATTTCATAGACTAACCCGAAAAAAGACAGGGGAGGTACTTTCACTGATGTAGTTGTTTTCTTTGCCGACGGAAGGGAGAAAGTGTTCAAGTTACTGTCGCGAGATCCGAGCAATTACAAGGATGCACCGATTGAGGCTATTCGGAGAATCCTGGAGGAAGTCGAGAATAGATCAATCCCGAGAGGGGTATCATTAGATCTCACAAACATCGGTACGCTGGATCCTCTCTATTCCCACTTATGGTGCAATGCGACAGAATTAAGCTCATTCTTCCTTCTCCCTAGAATCACTCCGTATGGGAACTACAGTCGCCACAAATGCATTGCTAGAACGCCAAGGAGCCAAGACGGTCTTATTTATTACTAAAGGATTTAAAGTGAGCAAGCTTCACCGTCATGTGCTATTCTGAACTAACAAGCGATAGGATTTGCTCAAGATTGGTAACCAATCACGCCCGGACATGTTTGCGCTCAATGTAAAACGACCAGAGCTTCTATATTCCAAGGTTGTTGAAGTATCAGAAAGAGTGACACTGCATGATTCCATTGCATATAAACGAAAGGATAACGAGGGCAATTCACAGCCCACCGAGAATGTTACTGCTACGGCTGAGCTCAGATCACCAGAAGACAACGATGTAATTGTTGGAATATCGGGAGAGAAGGTTCGTGTTATCCAGAAGCTCGACCTGAAAGAAGTACAAGAAGGGCTTCAAGCCGCATACTCGGAAGGATACCGCAGTATTGCAGTCTGCCTCCTACATTCTTACACATTTCCCGACCACGAGCAGGCTATTGCAGCTGAAGCCAAGAAGGTCGGGTTCACACAAGTATCTGTATCGAGTCAGCTATCACCAGCAATCAGAATGTTGCCCCGCGCAAGCTCAGCGGTAACAGATGCATATCTGACTCCAGAGATCCAGGCATATCTGGAGGGTTTCCAAGCTGGAATTGGAAACAAGAGTCTTGAGACCGTGAACTGGAGAATTATGCAGTCCGATGGCGGCCTTGTGCATCCTTCGAAGCTTTCAGGACTTCGGGCTTTACTGTCTGGTCCGGCTGGAGGTGTTATCGGGTATGCGAAGACGTCCTACATTCCCGAGAAACCAACGCCCGTCATCGGCTTCGACATGGGAGGGACATCAACAGATGTTTCCAGATACGCAGGAACGTTGGAGCATGTGTTCGAATCCACCACAGCGGGGATCTCAGTCCAGGCTCCTCAACTTGACATCAACACTGTTGCTGCAGGAGGAGGAAGTGTTCTTGCGTGGCGAAAGGGCATCCTAGCGGTGGGCCCGGAGAGTGCAGGATCACACCCGGGACCTGCCTGCTATAGAAAGGGAGGGCCTGCAACAGTCACTGATGCCAATTTGATTCTCGGTCGGATTGTCCCTGACTATTTTCCGTCTATCTTTGGTGAGACGCAAGACCAGCCACTTGACGTGAACGCCTCCTACGAGCGGATGAGAGAATTGATGGAAGTTATCAACAAGGATCAAGGGACCAGCTTTTCCGTCGAAGAAATCGCGAGCGGTTTCATTACGGTTGCCAACGAGGCCATGTGTCGCCCGATCCGCGCGTTAACAGAAGCTCGGGGGCATAACACTGCTGACCACAATCTTGCTGCATTCGGAGGAGCCGGTGGCCAACACGGATGCGAGATCGCCAGGGCACTCAAGATCAAACGCGTGATCCTTCATAAATATTCGTCAGTCTTGTCGGCCTATGGAATGGCTTTGGCAGAAACAATCCAGGAAGAGCGACTGCCGTTTGCGGAAGTTCTATCGACGTCGTCGTTGGAGCGAGCCAAGACATTACTCGAGCAGCTTAGAGGCAAAACCGTTTCTTCGTTGAGGCAAATAGACCCAACGTGTGGAAAGACAGATTCTTCATTCTTTCTGAACCTGCGATATGACGGAAGCGACACCTCTCTGATGGTCGAGAAGCCCGAAGATAGCTGGGACTTCGAGGGGAGTTTTGTGCGCATGCATTACCAAGAATTTGGCTTCACGCCTTCCGGGCGAGATATCTTGGTAGATGATATACGAGTCAGGACGACGGCAAAGACAACTGAAGAGGATAAGGTCGGTCTCCGAGAGCTGGATACGCTCACGGCGACAAGCTGGGCAAGCTCCACCAAGACGACACGGATGTTCTTCGAGAAGTTGGGCTTCGTTGATGCTCCACTCTATCTTTTAGACGATCTCTCAGTCGGTGGAAAGATAGCTGGTCCTGCGATGGTCATTGATAAGACACAAACAATCGTGGTGTCTCCGGACTCTACAGCAACGGTCTTGTCGTCGATGCTCGTTCTCGACGTTGAGCCTGTGCTGGCGGATACGGATGCCAAAGCTACCATTGATCCCATCCAGCTTCCAGTGTTCGCCAACCGCTTTATGGGAATTGCTGAACAGATGGGCCGAGCACTCCAAAAAACATCAGTCAGTACAAATATCAAAGAGCGGCTGGACTTTAGCTGCGCCATCTTCTCGGCGGATGGCGGCCTCGTTGCCAACGCACCCCATGTGCCTGCAATGCTAGGAAGTATGGCATTCTCAGTCAAGTGGCAGATCGATTACTGGAAGAACAACATTAGAAAGGGCGACGTATTTCTCACAAATGCACCTTACGCCGGAGGCGTGCATCTCCCTGATCTAACCGTGATCACTCCCGTTTTTGACGAAGCCGGGGGGGAAGTTCTCTTCTGGACAGCATCGCGCGGCCACCATGCTGATGTTGGAGGAATAGTCCCTGGTTCTATGCCAGCGAACTCCACCGAGCTCTGGGAGGAAGGTGCAGTCATCGATGCTATGAAGGTGGTCGAAGATGGTGTTTTCCAAGAAGAGCGAGTCCTTGAGGCCATGTTATATGCCCCCGCGAGATTCCCCGGATGCCAGGGCGCCCGATGCATACAAGATAACATCACCGATATCAAGGCTCAAGCAGCAGCTAATCAAAAGGGAGTGAACCTGATCACTTCTCTTATCCGGGAGTTTGGACTGGACTCCGTCGTCGTAAGACTCTTTTACTTCAAGTTTAGTGAGATGTTGACTAACTGATAATAGCTCTATATGAACGAGGTCCAGAGTGCATCCAGCAATGCTGTGAGAGAGACGCTCAAGAAGATTTGCAAAGACAAGGGAAGAAATATTTTTGAGGCTGAAGATTTTATGGATGATGGCTCCCGTATCAAACTGAAGATCACAATTGATCCGGAGACTGGAAACGCGGATTTCGACTTTAACGGAACTAGCCCTCAGGCAAACGGTGAGCCAAACCTCTAAATGTCCACGAAAAAGCTCAGATTTACTAACGATACCTGAACGACTAGGAAATTGGAATGCCCCGATAGCTGTCTGCAACTCGGCTACCATTTATACACTACGTTGCCTGGTTAATGCTGATATTCCGCTAAATCAAGGATGCATTGTTCCAGTGAACTTGATCATTCCGGAGAACTCTTTCCTCAGCCCATCAAAATCAGCCGCTGTCGCTGGTGGCAATGGTCTGACGAACCAGCGTCTGGTAGACACCATCCTGAAGGCGCTTGAGATATGCGCAGCCAGCAATGGTTGCATGACAAACTTCACATTCGGACTAGCGACAGCCGATGGGTTTGGGTACTACGAGACAATCGGCGGAGGCAGCGGCGCAGGTCCTTCGTGGGAGGGCGAGGATGGTGTTCATTGCCACATGACCAACACCCGTGCCACGGACCCTGAAATCATGGAGAGGAGATACCCCGTGTTGTTGAGGCAATTTGCACTTCGAGAGGGAAGTGCAGGTGGTGGCATGTATCGCGGAGGAGAGGGTATTGTCCGAGAACTGGAGTTCCTTATCGACATGACAGCAGGTATTCTCTCGGAGCGACGCGTCTTCCAGCCGTATCCCATGGCAGGTGGCCAACCTGGTGGTCGGGGCGAGAATCTCCTGCTTCGGACTGATGGGCGTGTGATCAATATGGGAGGGAAGGCGACGTGTCGCGTTAAGGCCGGAGACAGAATTCAAATTCACACTCCAGGTGGTGGAGGATATGGTTCAAGTGAGGATGGGATCAACGGATCCGCCTCAGGGGTACGCGATGACAATGGTGCAGGGACACTGCAGTTTGTCCCGCTAGCAAATGGCTCCCTGTATTCTCGAAGAGAGGTAGAGGAGGGGAACTAATACTTACTAAATTCAACTAGCCAAAATAAAGCTCAATTATGTTACCCGGTGGGCTGGAGTACAACTCGCTCTAGATAGGCTAACATCCGGTATCTGGCCCGGCTTCGGAAGTAGCTCCGAGGAGATCATCTGACTTCCGAGGCTCCGAACGAACCCAAACCATATCTGACCTCTCTCGATACAGCTCGCTCGATACACAGATAATCATTTCGGAGCTTACACACGACCAGATTGATAGCCTCCGAGGTCCGAATTCAAACATGCCTGTAGATCCCACAGGTTCACGGCCCTCACCAGGGAGGGATCCTCACTCGGCGCAGCCTCCGCGTGCTGGCAGTAGGCCGGCAAGTACTACCTCTAAAACACCTCTCGCGTAAGTGGTGGCTTCCTGCCGGCTGGATGGCCGAGGGCCCTGAAGCGTGCTTATTCATGACATTGATTGCATGTAGGTGTGTCACATGTCGAAAGAAAAAAGTCAAGTGTTCTGGAGCAATCCCATGCCAGTATTGTCAGAAACGTGGAATCAAATGTGTTCCCCGCACGGTCGTCTCGAAGAGAACCTATTCAGACAAGTAAATCAGCCAGTAACATCTCACTTGGCAATCAGCTCACACGGACGTTTTCCTAGTCAAATCGAACAACTTCAAGCTCGTCTCGCTAGATACGAGCCTCCTGAAAGAGTACTGGCTCTCTCAAATGAGGGTAGTTTTCCTACCGATTATATTCGTTCTTGCAATTACTAAATGCCTCTCAAAACGTCCAGCAGACAGCCAAATTCTGGTGGCGACACCAGTTCGAACCACACACGAATTTGCGTCAGCAGCTCAAGAGCAGGAAAGACTGACTCGAAGTGGTTTGGGGGTTGTTCCCGCAACCCCTGCCGTGTCTGGTCCCTCAGTTGACACCCCAAGTACGGTAAACTCTACCGTTACACATACGCAGAGATCAAGTAAGTTGTACGGTCGATATCGTCCATGTCAAAGTCTGATATAATCGCCAGAAATAGCATCCGACTCCTCATTAAGCTCCAGTCACACTTTCGGATCGAGGATCCATACACTCTTGGATCATGCCAGAGCTGAAGAACATTTAGGAGCACTGAGGAATAACCCTGTACAATCGACGCCGATATCAAACAGGGCAACTACTCAGGGATCACGAAGAGCGGCAGATTTCGGAATACCGAGCTTGCCGACTCCTCAAAACGCCCACCGTCTTCTTGAAGCGGTCACCTTTTATATTGGCCAGGCCCAATGCCATTTTGACGCTCGAGAGCTTCTTGATAGGATATCCTACGTTTCAGAAAGTGCCCTGGGTCCTGATGAACTAGCAAAGCCTGAGATGCTAGCCGCTCTTCTGGTTTTGGCTATCGGGAAATTATTTGTAGGAGAAATCGACACAAGTGGCGAAATACCTGGGACCGAATTATTCGAGTTTATTCTTGGCAACTTTCCAACATTGGGAGAACTATACAACCTCGGGAGGCTTGGCGTTGAAGTGACTGCATTAGTTGCGGTGTATATGCAAAACTCAAATAGGCGAGAGGAAGCTTACATCTACGTGTGTCAATCTACTACGAATTTCTCAGTTGAAATTACATTACTGACAGTTAACAATTCAGATAAGCACTGCATTAAGGTTGGCTATATCTCATGGGTTCCACCGCGAGTCTCGGCTAGAAAAGTTTGCCCAGTCCGAGAGGGTCAGGCTCAACCGGCTCTGGTGGACCGTGTATATGCAAGAAAGGTGATTGATTCCAAATTAGTTGGGCCCTATTGATAGACTGATATATTGCCAGGCGCCTAGCAGCTGCGACAGGCAATCCATCAGGTATCAATGATGAAGCGATCGAATTGACGCTGCCAACAAACGCGCCAGGATTTAGCCCTGCAGCGCCGTTGTGCACGAATATCAAAATTGGTAGAGTGGTTGGAAGAATCATAAGTGGTAAGTTTCAATCAATTAACCAAGAATATTGGCTTTGGTGCATACCTTACTCGTTCGCCAGATTTATATGGAAAGGAAGCGGAAACAGAACAGGCGTTCGTTTCAAACGTCCAGGATATTGTGCAGACGCTATACGATATATCGCAAAGCATACCATCGGAACTTGAGACTAGTATGCGGAATTCTGGATCAGACCTCTCTCTGAGGACAACTGCTATGCTGCATTTAATGCTTTATCAGGTGCGAAGTGGAAAACCGGTTGCATCTGGTTCCAGTTTGGACAGCTTTCTAACAATGTATAACCAGGCGACGCTTTTGACAATACGGCCCATCATGTTACACGTTACTCAGCTAATACTGGAGAACAACATCTCCTCGGAAGAATCGTTGTCTAGGACACCTCTGGGGAAGCTCACTGAAACTTGCATCGAGGCAGCTAGACGGATGCTAAAGGCTATCATCACATTAAAGAGCAAGAATATGCTAGGTCTGTGCCTCATCTAGCCCCCCTGCAAGTTGATGTGAGAACTAACTAGATATAATTGCAGTTATCTTTGGCTTTTTTGACCTTGAATCGGCAGTCTCGGCTGCTGTCGTGATGATCCTTATGGCACTGTATAACTCGGCATGCCCAGATCAAGACCGCTTACATCCAACACCTGGACTCAATGATGCGCTTGAAGTGCTACAATTTTTGTCTGACAAGGGAAACATTTTTGCCTTCCAGCGGCTCCAAGAGGCACAAAGACTTTGGGAGCTGACAAGGCCTTTCCTCCAAAGGGCTCGTACAGAAACAAACAGCCACAATCTGGCGTCTGAATTGAACCACAGGCCTAAATTCGCCACAGTTAACCATACAAACAATAACGAAAATAACAACTGCCCTCCACAGTGGGAAACAGGATCATTTCAACAACCGAACACTCACGAAAATCTTACTGGCAATGCGGCCAACGACGCAAGCGTGATAAACATGACGACGCTGGATAGTGGTCTATGGGATGAAATCTCAAACATTTGGGCCCTTCGACCGGATCCTGAAGGTATCTCTTTGGCGCAAGGGGAATCAGTAACTAACCCACTTACGGAAGATGCCTACAGATACTATTACGCCCTTTACAGCAACGGGCAAGGGACTTTCGTTGGAGATGATATGGAAGGCTTAACGGACCTGGGCAGATATCTTTTCAATTCTGGAACCTAGTAATATAATCTGGGGGCTTACCCTACATGTCTAGACATAATGCTATCTAGCTATTGAATGTTCTCTAAGAACCCAAGGGCTGAAGCGAAGGCCTCACGATCCAGACCATTATTGTAGCTTGGCCCCTCCCAGCTTCTTCTTCTTCAAACTTACAACCGTGCCAAGTGGGCAACGTACATGTAGTCGAGAGTGATGTTTCCTTGTACCTATTTGGGTTACCCCTGCCTTTAATATCTTCCATCACTGAGATAATATTATCTGGGGGTCTATAACCACAGAAACAAATCTTATGTTAGTTAAGTAAGAGTCATCCTGAACGCTTAATACAAGGTTGCCTCCCTCACCTTAACTTCGAAGCTGTGAGAGAGGCCAAACCCGGCATCTCAACACAATGACTACGGAAGGCAAAAATAAGCTCTGCCAACTCAAGGCTGCAGACTAACCTCGAAGGTGCAATCAGAGAGTTACCTCGCGGCCATGACTCATTTCCTGTCAACTCTATCAAAGACAACGAATGCCCCCTTAAGGCCCCCGATGCCCGCGACCCGAGAAACCACACCTACCCGCGATGTCGCGAAATGATGTTACAAGTTGGCCATTCGGGGATATCTTACGTTACTTCCGATTTGACGATGGCGTATCGAATGCGCCAGAACTCGTCGGGCAGCTGGGTGCCTACCAGGTAGACAGAATGAGGTTGAGTCCAGAGCTGATGCCTAAACTCAGACCAATCATAAATAATCACGTTAGTGCGAACTCAAGTTCTGCCTAGCACTCGTTGGCTGCCCGAATGACTCTATCCAAACAGCAATGGGCAGATCGAAAACCTATATATTCTCTCAATTCTCCCGACTTCCCAATATTGATCTTTCCTTTCTTTCCCATCCCTGTGCTTGGGCTCTTCCCTGCTCCTTGATGCGAAAGCTGAGAGAGGAACTGCTAACCGCGCCCCGGTCATTGACCACTTCAGACTGGCTCCCTTTTATTCCAATAGGAGGGGAATTTTTAGAACTTCATTGATTACCACATCAAATTCTGTGCTTCCTTTCTTCTTTCATTGCGCTTCAGACTGTCGTAGCCTGGCGTGAAGAAGGATATGGGAGGCCCTCGGGTCTGCATTTGAATAACGCCTCAATCCTGACTTCTCTCTGCTCTCGGTAATGAGATTCATTCCCTCCTTGGTATAATATTAAGTTGTTAATTCCCTTAATGATAGGTATAATTTTAACTTACTAATTGCTTAGTATTTGGTTATATCTTCCTTCCCCCTTTCTTAGCAGCAGCTGCTAAGCTATATGGCTCTCTCATTTACTACTAAGAGTCGTGCGGAGATGATTACATTAAAAGACATCGGTTTTAATAATCCCGAAATCGATTACAGGGGCCACTATTAATGATGATCTGTCGACTGCTAGTGGCCTCATTCGCCAGTCGCTATAACATTGTGCAGCGATCTTTGCGGAAGAATTAAAAAAATCCATAAGGCGACAGGGATTGGGTCATGGCTAAATAGTGAACGAAGGGTCATTTACCCCCAAGCAAAACACCCAGCCAGTATTGGTGCGGATGTATGAAAATGTCTCATTGTAGTGACATGTTTTCGAGTAGTGGTTGTGAAGGATTTTGCCGAAGTCTTGAGCGGAGGGGTAATGCCAATGGGCACGACTCACCCTGACGCTGAATCCGCTCTTGACTTGTACTGTTTTTTTTTTTCCATCGCAAATGATCTTCTGTGGAACTGAGAACCCTCGCTTTGCGTTCAGCAATGGGCAGACAACCATTTTGATTGTTGAGAGCTTGGTTTCAGGAAAACCTTTGAGCTTTACAGCTCTATTCCCGGGAATTTTACTCATTGAATTGTCATCCTTAGATTTTCGAATACAGGTCTTCAATCCTCAGCATTCAACGCACCATCAAGCATGCGTCTTCGATCCAGAAGCCTGGACAGCATTGTCCTGCCTGTGTTGACCTGGTTCTTCGTGGTCACGCAGTGTAATCTGTGCTCAGCAATCGCTTTACAGTCAAATGGAAACCAACCAGATTCTCCACGTGAACGTATCAGACTTCATACGGGCTGGAAATTCTGGCGTTCCGAGTCTAGGCCAGACAATCTGGTGTACGAGCCTCGACCATATGCGAACGACTCAGGGCTCTTCGTTTTAAAGCCTTGGATTCTTCCAACGGCAAACGAGTTTATCGAAAATGCTGAAGACAGGCACGATGTGCCGACCGAAGACCCTGATATAAATATCCCCTATGTCAAAGATTCGTTCGATGACAGTGACTGGGAGGGTGTGAAAGTCCCTCATGACTGGGCTATCAAGGGTCCATTCTACATAAACGGTGATGAGTCTCCAATTACTGGCCAAATGGGCTCGCTACCGCTCCATGGCGTGGGATGGTACCGACGAAAGCTATCATTTTCACCTGCCGATGTTGGGAAATCTATTTATCTTGAAATCGATGGTGCAATGTCATACTCCGCAGTATGGGTCAATGGCAAGATTGTCGGCGGTTGGCCCTACGGATACAACTCATATCATCTCGACATAACCTCCCATTTGAAGGAGGGTGATAATCAGTTAGCCATCCGAATTGATAATCCTCCGGATTCTGGACGATGGTATACAGGTGCTGGGATTTACAGAAACGTGTGGCTTACCAAGGTTAAGTCAGTCCACGTAGCCCGTTGGGGCACTTATGTTACTTCGGAGGTTACTGGAGATTCAGCATCAATCAAATTTGTGGTCAACCTGGAGAACAATGCCGAGAAACAGACTAATGTGACTGTTCAAACGGAGATCTTTGAAATGGATTCTGCAAACGGTAGCCCCGCACAACAAGTGGCTGGTTTTCCATCCTCTTCCGTGGTCCTTCCGGCGCATGGGCAAGAGTCTATTTCGACCTCTACCACCCTCCAAAACCCGCGATTATGGGGCCCGCCTCCTAGTCAATCTCCAAATTTATACCTTGCTGTGACAACTGTTATCCACTGCGGAAAGGTTGTGGATACATATGAGACGCAATTCGGAATTCGTTCGCTTACTTTCGGTGGTGATGGCTTTAGCATCAACGGAGAACGTCTGCGCTTCCAGGGCGTAAATCAACACCACGATCTAGGCGCCTTGGGAGCAGCTTATAATCATAAAGCTGCCGAAAGGCAATTGCATCTTCTTCGGGAAGCTGGTGTTAATGCAATTAGAATGGCACATAACCCGCCAGCGCCCGAACTACTAGAACTCACAGACCGCTTGGGCTTTATGGTGATAGATGAAATCTTTGATGTCTGGAACTACGATAAGAATATTGCCGATTTCAGCTTAATCTTTGCAGATTGGCACGAACCTGATGTCAAGACATTTGTTCGGAGGGATCGAAATCACGCTTCAATCATCATGTGGAGCATTGGCAACGAAGTCGGAGAACAAGGAGGCTCAAGTGGTTTCGATATTGCAACGGAGCTATCGAGAATTTTGCATGAAGAAGACAATACTCGGCCAATCATGGCTTCTTTGAATTCCGCGACTGCCTCCCACAAGTTCCCCGAAGCGCTCGACGTGCTTGGTCTCAATTATATTGGTGAAGGAATGGAATATCCAGGTTACTCCGTCTTGCCCGAACCCCGGCGCCAGCCATTGTACGAGTCCTTTCATGAAGCTTTCCCAGATAAGCTTCTCTTTGGTAGCGAGTTCGCCTGGTCGCTCAGCAGCCGTTCGTCGTTCATTTTCCCTGTTACTCAGTATGACGGAGCGCCGGTTCTAGACCACTCTGGTGGAGACGTAAACACGCTGGAAATTTCCGGCCATGAACTATATTCTTCAAACTGGAGTGTTTCTCATGATATCGTGTTTACAGTCCAGGATCAACTACCCTATCTTGCTGGCGGCTTCTTATGGTCTGGGTGGGATTATCTGGGCGAGCCCTATCCTTGGCCCCAGGCCAGAAGTGCGTACTCGGGCATGATTGATCTTGCAGGCTTCAAGAAAGAGCGCTTTTGGTTGTACCAATCTCGTTGGAACCCTACAGTGAGGATGGCTCATATCCTTCCACATTGGAGTTGGCCCGGTCGTGAAGGTGAAATAACCCCAGTGCATGTTTTCACCTCTGCGGACGAAGCCGAACTCTTTGTGAATGGCAAATCCCAGGGCAAATTAGAACAGAAAGAGTTTGAGTACCGTTTTCGTTGGGACAATGTCACATATGAGCCTGGCGAACTGCACGTGATAACTTACAAGGACGGCGAAGTCTGGGCGAACGAGACCGTTTCGACTACATCCGATGGGGTCAAGCTTAGTCTGACTGCAGAATTTGGGAAGATTGATGCCGATGGGGAGGATCTTACATGGATTGCAGTCAGTGTGCTTGATGGACAAGGTAGAATGGTGCCTGAGGCGGATGACACCGTCGCTTTCTCTCTTTCTGGTCCTGGTGAGATCGTCGCGACAGATAACGGATTTCAGGCCGATTTCGTGGAATTCCCTTCCAAGGAACGGAAATTATTCAATGGACTTGCTCTTGCAATTGTTCGAGCGAATTCGCCTGGCAAGATCGTGGTCGCTGCAGAGGCAAAGGGCCTTGAAAGAGCAGAGGTTGTGATTGAGGCCCTCTAAGTGTTGTTATCCCCCTCAATAATAAATTGATACGATTCTCTTCATTCTTGTCTTTTTTTCTTCGGAAACCATATTTCGACTTTCAGTTCTTGACATGTGCGTCTCACCTCCAAAACTCCAACAGCTGATATAGGGACCTAGACTTTTACACGTTGTTGTTTCGAACATCAAGGGCCAACCGTGGGGGTTGTTTCGGGAAGTGGTGAAGAGTTAACCGCTCCATGGACGCATGGATTTTTTCATCAAGCTCTATAGTAGGACACCTCTCTCTGAACTGTAAGGTTTCCTGATATTCGGGCTCACCGGTATTCGATCTTCGTTTCGAAGTTGTCGCCGTGAATAGCCTGCAACATCTCGTGATCCGGCACTCTTCCATAAGATAGAGCCTGTTGCTCTCCACCACTCCTCAAACTTCCAACGAAACCAATGATTATGGTGAACATAATAATCAACGATATCTCCTCGTAGCTTCGGGAGTTTGATTCCATTATTTCATCGATAAATAACTGTTGGTTCATGTGCTCAACTTCGGAAGGTGGTGGTAGATAGTCGGTTCGGCCGGTGGTTGTGATTGTTCTACTGTCTTCGGCCCAAATATACGACCCCGCTGGAATTATGTGTATTCTCATGATTCAGTGTGCTTTTTGCCGACTCCCATTCTTCGTTTTGATTGTGCTTCCAAAAGAGTTCGTTCATCAACCACATCGAAGTGTATATTATCGGGGCTCGTCTGCTCAAAATGCCGCTTTCAGGTGAGGTCGAAACTTAGTAGGATCTTCATAGTGATTCGAATATCTTAAGTGTTCAGTAATCGCTCGGATTAATAAGCCGTGTGCCGGAATGGAGACAGATTTGATCCCACATGCTCCATGGCGAAGAGCCACTCTATAAGTGCTAATCCAGCCCTCAGTAGAAAATGAGATTGTTTCCCTTTTTAATCAATAATGGAGGGGGTGTGAGTGATAATCAGCCGACCGAGGCAATACAGACCGCGGTCAGGGGATGGAGAAGGGGGAGGCGTGAGAGTAGAAGAGGCCAACTTGTACACATGTATTACAACACAACGCGTAGCATTCGTTTTGGAATGCCAACCACTACTGCTCCAGCTTATACATTTTCAGTCATATGGTACAAAAAGCCACGCGTTCTGAGAACCGTCGTGTCTTCTGCAACTCGCAGCTCTAGTAAGCCACATGGGGATCATACAATTCGACCTGAAACAGACGGGTGTGAGAGTCATAAACTCGTTATCTAGATGGAAAGTATATCTGGATCATAATTGAACGTTTGGGCACGGAGGCAGTTGCTGAGCAAAGATCTACGTACATCATCCCACGTACACTGTCCCCTTTCCAACACAGCCACATTGGTGTACGTGTCATAGCATAAGAGATGTGTAACACTTTATGCATGTAGCATCCTCACACGTGTATGCCTGATAAAAAGATACAACGGTGAGTTTTTGATAGGTGCTGGTGCTCTAGTTGGGAGCCTATTTCATCATTGTATGACTTGAACTTCTCGACTAGCTAGCATCACCCATACTGTTGGCATAGCGACCAGCAGCGGTACTAAGCCCTCAAGCAACCTCCTTTGTAATCCTGTACGGCCTTGAATGAATGCTTAGGCAATCCTATGGATCATCTAGCGCAAATAACTGAGCCTTATGGGTGTATCAACAGCTAAGTAGTGAGTGGTTGGCTTATTTGTCTGTGGGTCCGCGTTTGTGAATGGTGACTTGGAGTCATAGGAAACTCAAGTGTATGTGATGAGATCCTTTTTACTGTGGTACTTACGTTGAGCCTAGAATCTCCATCAAGGAGTGCAGTGGATAGGCCTAAGAACCTCAAGCACTCTATCATCTATCGATGGGTAGAGGTCATGAAGAACTACCAACCGAATCAAAGCTTCAAACTACGCATGAGACTCATCAGAGCATCAACAAGACAGCTGTTTGGATTCCATTCACTAGGATGAAATTGATAATGAGTGGTATATGACACCGCTGCATGTCGCTCCTGACGGCATCTTCGATATTTTTCTGCAAGATGTACTACAGGGTATAACTGTTTTAACGTGTTGGCGCTCCAATATCAAATAAGCCCTATGTGTCCACTTGATATTTCACCATTGCTTTGTCGTTCTTATATATTTATGCCATTGTCTCTTAAATTTGCTTCATTATTTCGAATCGGTGGGAGCTATATTGCCAAAAGGCTACATCCTATACTATGAAAAGCTTAGAGAGTATGAGTTTGACTGGCAAGTATATGAGAGCATGCCCCTGCTCAAGGTTGAACCATGGGCAGGCATAGGCGCAGCTGGAACCACCGTATCAGCGTTTGGATCAAAAGAAATAGGAGACGGTCTATGAAAATGAAAATAAGTCTTCGAAGTTCAAAAATTAAGCTACGCAGACGGAATCCGAACATCTCTTCCAGGTCTACACTTAAATATACAAATGTTCAAAATGAGCCTTATTAAACTAAGCTTGCGACATTGGTCATTTGCTTGCCGCTAGCTGTGTCAAGGCCCTGCCTCTTGCTGTTATTGGTGTCTCGAGCCAAAAGAATATTTAAATTTAAAGAGAATTACACCTGCTGTAAGATGAGTGCAATCCTTAATGAAGTCCAAACATAGAGGAAGTGGCGGGGTATCGCGAGCTACCCAACATTTGGCTGGTCATAAACGCTGGCATTGGTGTTCAAAATTGGCCTGCTCTGTAAGGTTGTATAACCAATGAACTACCGTGGTCAGGTCGCGATAACGCCAGCGCTTGTGTAACACACAATGACATGTGCCCAATGGATCCCGGGAGGTGTAGCAGGAAAGGTACCATTACCGGGTTGCGAAAGATGCCGCACGGTGTACTTGCCTCCGTTTGCATGGCATGAATACGGGTTATCATGCCAAGGTATGATGTGGCTTAGCAGTGACGAGGAAATTCATTATACTTTTTGGGAGCCTGTAACCCCCACGTAAGACGGACAGTTGTTGTTGCGAGCGGCTCACGGACTTCGGTGATGGTGGGGGAGGACCGTAAGGTTGTATCCCACACCACACCCTGCTCTGCCGCCATTGAGACTGACCGAAACAAGATTGAAATAGAGAGACTTTGAATTACTCTCCTAGTTGAATAGTAGAGTATCTAGAGATATTGTTTAATTGCATAGATTGGATTACGCGTCAGAGTGGCATGATTTCTCTACTCCACATGTGCCAGCTTCGCAATTACACGAGCCGAGATGTCACGTCCCCTGTCGCCCGCCGCAATTCTCTTTCCAAGTTCTTTGGCCTTCTGCTTCATCAAAGTACTTGCCTCACCCCCATCCACGACTTTGAGGATTGCATCACTGATACCCTTGGCAGTCCAATCAGGGCTAGTATTCCTACATGCCCAGACTCCAACTCCAATCGTTTCACTAAGAGCAGCAAAGTTGTAGAGGTCAGACCATAGAGGTAAGATAACCTGCGGAACTCCAGTACTGTATGTATGTCAGTCTCAAGTGAGGTGTCCGTGATCTGGAAGGCTGCTTACGCTATGGCTTCATGATAGCAGTTTGAACCTCCGTGATGCACCGAAGCCACGATGTCGCCAGTCTCAAGTAGTGACGTTGGATCAACACTCAGCCATTTATCCATTCTCAATCTACCACCGGCAACGAATTTCTGTAATGGTTCAAGAACCTCATCAGAGTACTCACCGACCTTTGCAAATTTCCACAGAAATTGGACACTGCTATTAGAGAGAACATTCTCAATGGCTGTAACCATCCAAGCGGCACGCTCATTTGTGTACTAAGACCACGGAGGTTTTTTCTTAGTTCACAACTCGTCAAGTGAAAACAGGTCAACCTACCTGTACAGTACTGCCAAGATTAAGGAGAACAGTGGGAGCGTTCTTCAACCAGTCTGCTATTTCAGCATCCTGTTCAGCAGCTGTGGCCACAGAAAGATACATAGGCCCGGCGCAAAAGACGTTAGGTGGAACATAATCCACGGGAATCGAAGCCCCTTCTGTTGTCATTGTAATCCAAGGAACATCTGGGCGGTGAAGCGCAAGAAAATTGATCGGGTCACGCAAACCATGCTTCTTGAGTTCAGTCTTCTTGGCAGATAGATCGGGAGTCATCACGGCACTGTATATGAAACGAAAGTTAAGGTAAATATTCTCTGGAATCTTGCGTAAGGGGACTGGAAAAGTGAAGCCTGATGATAGACTCGTACTCGTTAGTAATCTCTTAGCTGCTGGAATATGATCTACCTACGCCGGGTATTTCCAAAACATGCTACCATGTGGTTGATGGCTTAGAAAGTTGTCCACCAGCGTGTTTGGGGTCACCATCGCATGTACACGATTCTTATCTCGTGTGATGTCAATTGCCGGTCTGAACAGAGTATCGAGTACTATGACGGCGGGATCAAGTTGATCAATGATTTGGCCAATTTCATGATAGAGCTCCAAATGTGCCTTGACGGTCCACGGTGAAATAAAAAGTTGGACATCTTTTGTTAAGCCCGAAATGCCCGCATATCCAGGAGGGTGAATCATAGAATCAAGGGTCAGGCCTTCAGCCACCACAGCCTTCTCAAATGACTCGCCCTTGAGCTCGTGAAAGACAATATCTCGGGCTGTTGGCGTTTTAGAGCGTGCGAAGGAGGAAACCCGCTCGATCTTACTCTTCAACTCGGCAAATGATGCATAATGTACATCAATATCGGGGTAGTTTTCCAGCAAAGCAGAGGCTGTGGCCACGTGAACATTACTGAGACCGTGCTCTTTGTTGGTGAGGAAAAGGACTATCTTGTTGATTCCTTGAGTGTAAGGGGGCCAAGTTGGCGTCTCGCTAGAAAGAAATTTCACCATAGTGGCGGCAACGAAGGATCTAGCGCTAAACTATGACAATATGACAAATGTGTGGTATTCTTTGTTGTAAACGAAACGGACAAGTGATGAAACGACCCGAACGTTGATGATTTCTGATGCCTTGCAATAACCTGAATCCTATAATACGGAGGCCTTATCTTCGATGTGGTTGTGGCCCCAAAAATGCTTCCATCTAGCCATTTGCGTTAACCCAGCTTTTTTCCTTTCTTACCTCACATCTTTAATGTGGCATGAATGGTTGTCTGATTCAAATTATGCCGAATTCTCTATGAGTATTATAGGGGGTGTCATTATCCAGTCTGCAACATGGGACGGGATCCAACCCTTCATAGTACGATGACACGAGAAGTAATCTGTTCGTTTCAAGGACAAAATATGACGGGATAATGGAACTCGTTGCTTATCGGACTTTCGATGGGCGCCTCGTTACATTGCATGTACGCAGCTACCTCGGTCAAATCTGCATAGAGAAACTGCGAACTGGATATCAGCGGTGTAAACAATATGGAGTGGAGAACGGTACCCTTCGCACCGATCGTCGGTATGACAAATGCGTTCTGCGGGCGCGAGGAGGCTGGGATTGCAACGGTCCGAAGTCCGCTCAGCCCTGGTAGGTATGTATGCCTGTTGGTGCAAGCCCAATACGTGTACTGGATGTAACTCTGCACAATGTAATGTTATCGGATACGTTGTGACCCTGTTGGTTGTTTGCCTGGGCGTTGAGCCTAACAGCGAACGGAGTTGAACCACGTTTTCGGGCAAGGATCATTAAGGAGCATGCAGTCAAGTTCAATCAGAAGATAAGGACTGTCGGCTGTTTGGGATTTCTTCCGCGTAGGAACAGCCATTGAGATCCGATGCTACGCACCTTGACAACCTCGCAGAGTGACAAAGCTCACAGCTGGTGGTTCATGTGATATTTCCGACTAGCAGCATTGAGATGTCGGGTCTGGCATCTCCACTGTTGTCTTTATTTTGCACTCGAACTCTTTCATCCGTATTTCCGACCCGTAGACTCATACGGGCGCTACAGGTCTTCCACAGAAGCTAAAACTCACGGCAACGCTTTGTTGCTACGTAGCGTGATAGTATGATTGGAGGACAGAATGAAGAGTCTGTACGCTTCGGCGAAGTGAATCTAGCTTTAACATTCTTCTTATTTCTTTATGAACTAGAATATAAGCTTTTAAAAATGTGTTTAATGTTTGGAAATTCTATCTATCAATGGTTTTTCCATGCCTCCCATACCATCCAAAAAGTTGTCTTGGAAACTCAGCTAAGGTCCGCAACTTGTCGTCATCTCAACTATCCAACGCCTGGTTTTGACACTAGACCGAACAGTTAGCAAAAGATCAATTTAGGATTGGCTGAACTCACCATATTCCAATAGATTTTTTTCCTTTTCAGGAGTTCTATGTGATTGCCTTTTTCTAGAACTTTTCCTTCTCCAAGAACGAAGATGATATCGGCTTTTTGAATAGTTGACAGTTGATGGGCAATCACGATCATTGTACGTCCCTTGGAAACTTTTTCAAAGGCAATCTGTACAAGTCTGGCACTTTCTGAGTCCAGGCTACTTGTGGCTTCATCGAGCAATAACAACTGTGGGTTCCGGATCAGTGCTCTCGCAATAGCTATACGCTGTTTCTGTCCACCTGAAAGATCGACACCTTTGCTTCCGATTTCAGTGTTGTATCCGTCAGGTAGGGACGAGATGAAATCATGAATGCTGGCGTCTCGACAAGCCGTCTGCACTTGATCGTCCGTAGTTTCTGCATCTACACCGAGCACGATGTTCTCTCGTATGGTGCCTTGAAAAATTGTTGGGTCCTGCGCAACTAGAGAGATTTGCTTGCGGTACTCGTCAATACCGACACTCGTTATATTTGTGCCATTAGCCAAGATTTTGCCTCTGTTTACGTCGTAGAATCTTTCAAGGAGAGAGATGATTGTCGTTTTACCTGACCCAGATGAACCAACAAAGGCAGCATACTGTCCTTTCTCGATTGTGATACTCAAATCTTCAAATATTGAGATGTTTCTTGTCGGGTACTTAAACCAGACATGTTGGAACTCAATCTTGATACCATTTTGAGCAGTTGTGATGTGCTCCTTCTGTTTCTTCTCGTTTGTATTCTTGCTTTCACGAATACCCAGGATTCTATTCGCGGCGGCTGAAGCCTGGGCTGCATTGGGGCCGTAACTGAAGGCAAGGCCAGCAGCTTCGGCGCCGCTTATCACTGCCATGTAGCAAACAAAGAAGTTAAACACTTCATACTCGTGAGATCCGAGAAGCTTGCCACCGTACCAGAAGATAAGAGCTTGACACGCCATGGCCATGCTGTCTGAGAATGCCAGGATGAGAGATGTCCATCTTGATTTTATGGAGGCTTTTGTGGCATGATCAGACAAAAGTTGTCGATAGCGACGGCAAATTGTGTCCTCTAGAGTCAATGATGTGACCGTGCGGAATGCGCTGATAGATTCCGCCGCGAACTTTGAGCTTTCCTCGAACACGGCATGGGAGAGGGCTTCAAACTGTAGCTCGTGTCTGAGCCGATAGAAGCCGGCCAAAAACCCGAGAGGCACTGTAACACAGACAGCCACCAGGGCCAGCTTCCAGCCAAAAGCGAAGGCAATCGCAATCGATCCGGATAAATTGAAAATAGCCATGTAGACTTGGGCCATGTTCACGCCAAGCAGCTCCTCCAGCTGCCTGGGATCGCTGCCTAGCTTGGCCGTAAGTGTTCCAGCCGAGTTGTCCTCGTCGTCAAAGAATGACACCTTCTGGGCTATGAGCCCATTGAAATACTGCATGCGGTAGGTGGCTGAAATGTACTATAAATAGAATATTAATAGTGCCCATACGAGCAGATAAGGGCAATGGGCATGTCTTACAACGGCGAGGTGGTTGGAGACGAATTGCAATCCGAATTGAGAGAAGCCCGTGCCTAAGGCTAATACAACCCACATCAGGGACCAAAAATTGGCTTGCGTCGTGAACCTATCCATGTCATCCACGTACTGAAAGACGACGATAATCTTTGCAAATAGATACGCTTGAAGAGGAGTGCCGGCTTCTATACCGTTAGCCGTCTAAATCGTCCTGGGAAAAGGGGCGACGCACCTGCTGCACACATGGCGAAAAATACGGTGGCAATGTAGAACGGAAATTGGCTTTTCAGCTCGTAGAGAAGTCTTCCAAAGCTGCCAAGAAGGCCTTGAGGCTTGTATCCTGATTTGTAGATGTTTGTGCTGCCTTCGATTGCTTCGCCGTCATCCTCTCTCTCGTTGGAGAGATGGCTTTCTATGTCTTTAAGCTCCTGTAGCTCGGCATCATGCTTTTCATCGTCCATGGTCAGGTTCTGGGTCGCTACAAGCCCTGAGTAGACTCCATCTTCGATCTCCAATAGAGATTGATGGGTCCCTTTTTCCACCACTTTCCCCTTTCTCAGCACGACAATGCGATCTGCCTTCTGGATAGTGGATAACCTATGTGCAATAGTGATTGTGGTCCTGCCAAGGGATGCCCTTTCCAACGCAGCCTGGACAATACGCTCGCCACGTACGTCAATCGACGAGGTTGCCTCATCCAATATGAGTATTTTTGGCTTCTTCACAATGGCTCTCGCGATGCTGATCCGCTGCCGCTGACCACCACTCAATTTGGTTCCACTGTCGCCAACCATTGTGTGGTACCCGTCTGGCAAGCGTTGGATAAATTCATCAGCAAATGCTTCCCTGCAGGCTTCTTCAATGAGCTCCTTCTTTCGATCTTCGGTCTCGGCTTCTAAGCCAGAACCGATTAATCCGTGAGCAACATTGTTGTAGATTGTGTCATTGAACAGAAATGGCTCTTGCTGTACAAGGCCAATTTGACACCTCCACCACTTGAGGTCGATCTCGAAGATGTCATGTCCAGAAACTTCCACTCTACCCCGCAACTGAACGGCAGCTGGAGAGATACTCTCTGGGATTGATCTGGATCTTCCAATTTGTAGTTCTCTTTCATTTGTAGTTTGATCTTCCTCCTTCGTTGCCCTAGGGACAGCCGGGTCGCCATGGAGATCATACCATCTCTCAATCAGCCCGATAACAGTGCTTTTCCCGGAGCCAGAAGGCCCAACGATAGCTGTTACCTTGCCTGCTTCGATTCGAAGGTCTAGGCTGTCTAATACCTTGACATGAGCCCGGCCGGGATATGCAAAGTCGACGGCTCTAAAGACGATGTCGTCAGTTGCCGAAACATCAGGTTCCTTGAGGCACCCGCTCTTTTGAGGCGGAGAATCAACAACGGAGAAGAACTCGCAAGCCGCTACCATCGCTTTATTCACCGCAATAAATGGGGTAAACAACCCCTGGATGGAGAGGACCATTAACATGACCGACATGAGGACAATGACAATGATGCCAACGCTCTCTATTCGCCCCTCTCTGAATGACTTGGTTCCAAACCAGAACGCCAATCCAAAGGTGGCATATACACCGAAGAAGATCAGGCCAAACTGCATTGCGACAATTGGCGCCACGCCCTGTCCGTGTTTCTTGGCTTCATTGGCCCATTTGGAGAAGCGGTCCCCAACACGTGCTTGGGCGCTATAAGCCATGATCATTCGGATGCTCCCAAAAGCCTCGTTGGCTATTGAGGAGGCCATTTGCTCGGCTTCGAATGTCTTCTGGTGCTTTTTAGTCATGAAAGGGACGAGGACGACACCAACAATCGCCACAAAGACAAGTAGCGAGCCGGTCACGAGCGTCAATGACCAACTGTACGTAAATGCCACAATTATTGCTGCCAGAATCGTAGCCAGAAACTGGACGAGCGTCCCTAATTTTTCTGATATTCCAATTTGTAGCACATTCGCTGTTGCCGTAATCGTACCGGCCGCAGCCCCTGGAGGCATTCGATCAAGGACGTGGACGGTTTGCGCAAAGAGATGTTTTAGATAGTCGAGTCGGATCGCTGCGGACATTCGAATTCCAATGACGGAAAATGCGAGCTGGAAAACTTAGTATGACCCCATCATCTTGAGGGGAATAGGAAACTTACCTTGCTGATATAGCTAAATATAAATCTCCCAATGAAAAGGACGAAGATGTATAGTCTGTTTAGAGAACGTTAGCAAGCTCTCATAGTTCCGGTAATCTTACATACGCGTATCTATTCAACAGGCCATCAAACGAGACTCTGTCCTGTGTCTTTCCTGGGGTAGCATAATCATTGAATGTCTCGACAAGCTGGCCTAAAACCTCATCAGTCCTATGTATTGGCTAATAAAGGAATAACACGTACCAAATACAACATTCAATATCGGGAGAGTCTTCGACGTTTTAGCGTGGTGATTTTCAAACATTTTCGGATCGTACTTACAGCCCCAGCAGCCATTGATGCCAACGTGCCCACGATGATCAGGTAGACGTCCGTCTTCTCAGCGTAAGTGAAAATTCTCTACCCGGGATAGTCAGTAAACGATCTTCTCGTATTTTTGAAGCGCTCACTAAGTAATCTTTCAGGCTAGCTTCCCTCTTCGACTTGGCCATCGTTGGTTGCTTAGGGGCATCGAGGGTGGTGGCGCCAGTTACTTGGACAGGTATATTCGACGTCTTGGCGTCTGCTGAGTTTGTATTCTCCGTCTGAATTTCCTTGTTGTTCATGATGATTGTGCTAGATAGGTTTCACGCAAAGCAGTGTTAGACGTCGTATTGCTCTCATGAATTGTCGCAGATGAATATCGAAGTATGTGCTTACTTGGGCCTGAGGGTAATACAGACACAACGCAATGCTATGCCAATATTTTGGTTCGCTCTCTAGCCGGGGCTTGGTTCGTATGCACTTGGCTATGTCTTGGTGGTGGGCAAAGGGGGTTTGGGAGTGTGGAATGATGCAGAGCCCAGAACCAGCTTCGTCCTAGACCCTTGTCACAATCAGCTTGTGTAACACTCCCCGTCTTCGTATTCAGGGCGTATTCTTAATGGGTGCTCTCCTACCTGCATGCATGTGTCTACCCAACTCCTTAACCATGTGGATACCGCAATCAAGCTTTCGAGAGTGGCACGTTCTACTACATTCCCACATTGCAACTCGCACTATGATATGCAGCCCCTGGTCAATCCACCTGGAGGAGGGTTCATTACACCAGGAAAACTCCATACTCAGAGAGAGAAAAAGCTTATAAAATGACTGTAGTTTCATTCTTTCAACCATTGTGCCAGCTTAAATCGATGAATCATTTTCTTTCCACCTAACTGCCCCAGAACATAATGCCATATTCCATTACTATCAAAGAAATCCGTGGCAAGGCGGGCAAGGTGTACTACCCGCTGAAGCTCAACCTCTATCTTAAGCCCACCCCCGGCCCGAACGAAGTCCTCGTGAAGCTCCATGCTGCCGCGTTAAACCGGCGCGACTTCTTCATCCGACAGCATCTCTACCCCGATATTTCCTTCAAGTCCCCTCTCTTGTCTGATGGATATGGAACTGTTGTCGAGACGGGGCCTGGGTGTCGCAACGATCTCCTAAATAAGAAGGTTGTTCTGACACCTTCTCGGGGATGGCAATCTAACCCCGAGGGGCCGGAAGACCCATCAAAGTTTACTGGCATTGGCGGAATGGGCGCCAACGACATTGGCTGCGCGCAGGACTACGTCGTCGTGGACGAGTCAGAAGTTGAGGTCTGTCCAGAGCATCTCAATGCGGCGGAAGCTGCAGCTCTCCCATCTGTCGGGCTGACAGCTTGGCGGGCGTTCATGATCAAATCCGGTAACGCAAAGCCAGGCCACAACATCCTCGTAACAGGGATTGGGGGTGGCGTAGCTTTGCAGCTGCTCCAGTTTGGCGTGGCCGTGGGCTGCAACGTCTACGTGACATCCGGGGATGCTGCCAAGATCAACAAGGCGAAAGACCTCGGCGCGATAGGAGGCGTTAGCTACAAGGCGGATGAGTGGGAGAAAGAGCTGAGCAAGATTTTGCCAGCCGAACGGCCTTATCTTGACGCCGTGATTGACGGAGCGGGTGGGGACATTGTCAGCAGAACCATGAATATCCTCAAACCGGGAGGAGTAATCGTGTCATATGGAATGACTGTTGCTCCCGTGATGGACTGGCTCATGCATGCCGTGCTGAGGAATGTGGAGCTGAAGGGAAGCACACTCGGTTCAAGAACCGAGTTTACAGATATGGTCAACTTTGTCAGGGAGAAGCAGATACGGCCCATTATCAGCCGAACTGTCAGGGGTCTGGAGTCAATGGACGCGATTGAGGGGCTTTTTGACGATCTCAGGACGAATAAGCAGTTCGGTAAGCTTGTGATTGAGATTTCCTCGGACGATAGCACCACATAGGATGTGGCGTTATTCACGCGCCATTGTGATATGTAGCTGCCGTTAGAAGCATCTGTTAGGAGTCAGCACTTAAACTAACACCCCCGTTATTCTATCATGAGCATGAGTGTTATTGACTCCGGGGCCCCGCCCCCGGAAAGTAGGAGTGAGACCAGTATGCTGTTCGAGGTAGTCTTACAATCTCACCTGGCCGTGATCACGCTATTCCTGTCACAGTCGTAGCCAGATATCCATCTCGTTGAACAGGGTGGTTACACAAGCCAACACAGAGCCGCCACTTCCGTGCCGCAGTTCTCCATTCTTGATGCAACGAAACCAGGGGTTGGCCTTCTCACAATGCGCCAACAGCGGACAGATTGACCTACCCATGATATTCCAATCTTGTTTCCTTATCTTGTCCTTCCGCCGCCATTCTGCGGGCGACACCACACCCTCCTATTGCTGGAAATGCATTACCCGTAGCATGTGATTATTCAAAAGTCCGGCGGTTATATGATCTGCATGTCAGCGCGGGGGTCATCCATCCACCAGCTGGCCTTCGAGAGTTCTCAGGAACGTTTGATGATGACCCGAGAAATGTCGAAATCAACGACTGAAGATCCGGTAATGACAACGGCCACTAGTGCAACAGGGGTTGCCCCCTTTTTTTTCTCCACGCAAGTTGGCAGTGTTACTTGCCCACCGAAGCTGACTGCAGAGGTAACCTTCCAAACAGCTTGTTGGCAGTGTTATCTGCATCATGAAACACACACCAATGACTTGTTCTCCTTGCGAAGTTATTCCAGTGTTATCTGCCACCTTGGACATGCCCATCCCTGGCCTTAACCGTCCCGGGCCTCACCTACCCTAAAGGGCATATCATCTGTGGATGGCAAACTGTTCGTGTCAAATCGCCAGTAATCTGCCACGCGGCCCATTTGCAGTAGCATCTTAATGTCAATCTCAAAGTAATAAGGTTACAGCAAATCTAAAGGAGGTGTGCTGTCTCCGTAGATATGTGGGTTGATAAGATTTGGGACACCATCTCTTTTCCAACTCTTGGCTTACCAATACCGGATTGTTGTTATACTTCCTAGACCAGGTATTCAACTTGCCATCTGAGGAGCCACGGCCCGAGCGCCGTATCTCTTAACCCTTGCATTTTGGGTTTTGGGACAAATGTTTCATTGTTGATGGCGGCACTACACTACACAACTACATAGACAGTACTCAGATACAGACGTGGGGGTTCGGGATGCCCCTGGGACAATTCCAAAAATAAGTTCCTAAACTGGGCTAGTATCATTGTGGCGACTTCTCTCAGATCTCTCCGCGTATTGACTCCGGATGATGTGCAAGGGTGGCAATATCAAGAATTTGCGCTAGAAACTTGGTAGGCCGAAACCCCTGCTCTGCTCCCTCCACGAGGTGAAGCACCATGTTTGTACCCGCTAGTCTAATTAGACTGTGATAGGAACATCTTCTATACCCCTGTGTCTGTCACAAGAAGAGATACCACCGCATCAATGTCATCCCACTAGAGTCCAGGCCGTTATCGATCGCTTACAGAAGTGACTGACAGCGATTGAAAGATTACGGGAATACACGGAATTCAATCCCATTTGGTGTTGCCTCACCTGGCCTGCAAGTCAGCTTGAGTAGTAGAGTAGCCGCTACTGGGCCTCAACACTGAGGTGTGGCGGTTGGAGCGCTACCTCAATGGACCGCGGTTTGAAACAGAGCTCCCTAAGACATTTCGGAGTGGTGATAAGCGAGAATCTCTGATGTCGATACAGCATTACAAGACCTTCATGACAAGATATTGACATCCCCAATTTGTGTATGCCAAAGACATCCGAAGAACGTACCAAGTTTTCTTCTATTTTGTATCTGAAGAGAGTTATTTCCAAAGAAATGGCTTTACCAAAAGTTTCCCCGAGGCTAGCTATCGATGAGGCAACGATGGCTGAAATCGCGGAGGCATGCCATATCACAGCCAACCAGATAGAGGATATCTATCCTTGCTTGCCACAGCAAATCTCCCAAATTGACGATAAAAGATCTGAGCAATTTCAGATATTGGTCAATTTTGGGCCTGATGCTGATATTGATGGGTGGTGCGATGCTTTGCAGCAAGTCGTTGCGGCCACCTCAACACTCCGAACACGAATTGTTAAAAGTCGTGTTGGCATTGTCCAGGTCGTCACTACAGAGGAGCATCAAACTGAGAGACGCCCTGGCGAAGATGTTGACCAATTCGTGAGAGATGGGGAACAAAGGCTTCTAGGCTTTGGTGACTTGCTCTTCCGGTCTGTTGTTATCGACAGGACCTTCATTGCTATCATTCACCATGCAATAATGGATCACAGCTCCATCTCTACGCTTCTTAAAGAAGACGTGAGCCGTGTCTTCTTTGGTGAAGAGATCAATCAACGACCTGAATATCGAGACTTTGTGGACTACAATTTGGACATGGACGAGTCTGCAGAAAGGGCTTTCTGGGCTTCTCGCTTCAAAGGAGTGCCAGCAATCTATCCGCCCATTCCAGTTGGTCATCGCCCTTACCCGTACGGAGTGGCCACCAAGACCATGGCACTTGACCTTCAACGCACGGGAGTTTCTCCAGCCCATGTGCCGCTATATATTGAGGCCGCATGGGCTTTGACTGCTGCCACTTACGCCAACAGTGACAATGTCGCCTATGGTCTTGTCTTATCCGGGCGCAGCCCATCTGCTCGCGGCTTGGAGAAGACTCTCGGACAAACAGCCGTGGAGATACCCGTCCAAGTTCATCTCAAACGAAATATGACAATCGAGCAGCTGGTGAAAGATCGTGCGACTTCCCTGCGTAGACTTCAAGCAGAGCCCTCGATCCAATTCGGCTTGGATGGCATCGCCTCAGTCAGTGATGCAGCGCGAACCGCGGCTGGCTTCCAGACCCAGTTGAACATTATACCATTCCCTAGAGCCCATTCAGACAAGAGAAGTGCCCCCAAAAATGGCGACATCGAAATGGATCGTATCGTCTGGATGGCAAAGGGCGCATTCGCTCTGATGCTTCCCTGTTACATCGGACCCGGACAAGTTTTCGTCGAAGCGAAATACGATCCCGCGTGCATACCAGAACGCCAAGTACACCGTGTTCTGAATCAATTTGATCACGTTTTACAACGGCTGCTTGTCGCTCCGATGAATCTGAAGCTCAACCAATTGCATTTGTTCAGTTCTGATGATATGGCTGAGGTCACCCAATGGAACAAAATCTTGCCCAAGGCGACAGAAAAGCTCATCTATGATGACTTCGTTTTTATCTCCCACCTACAGCCGAATATCCG